AAAAAGAAAAACCTTTTCTGAAGGAGAAGAAGGAGAAGAAGGAGAAGAAGGAGAAGAAGGAGAAGAAGGAGAAGAAGGAGAAGAAGGAGAAGAAGGAGAAAGGAATAAGCTGTGAACTCAGAGATTTTAAAGGAAACAGACAAAACTGAGATTGAAAAGAAAAGAAAAATGAGAAAAAGGAGATCTTTTTCACTAAGCAAATTCGAAGTAACTGGGAAATTTACTAGAAAGAATGTAGTTTCTTTTAAAAGTTAAATAAAAGTATCAGGCTCGTTTGAAAAACACAATCAGTACTCCAGTACTAAAATCCTATGGATTGTCAGATTCGTTTAAAGAAAATAAAGTTTGGTATTAGAACTACAAAATATAGTAATAGTTTAAAGGCTGATCACGTTGAATGAGTAGAATTATTGAGTGAGTGCCAGATAGTTGGGGAAAGAAAAGTGACAAATCGACAAGAAATATCAAAAGGACTAAAGGGGGAAAAGGCTCCCAGTCATGAAATGGGCCCAAATTGCGTTTGTGACGCCTCGAAGAAATCACAGAAAAAGGAGAAATACGGAAAAAAAATGAGGAGTCATCACTCTCACTCACTCATTTCTTAGGGAAAAAGTTTGGGGAAGAACCTTTGTGGAATGGAGTAAGTAGGGGATTCGGAATTTCCCATTCAACAATAGTTGCCTTTTCATTGGCTTATGAATAAGTTTGGGTTATTTAAAGCTGACTGTATCGAATTTGAATTCGTACAGAACATTTCAAAACTTTAGCACTACCTAGCGTTGAAGTTAGCCTTTGTAATTGGCATTTAGAGATTTAACGGTATTATTTTGTCAATATTTGACTTCAAAATGAATACTTGAATACCATTTTATTTTGACTATCTGTTAATATGTTTCGATTTTTATTTTTTTTTGATCATTTAAAGTTCTAAATGTTCAAACAAACAAAAGCAAGACTCTTGTGGTGAAAATAGAAAAAGAAAGAAAGAAAGAAAGAAAGAAAGAAAGAAAGACCAAGTGAGTGAACATGTGGTCAATATTTCAAAGTCAAGAGAATGGGGATATCTTGGAAGAAACGGGCAAAGTATTGGTGATCGATTAGGGGAAAAGGGGATTGATCCGAAGATGGACAATGAGATCAGTTGTCCGACGACAATTCATACGACGACAATTCATAAAGATTCTTTTCTAATAGAAAACTTTAGAATCTTGACAGAACATTTTGTTTGCATGCTGTTTGTGTGTGTGTGTGTTTTTTTGAAACTGACACTGTAAGGAAAGTGGTTGATGGAGCTGATCGTCGAGCCGAGAGATTTCCCGGACGGAGACCAACACCGGGAGGTTGAAGAGATTGAAGAAATGGCGATGATGAGGACATTGCGAAGAAGGGGAAATTCGTGGGATGATGGGAAATCTGTGAATAGAATCATATGGAAAAAGAGAAAACAAACAAAACAAGTTAAAGGTTATCTACTTTATTCGGCAAATGAATGAGTGGACGAGGCAAATTTGCACAGGATAGAAAAGAAGGGAAAAAAAAAGTACTTACAATAAAGAGATTTAGAACAAAAACTCAAAGTTAGTGGAATGACAAACTATCATAACTTTTTGTAACATAACTTAGTGGGGTAGGCTACTTTGCGTCAAATTTTTTTTGCGTAACAGGGTCATTTGCGCAACTCGCCCTAACTTTCTTCTAATTGGACCAATCTTTATGATGTTGTAGTTTCATTTCGTAGATCTCAATAAGTGCAACAAAATGAAACCAAAATCATAAAGATTGGTCCAATTAGAAGAAAGTTCTGGCGCGTTGCGCAAACGACCCAGTTGCGCAAAAAAATTGCGGAAATTAGCCTAGCCCTAACTTAGTTCCACAATAGAAATTTCAATACGAAAAATAGCAATTATTGTGTTAGACAAGAAATTGGGGAGTGGGAGAAATGCTACCTTTTTTTTGCGCACCCGGACATTTGCGCACCTTTTTTTCCGCACCTTGCCCATTAGCGCACCTTTTTTCGCGTTTTAAAAAGCTAATATTAACCAATTTCTATTCCAAAAGTTGTTTTTTTTAGGTAATTTGAGGGTGTCGAATTCAAATTTTGACATAACAGAGCGTGTGGAACCAATTTGAAAGACAAAACGGCTAGGTCAAATTACAGAAAATTGTCGATTTTCCTCTTTGTATAACTCCGTCCGTTCGCTTCCACAAGCTCTGATATGCCAAAATTTCGATTCTACGCCCTAAAATTACCTAGAAAAACAACTTTTGCAATAGAAATTGGTTAATATTAGCTTTTTAGAGCTTTTTTAAAACGCGAAAAAGGTGCGCTAATGGGCTAAGTGCGAAAAAAAAGGTGCGCAAATGTCCGGGTGCGCAAAAAAAGGTCGCATTTGTCCCACTCCCTAAATTTCTAATGCTAATTGCTAGGGAATTCCATGCGCGAGCAACATTATTGTGAAAGTAATTAAAAGTAATATTAGAAAGAGATCTAGGATACTTAAAAGATATACCTTTTCTAGAGCTTGAGGTGGCAGAGGAAGGAAAGAAATTCGCAAAAAGAGGACCAGAATGTTTACACTTCAGGATTTTAAAACATTCTAATAAGTGAATAAGACTAACCGTCAGTGTTGCAGGGTATCTAATTGGAAAACTTTAAGCCTTTATTTATAGCTATCCTTCTCGTAATCAATTTTTAGGAAAGCAATTTTAGTAAAGCTTTTGATTGATACGATTCTGTTAATAGGACAAATTTTAGAGGGGGATTATGCTATTCAAAAATTTAAATTTAATTCTGAAGAAGCGTATTCTAAAATGAGCCTATAATAAGAGATAAAATAGCGTCAAAAATTTTAATTTAACTCTAAAGAAGCGTATTCTAAGATGAGCCTAAAATAAGAGATAAAATAGCGTCTATATTTCTTTCTATTAAGATTAATAATAGATTTAAGAATTCTACTTGTAGAGTAAGAAACTTTCAGTCAAATTTTATCTAGTTATTCAATAGAATTTTGTAAATGAACGAATCAATTGGAGAAGTTGAATTGAAAAAAAAAAAACAACAAAATTTCAAGGAAATTAGAGAAAAAAAAATGATATTCTGTAGAAATTGATGTGGTCAGAATTGGTGATTGCAAAGAAAAAAAGAAAGGTTTTGCGGGGCGGGAAAAGAGAAATGAGTAATTCGATACATGGTAACGAATATCCATTCGAAAACCACTCAATGATCTCATTTTTTTTCTATCATATAATACTAAATCTAGCCAAACTTTGAAAAAAACTAGAGTTCTTTATTTAGTTTTAAACTTAAAAAAATCATTTGAAAAAACGGGATAAATCAGTCATTTATCCCCGTTTTTCCTAAAACCAAAATAAAGCGCTTTCTAAAATTTTTTTGAAACGATAATTCTGATAAGCAAAAAATGCCAAAATAACACCTGTTTTTGTGATAGTGTTCTGCTTGTGATAGTGATAGTGATAGTTCTGTTTGTGATAGTGATAGTGCTGTTTGTGATAGTCACTTATTGCTTATTGCTTATTGCTTATTTTAAATATTGAACTGTAAAATTGAATTCAATTTCAAAACAATTTCATTACTTTCCCCCGTTTGACCGAACGCCTTCATTTAAGAAGCTCCAAAAATATGTATTCTTTTAGAAATTCGAAAGAAAAGCAGAAAAAAAAAGTGTGAGAAAAAAGAAATCGCAGAAAAGATAGAGAAAAACACAGAAAAAAAAAAAAAAAAAAAATGATTTCTCGAAAGGCGGGTTCTCCTCGATGCAAATCCAATTATTTCTATTACTGAAACCGGCAAAAATCCTGCTTTTTCTTCTAGTAAAACCTTAACATTTATGAGGAGATTTAAACAGGAAAATGCCCATGAAAATACGGAAATTTTGAATATTTTGAATATTTTGAACTTATTAGTCGATGGATATTTAATTTCCGGGAAAGTTTTTGTGATTGAGCTTCGAAACATCTAATAAGATTGAGAAACATCTAAGTCGCAAATATTAGAAAACTTCTTTAATTTTTATCAATGAATATATAAAAGAGACCTTTGAAAGTTTAAAAGAGACATAAGTCATCAGAATAAGTCATCAGAATGACTTATTAGATGTTTCTTTTAAACTTTCAAAGGTCTCTTTTATATATTCATTGATAAAAATTAAAGAAGTTTTCTAATATTTGCGACTCACAATGAAAAAGAAATGAAAAAAAAAGAAGAGTCTTTACATTTTTGAAGAAGACGAAGAAGCAAAAACCTTCTTAAAAAATCTAATATTTGCGACTCACAATGAAATCACTCAACAACAAACTCCCGAATTTTAAAACAATCAAACGATTTGCAAAATAAAGCAAAAGATCGATTCTGACAATGGTTTAAACTCGAGAATGGGAATGGAGAGATGTTCAGAATGAGAAGAGCTTTCAACCAAAAACAAAACAAAAGAAAGAAAAAGAAAGAAAAAGAAGAGGAGAAAGATCCCTATTTTTCAGGCATTTTGGCGAAGAAGGGCCAATCCTTTTAAGAATGGAAAAAAATGGGAATGGGGAAAGGTTTCAAAGAGGGAAAACGGGAGGGAAGACTCCAAAATGACTCTATCGAAAAGAAAAAGAAATGAAAAAAAAAAAGAAGAGTCTTTACATTTTTGAGGAAGAAGAAGAAGCAAAAACCTTCTTAAAAAATGAGAAGAAAATGGGAAATTGGGGGATTTTGTATGGCAAAAGAAACATTCGATGATTAACTTTTGAGGGCGAATTTTTTAGCAAACAATACAATTTAGTTTATCGGTTTTATTTTTAAAATAAAAATTTTTAATGATTTAAGCTTTAAAGGTTAAAGAAGAAAAACTCTTGAAATAACTGTTCGATTCGATTTTCCGCAATGATAAACCGGAAATGGTAAATTTGGATATAAAAATGGTTGAGTCTAATCGAAACGCTTTTTACCTTTTATCCAGTCACTGATCTCTTTTGATAGATTCCTTTTTTCATTTTCAAACCAACCTTTCTGGTACAACATATGATGCCCATGGTCGATGTTTCCATTGTCGCCTTCTTTCTCTTGTTTCACTCATTCGACCCGTTTGAGAAGAAGTTGTCGATGAGATCGACACTGACGGATTTCGACCATCAGATCTGAACAAATGATTTGTGATAAGGAAAATATATTTTAGTAAATCTATACTATTAGATTGACAACTTGAAAGTTCTTGCAAGTTCGTACACTTATTCATTGCACTTTTTGGAAACTAGTGAAACTAAACTAACTAAAACTAACTAAAACACAAATTAATCTAAAGTTTTTACCAATAAAAAGATCTATTATATTCTCTAAAATAGACTTTTGACAGATTTAGAACGCGCTTTCATTTTTTTGGTTTCTAGGGGAGGCAAGAAGTTGAGGAATCAAAAATGATGAACACTTGATAAAGCGATTCGAGCACTTTCTTTCATATAAACCTTTTTTAGTGTTAATAAAGAAAAGAAAGAACATAAGAAAGTTAGATAAATAGCCAAATGTTCAGCTAGATCTAATCAATCGTTTTTTTTATAGTTCCATTTGAAGAATTTTCAGAAAAACTTGAATTTCTGCTCCCAATTCGTTTCAAAATTTACCCAAATTTGGCTTAAGCGCTGTCTTAGATAATATACCGTATTCTCTCTAATAGTAGTGCACTCTTTAATAGTAGTGCACTCTCTAATAGTATTGCGGTCCGAGAGGGGGTTGAAAAACTAGTAGTGCACCCTCGAAAATTTGAATTTATAGCGCTTCTTTTTCATCTAAACCTTTTTGACTTTACGTTTATGTGACATTCTAAAGCTATTCACGCAAACAAAAGTGAGGCTTTTTTTACTCATTTATTAACTATTCTTCACATGAAAAAGTTAGCAAAAAATCTAAAATTTTTGTGCAAAGTGCAAAAACATCTTTTTGTTGTTTGTGTTTGTCAAGACACAAATTTTCAACTCGCCGGCCCACAACTGTATGTCAAAAGGAACCAAAGGAGTACGTGAAAGAATTGCAAGAATTTTTGAAACAAATCTTACATTTGTCTTACTTTGGTAAATGATAAAACTCTTTAACCCATTCGAAACTTCTGCAAAAACTCAGGAACGGACCGCTGCAGCGCTAATTGAGCTATTTTCATTCAATTAATTGCTTTTTTTTTGCTGTTTTTCAGCATTACATGTATATTCCGATTGTAGCAGATCTACAAATTACGTGAGCAAAAAAAGATGTTTCATATTTACCCGGAATCAATGCAGTCTCTGGTTTTGCATTGAAATGTTCCATAATAGCTCTAATCTTATAAAGCCGATCTCCTGCAGGATCCAGTTCATTATCACAAAAACGCAGGCTGCGAAGAATAGATTCAAATTTTGCTCTTGACATAATGTGGGACATGTGGGAAAATCCTCCTAATCCAGGCCTGCTACTCCAGTAGTCACGAATCCTCGGTAATTTGACGATTCCCATTTGAAGCCAGGAAGAGCTTGAAAGATTTTGCATCGAAATCCTGCCAGTTTGTTTTCCTTTTTTCATGTTTATTAGATTCGCCTACTAAAATATTGTCGTCGATAAAATAAGAACAATAATCGATAGGATCTTGAAAAGTACTGAAGTCAAATCCAAATCGTTCTTCATCAAAAATAAATGGTGTAAGAGACTCTCTTACATCTTTCCAACCATAAATAAACTGCTTCGGAGTCAAAAATGTCAAAAAAGGGCTTGGTCCGTAGACGAAAAAAAAGAAAAAACGCTGCGGTTTCGAATGGGTTAATAGTATTGCGGTCCAGGAGGGGGTTGAAAAAATAGTAGTGCGCACTACTATTAGAGAGAATACGGTAACGTAACTTTTATTCAGAGAAGTCTAATTCAATTGGCTTTTTAAATATGTTTTATGGAAAATACGAAAAAGTTTACCAACTTTCAAGTTTCTAATCTAAAATAGTATAGATTTAATTAAAAGATTTTTTAAAAGGTAATCTTTAACCAGGTAATTTTATGTGTTGAGCTATAACATAAAAGAAAGAATTTATCTAAAACACTAACATATTGACTTCATTAGAAACTAGTTTGCTTTATTGACTTCATTAGAACACTTCACACTCAAGACTTCAACTTCACAGACTTCGCACTCAAGTTTAATCTTGAGATCTTAATCATCTAATCTTTCGGATAATGAAGAGTTACTAATTACTGTGTTTTTGCAAATGATTGCAAACTTTAGAAATCGATTAAACACCATCTACCGTAATATTTCAAATCGATGATAGTTGATTGCATAACGTTCGGCTTGAGACATTTTATTAGGCATTTTTAGGTAAAAGTTGTTCTAATGATTACAGAAAGAAAGGGGTAAATAAAAGTAGATATTTTTGAAATGGAAATAGAAAAAGAGTCACTCATCTTATTGAAGATCGGGAAACCTTAGAAATAAAATGGAGAGGAAACGAGTAAGAAAAAGAAAAATGTTGGGGAAAGGATTGGGAAAGGATTGGGGTGAGTGCTTATCGAAAAGTTGAGAAAACGAGAAGTGAGATGAAATATTGAAAGGAGAGGAATATATGGGGATCATCGCCATGTAAGCATCTCAGTTACACGGTTTGCAAAAGAAAAAAAATCGTAGAGAATTTTTAAAATTGAAAATTTCAGCTGTTTTTAAACAGCTATTTTGATTTTCTCGTGGCTCATTCAAGCTTTTTCCCTTGCTTGATGAGTTCGCCAGGGTGAAATTCGTGAATGACAACAACAACAATCATTGATAAAATAAGCATTAATGCAATAAATTTTTATAAATAAGATGGCCACCGAAGTTGTTTGGGGAGCATCAAACGGCTTCTTAAAGAGTCAAAAGGCTGCTTGACTCGAGCGAGAAAGCGAGATGACTCGATGATTTTCTCTTGTAAAAATGAGCTGAACTGATCTGAACTATCCTGACTCACAAAAAGTCCAAAATCAGACAGAAAGCCGGACTTGAATCTTGTCAGATCAGGATCAGGAGTCAGATCAGGCTCTTGCCGGGATTCTAAGCTAGTTCTGATCTACTAGAACTGTCAGAAGATCATAAAATGTGACCTGGTTAAGGTAGGTTGCGATCTGCGATCTGGAGATTGCGTAAAATGAGAGATTTCTTTTTTTTTTTCTTTTTTTTATTTCTTCGGATCTCCTCCGATTTATTCATCAATTGGGTCAGGATTAAGCAAAAAAAATCCCAAAATTGATAGAAAAAAAACAAACGTTTTCTGCAGATATTAACTAAACTTTTTGGGAATAATAAAACACAAGTAATTAAAGTAAATTAAAGTAATTTCCTATTGAAAAGTTTAAACATTTTAAAAATCTTAACTAAGACAAAAAAGACTTACAAAGTTCTAAAGAAGAAAATTCTTTGATGCGGAATTTTTAGAGACATCTTTTGTTTTTAGAAGAATTTTAGAAGAATTGTCGGAATGAAATTTGAGAAAAATCGAGTAATTGAAGAGATTTTGATGGGGAAAATAAATGGGGAAAAGCTTGAGTCTTTTTTTTTCGAAAATGGGGGACTGATTGGGGGAAATTTTGATGAATTTGATGATTTCAGACTGGCTAGTTCCCACTAATTGCCCGATTTTTGCTAATAAATATTTCAAAAAAAGAAAAAAGAACTCATGTCAGTTGCAGAAGTTTTTTGAAAAGATTTCTAAAGCATTTTCTCATCAGAAAAAAAGAATTGTTAAAGAATTCTTTTGAGATGAATCGTAAAAACAAACTTTGCTCATACAATCTGGTCAAAAAACTATAGACGCACCCTGTTTTTTGCCAGTTTAGAGCCGGACATAAGTGCTAGTCCACTGCTAGTCCACTGCTAGTTCACTGCTAGTCCACTGCTAGTCCACTGCTAGTCCACTGCTAGTCCACTTAGCACTTATATCCGGCTTTAAACTAGCTAAAAACAGGGTGCGTCTATAATTTTTTGACAGATTTTACTTTGTGCTTGCGCAATCGCAATTTCTTTGACCAATAATGAGACTTCGAGTGTGCCAGAGAACGAGCATTTGTTAGAGCACAAAGGACACATGCGCCAGGTTTTTGCACCATCGCGCACTTTGTGACACCCGGGATTTCTCAATGGTACAATGTAGAAGTGACACTAGTTTACTTACCGTCCCTCTTCAGCAATTCTCTCCATGTGTTTGTAGTAAAAAGATGAATTCATTTCAATAGATCCACTAAAAATCGCTGAGAATAACATTTGATTGATGAAAAAGAGAGCGAAAACAAAGAAGAAAAGAAAAAAAAAGAAGATTCATGAAAGTTTTCTTGAGAAAGCAAAAGATTTCTTTGAAAAGTTTCGAGGTATTTAGTTACAGAGGATCACTCTTTCTCTAATGGGTTTAAAATGGAAAAATTCTTTCAGAGATTTATTTACATTGAGGATTTTTTTTGTGAAGACTAAAGCTGTATGTAACCAAAAAAAAAACTTTTTAGAGATAAGATCGTGATCGTCAATTTTTCGTGAAGGCACAAATTTCAGCGTCAAAATGTGTAATTAAGAAAGATTTTGTTAGTAATCATGGGGGAATTTTGCGTTTCACGTAAAAAGTTGAATTTAGGGGCATTATAAAAATGGGAATATCAAAAGAAAACTGTAAAAATAATTCCAGAAAAGAGTTTTTCACATGAAAAGTATTAAGAAAATCAAAAGAAATTTTTAAAAAAATGCTTTTTTAAACAGCTCGTAGATTTGCTAGTACTAGAATTTGAGTAGATTTGATCAGATCAGATCAGTAGGTTCAAGAAAGTATTGGAAAATCTGTAGTTTTCGATTTGACAGTAAAGCAATGAGGCTCGTTAGGCATTTGATGGAAATAGAGAATTCTGGAAGACATTGTGAAGAGATCTTTTTGCACTGAAGACATGGGATGACTATAAAATGAATTCGTGAATGATGGAAAGGGGAAGGGGAAATGGATAAACGGATGAGAAGAATGAAAAAAGGGCAGTGTTTAGATGTGCTAAAGAGTTTTCACATGGGGTTGATAGGGGAAGGGAGGCCCCTATGAGCTCTCATCACCCATCTAACCCCTTCTTTCTTCCGTTGTCTCTCTTTTCATCCCCATTTCGAGATTTGAACGAAACAAACCCCTTCCTTGCCCCCTTTTCCCCATTCCACAATCCGATTCAATTTTGCCTCCATCTTCTGCTTCAACCCTTCCCCTTTCCATATACACAAAAGAACAACAATCCTATCAACAGAACATCATTTTCTCTTTTTATTTAATGCCTTTCTCTCGATTTCATTTGCAGGACAGCGCAGTGAACTAATTGTAAGAGCTGAGAAAGCAATCATCTCTAGCCAATCATTACAAATCAATCAAAGTTTCTGTTAAGCTTCTTTTTATTCTTTTATGAGCTAACTATTAGGTTGGCAAGTTATAAACGATCGTTTTTGAGTAATGTGTTTTCCTGAAAAAACGGCTTATCCAATCAAAAAATGGTTTGCTTGATTCAAAAGCCCTATCCTTAATCTACAAAATGGCTTTTTTGAATTTTTGAAAAATCTTTTATTTTAGAACTTTTTCAGGCATTTTAATGTAAAAGTTGAAAATCCTGATTTCTAGCATTCATGAATGCTAATATATTTTTGAGTGATTGAATACTTTTTAAAATAAAACGCTTCATCGATTACATAGTTTCCCAAAAATTTCAGAACAATCCAATCTTCGGAAGGTTGATTTTCAAATTAGACTCAAAATGCACTTTTGTGCTAATTTAATCCATTTTCGTTTGAATTTAAGCAAGATTTTAAAAAAAAAGATTAAAAGAAAGAGAACGGTTTGATCGATTGGATTGTTCTGAAATTATAACTTGCCAACCTAATAACCTAATAACACAGCTCTCTTTTTAGAGAACAATATACAATAGATTTTATCTTATGACATTTATTTCTTTAATTTTCAAATAACCCACTCGTCTTCGAGAATCGGTTGTCCAAGTGTCGACGAGAGTGATCGCCATGCACTGCTAAAAATCGATTGAGTTTACAAAATAAAATATACTTTGTTTCTTATGACATTTAAAGTTTAGTGTTCAGGGCACATAAATAAAAAGTGGGGGAAAAGGAAGAGAAGAGAAGAGGACAATTAAGAGTGAAGAAGTGAAGGCACAGCTCTCTTTTTAGAGAACTCTTAGAAAATAGAAAAAGACACAAAACGGCTAGCAACAAAAAAACGTTAGCAACCAATCTTTTTTTTCCTTTAAATCCACTATAATTTGTCTTAAAGTCAAAATTTTGAGATGAAGACAGGAAATGGATAAAAAATCGAGTGGATAAAAGATTTGGATTGGATTATTTTGTGAAAATACTGTAAGCAAAGTGAAAGCACACTTCGATTGAAGTAGAATGCAAAAAATGAGTTTATGATTGTTCACCGAGGTCTGGGTTAGGCAAAAGAAAAAGTTTAAGGTTTAAAGCTTGAGAAATGGAAATGATTCTGAAAGAAAACACTTTGCAATGATGTCAAATATTAACTTCTTTCTTCTACTCAAGAAGAAGTCGAGAGTTGATGATTGTTTTTGGGCGATTTGACATGAGAATGGAAAAGAAAGAAAAAGAGAAAAAGAGAAAAAGATATGCATCGTTTATGGAATCTCTTTTGAAAATGGGGACCCCTTTTCCCTTCACTCATATCACATTTGATGTCAAAAGTCAAAAGGGAAAGAGAAACAAATTAGAAGACTGATGATTGCCGAGTAAAAGTCTGACATTCACATCTATTCATCTCATTTTGGGTGAGTCTAAAGATGGCAACAACGATGAAACGTACAATTTGGAACGCTAGTGATGTTTGATTTTAAGTAAGTGCTAGTCTTTCTTCAAATTTTATCTTTTTATATGATGATACTTGGAAAAAACGTCAAATTATCAAAAAAATATAACAAAGAAATGCTCTATGGGATAAGCTGCAAAGCAAATGCAAACTTGTATCAAAGCTCTAGCAGCTCTTTCTAGAAGTGAATTTTGCGAGTACTTTTCTTGAGTTATCGGACATTTGAGACGCTTTGCCTTTGCCATTGGCAATCCAACTTTGAGCTCAAATATCTTGGTGTTGGGCTGTTCAATTTAGATACTCTTTGTATCATTGGATGCGCCAAGTCTTTCTCTGTCGATTGGTACAAAAACTATTTAAATTGGACAAGACGGAAAAAACGTCAAATTATCAAAAAATATAACAAAGAAATGCTCTATGGGATAAGCTGTAAAGCAAATGCAAACTTGTATCAAAGCTCTAGCAGCTCTTTGATTCGTTTACCTGTGCCATTCTTGTCTCATCTTCACCCAAACAATCTCCTCAGCGCATGTTTCATTCATTCAAGAAATGATTTGATTAGGAAAAAATAAGACAGAATAAATCTAGCTAGTTTAAATGAATGATGAAAACAAGAAGAAGACGAATATAGAAAGCGGCCGGAGATTCTCAAATTCGAGAAGAAAAAGGGAAAAAAAGAGGAAACCTTTTTTTTTGGGCGGAAAGATCCATCTGCATGTTTACCAGTTTTGGGGTGATGAGACTGAAAAACGGAAAAGGAAGATAAAGAGAAAGAAATAGAATAACTGGGAAGATGTCCAAAAATGAAGAAAAGAGAAAAAAAAGAATAAAGAAATAGAAATAGAAAATATATTTGATGGGTTATGAATAAATAAATGGAAATAAAGAAATGTTAGTTGTACAAAACAAGTTTCATTCCTTTTTTTCGTCAAAGATTGAAAATCTAATAGGTTGATGCATAAGTCTTTTCGTTTTTTCGTACTTCTGTTAAAAAGTAACAAATTCACCAATTAATCTATAGTTTGCTCTATAAAAAAAGTGTTTTTTTGTTCAATTTGCATCTTTTTAAATGAATTTCGGTTCACTTTCAAGCAAATTCGAGAGTGAAAAACGCCTTTTTCGTAAAAATCTATAAAAAACTCTACGGAAAAATTGGCTGAATGAATTTCTCTGAAATTTTGGCGAAATATCAAACGTTTTGTTTTCTCTATCTTTTATCTATTGACACGAAGATAGGTTTTCTTTAGCTAAGGTGTCTAAACCTAAGGCTAAGGTGTCATCGAGTTAGCCCTTTTTGACTACCCGACTTCATACTCTCAAGAAAATCCAGGCATTAAATACTTTTAAACCCGTTTTAATGTTATTTTGCAGAAAAATAATTGGTTTTTCTAATGAAATCAACCGTAGTTTAATTGGTGCATTTGTTGGCTTGAAACGGCAGACGAAAAGGAACAAAAACACTTATGCATCAACCTAATATTTGAAAATCTAAATGATGGAAATTAAATAAGAAATTGTTAGAATAGAATAATGTCTTTTGACCCTTTTATTGGTTTTTATTATTAATAAAAAAAACCGTTTCTTTTCATTGTGATAAGCTATCATTGGTAAAACACAAAGCTAATTCTAAAATTTGTAGACTCAATAAAAGGAATATCTCCAATCGATTCCCGACCCAGAAAACTCCAGGTGCAAATTTACAGCTTAATAACTTCATTTAAGAACATCTGAAAAGCAAAAGAAAATTCCCTACGCAAATGACTGGCGCGGTCTTCTTTGTGCGCGCGCGCTCCCCATCTGGCATAGGGCTCTGGTATAGAGTGCTTCCGTTTTGCAAGCAGGTACAGGAGAAGGAGCGGCCAGCAAGTTTGCCTTCCCGCTTCCTGGGCGTTACTACGGCCAAACTTATGGGACCAATTTTTTGGCCCAAATTTGGCTGTATTCCCACAAATTCTACACGACGCCAAACCAGCCGAGACATTTCCAGAATTCCAAACCAAAGAAACATTGTACTGAAGCCAACATCTTTCCTTTTCCCAACAAGGATTTAAGGAGTTGAATTCCCGGATTCGAGTTCGGTTCGGTTTCCATTTCTTATTTTGATTTATTTTGATTTAAAGGAGAGTTCCGAATTGAAAATGATTATCACTTTGGATTTTGCATGTAGCAATGGAAAGTTCACAATGAAAAGACCCGTTTTTTCGAGAAGAAATGGGATTACAAGCTTTTTGCAGAAATTTACCAATTTATCTATTAGCAACTGAAGATAATGTAAAAACTCTTGATTACTAAAACAGAGTGTTGTGTAATAGAAAGTGTTGTGTAATAGAATTTGATCGTATTGTGATTTTTCGATTGAAATTTGTTAAGTAAAATATAGCATAAGAGAAATCGTTGGCCGTTCGTCGGGAAAAAAATGATGATTGTGAACATAAATTTTGATGGGATTCACACGAAATTTGGTGGAAAAGGAAGGGATTGGGCCCCAAATTAGCATTTACGATGAACTCGTCCACTTATGGTTCATTTACCCAAGAGATTTCCCCAATCCTCATCCAATACATTATCGGAAATTTCAATTTCACATCACAACTTATCGATTGAAGCACAAATTTCAGTATCAATATTTTCAGACTACTCAAAAAAATACGATGAAGCTACCGTAGCACAATTTTCCTGCTTGGCGGTGGACGCGTTTGAAGAACCATAATGATGTTGATGGCTGATGATAGATAGAAGTGTGCTACGAATAGGAATAGAGCAGTCAAAAATAGCAGAAAGCTTAGAAAATATAGCAAAAATCCCTTTTAGCCTCCAATGAGAGCTTTTTTGAGATAATGAGAGACCGGGGGCAATCAAAATATTTGTAAAAAATCACTGCGAGACAAGGGAAGATTCCGCTTTGAAAATGAGTCTTTTTGAAAAAAGAAAGAACAAAAAAAGAGTCAGTTGTTCTTTTTCCCAAGGAATAGAAGGAAGTCCAGATTGAGGGGAAAAGTTTTTTTTTTGTGAAAAGAAATATTAAAAAAAAGGAATATAGAAATACGATTTACGAAATTTATTCCCAGTCTGATGATTTGATCTTTTTATTTGATCTATTTTTGGGCGTTCATCGATTGAAAAAGAAAGTTGAAAATGGGGAAAATGAGATGTAAAATAGAAACAGAGACAGAGAAATTCGTATTCAATTCAACACTTTCGTTTTTTTAGAAAATTGAGAATTTTCCCTTTTTGAAAAAAACTCAAGAGAATTTTAAATGGCTTAATGACATTTTAAAGGCACAAAACTTGTTTCATTTTTATGAAAACATTAGATATTCTAATATACTTTTGTTAAAACTTACTTCAAAAATTCGACTTTTCGTTTTTCCATACACTGAAAAGCATGATCCAATCAAAATGAATGTAATGTCTTGGATGAAAAAGTGAAAAGAGAACAACCTTACAGATGAAATATCGAATGAGATTAAGTAAATGAAAAAAAAAGAAAGAACACAATGTTTGGAATGAAAAATGAAAGCAAAAGAAAAAGATTTTCAAGCTGTTTAGTCAATCAAAAAGAAAAGAACAGTTGGCTGATTTTGGGAGGGAAAAGATTGGGGGAAAGCGAAGGAAATTAATGGATTGGAACGATGAAAGGAGAAGCGTCATATCCAATGTTAATATGAACATATTAAATAGATTCCAAATTCAATTTTACTTGCGGAGAGTTTTCTTAACTTTTTTCATTTTTCTCAACTCACTTCAGTTCTCCTAAATACCCAATGGTGGCACTTTTGTGTCTCCAAAAAGTGAGTGAGCGAATCGATGTGAAAATCTCGGTCAGTGGAGCTGGATTTGTGGCTAAATCTTCTTTATATATGTTTATTTGTAGCAAAAAAGACAAAGGATAAGATATAAAGATGTTCCAACCGAATCCTAGGATCTGTAAGCCAAGCGAGAGCCAAGCCTGTAGTCTAGAAGTGAATTTTGCAGGTACTTTTCTTGAGTTATCGGACATTTGAGACGCTTTGCCTTTGCCATTGGCAATCCAACTTTGAGCTCAAATATCTTGGTGTTGGGCTGTTCAATTTAGATACTCTTTGTATCATTGGATGCGCCAAGTCTTTCTCTGTCGATTGGTACAAAAACTATTTAAATTGGACACCCCAACACCAAGATATTTGAAGTTGGAAAGCCAATGGCAAAGGGGGCGAGGCGCGCATCAAATGTCCCACAATCCTTTTTGCGGGTCATAGGGGTCAGGACATGGCTTCTAGCATACTAGCTAGCTTGTTAGCCTGGTCCGAATGATTTTCGAATAGGTAACTCGGAAAAGCTATCACCTACAGTACCGAGCAAAAGTCTTGCAACATCACTTTTTCAAAAAAATGTATGTTTTTATGGAAAACACCTCTCGTTCGTAGGGGTTTTTTGTTTGTTTTTAATTAGAGTAATACATGTACACTTTCTTTACAAAAACAAATTTAAAGTTCAGCGTAAAACAAAAAAGTAAATAGCAAAACTACTAAAAGATACCCTAAAAACTGGGTGCAAAAGTCTTGCAACATTTTCTTTTTCTCATTTTTACTGTTTTAAAATTAATTAATTCACACTAATTTTTGTTTTTTTTTCGAATAGAAGCCGTTGTTTCCTGTGGCTGGCAGTGATCAAAGGCTTTCGCACAGACCTCCGGTTATACAATCCTGTTTGAATCGTCGAGAAACGGTCCATCGGGAGATATCCTTGTTTGCAACATCCTTGATCAGCCGATATCCTTGTTTGCAACATCCCTCAGTCGATGTCATGTTCGGATCCTTCTTGGAAGCCCTCATGAGTATTCGATCCTCTTTTGCTGTTTTTCTTGGCCGTCCTTTCTTCTCTCTTCGGTGTATACGTCCAGTTGTTTTTGCTTTTGAAACAATGCGAGAAACGGTCGACGGATCGCATTTGAAGAGATCGGAGACACCGGCTCGAGAAATTCCTTTTTCTCTTACTTTCACGATTTTTTTTCTTTTTCGGGAGTCGTCAAGTAGGTCGACGATTCAAACAGGATTGTATAACCGGAGGTCTGTGCGAAAGCCTTTGATCACTGCCAGCCACAGGAAATAACGGCTTCAATGCGAAAAAAAAACAAAAATTAGTGTGAATTAATTAATTTTAAAACAGTAAAAATGAGAAAAAGAAAATGTTGCAGGTCGCCCTAGGTCGCCTGATTTAAACGTTATTGAGAATTTATGGGCTTACATGAAGACAAAGTTAGGAGGAAAAGACTTTCACACAAAAGTTGACTTATTTCCTCCTTACAGCTAGTGACATCGAAGCTGCTTTCAAAAAGTTGAGACCCAAAAAATCGCCTAGTCCAGACAAAATTACTGCTTTTGTTCTAAAGAAACTACATAAAGGGCTAGTCATTCCTCTTGCCAAATTCTTCAATAAAATTTTGCTTGTCTCTGCGGTCCCAACTTACTGGAAACAATCTCTTGTGTCGCCTCTTCTCAAAAAATCGCCCAAAAATATATTCGCTAATTATCGTCCCATTTCTTTAACTTCTCCTGTGTCAAAACTTTTTGAAATTATCATAAAAGATAAAATTTTTCAACATTTTGATAAGTACAATCTTTTTCTGACCAGCAGTTTGGCTTCCTTAAAAATAAATCCACAACTTCTCAACTTATTTTAGCCTATAAGTCCTTTTTCAAAGCTTTAGATCAAAAAGAAAAATCTATTTCCCAACTAGAAGCCGTCTTCTTAGATTTTGCAAAAGCTTTTGATTCTGTTCCCATTGATCTTCTAATTCACAAACTGCATGCTTACCGGCTCAGCCCACTTGTAATTTCGGTCGTCAAAAATTTTCTTTCTCAGCGGACTTTCAAAGTAATTCTAAATAATGTTCTTTCTCCCTCTTTTGATTGTCCTAGCGGGGTTCCTCAGGGTAGTATTCTTGGTCCTCTTTTGTTTACTATCTATATTAATGACCTGCCTAACTGTCCTTTCAAATCAAAAAATTCCTCCATCTGGCTCTATGCCGATGATATTAAGCTTACGTTCAAAATTCCCATCGGAACTCAAGTAGCTTCGCTTGCGGCTGTAAAAGATGCAAACCATGACTTAGAACTTATTAATTTGTGGGCCAAAACGTGGAAGCTTTCCCTATCCCCTTCAAAATCTCAACATTTTTCCACTGGTAAATTTAGTTTCTCTTTGGTAATTAACAATATTCCTATCAATTACATTAGTAAATTAGATTTTGTTAGAGATTTAGGTGTCCACATCTCTCCCCCTTTTAATTTCACTAAACATATTGAAATCATTTGTCGAAAAGCTTCTTTTGTTTCTAGCCGTATTCTCAAATCAATTGTTCATCCTAACCTAAACTCTTACCGCAAATGCTTGACGACTTATATCCGGCCCATCTTAGAATATGCTTCTATTGTTTGGTCTCCCCGCGCACAAGTCTTTATTGAACGCTTGGAGAAAATTCAGAGGAGGTTCACAAAAGTCGCTTTATGGAAAATTGACTATTCTAAATATTCTAGCTTTACTTATGAGGAGAGACTTGCTTTTTTTTAACTAAAAACTTTACAGCATCGTCGCTTTGTCATTGATTTAGTCGAAACTTTCAAAATCCTCCGTTGTAAACAGATTAGCCCTTTGTTTATAGACTTTTTCAAATTTAAACCGCGGTCAGGGCCCAGAAGTGGCTCATTCCTTTTGCAAATTCCCTTTGCTTCCAATGCCTCTTTATCAAATTCATTTCGCGTTAGAGCCGCTAGATTATGGAACTTGCTCCCAAACGACATACGAGAAATTCAGTCGCTTTTCATATTCAAGAAACGTATCGATGCTTTAGATCTAGTGGCTCTTTGCCGTAAGTAATTGGCTTATTGATTTCAGTATGTATTGTATGATTAAGTATCACTGTGCATTTCTCTATGATTTCTTTCACTTTATCGTTTGAATAAAGTATTATTATTATGGTTCTACGTACGAAAAGTTTGGAGCTCAATTCGACCAGCAATTCTTCACGAATTAGTCGACTCAATGCCTAAACGACTTAATGAAGTGATTTTGGCAAAAGGTGGAGCGATTGATTAATTTTTGATGTTTCTGTATAATGTTGCAAGACTTTTGCACCCAGTTTTTAGGGTATTTTTTAGTAGTTTTGTCATTTACTTTTTGGGTTTTACGCTGAACTTCAAATTAGTTTTTGTAAATAAAGTGTACATATATTTGTGTAACTAAAACTATTAATGGCTTAAAGAGCGCCATGAACTTTATCAAAGAAAATTGATGAAACTTTTTAGAAAAGTAAGTGGGACAAGACTTTTGCACCACAGTGTATTATTCTAATCAAAAAAACAAACAAAAAAAACTCTACCAGGAGGCATTTTCTATAAAAAATTTTCATATATTTTTTGAAAAAGTGACGTTGCAAGACTTTTGCTCGGTACTGTACCATTTTCCCCATTCACACATTGTTGCTGTTGTTCTTTTTGTTCATCATCTTCTCGTGGATCCTCCGGTATATCTCCCAACGATGATCGCACTTTGATCAATTTAAAATTTTCAGAAAGTTTAAAAGTTTTATATTTCAAAAAAAACCTTGATCTTCGACTTTTTCGATAGCAACTCATCATTGAGAAAATAGAGAGAAAAATCGAGAATATTTTGTAAGATGAATTGCGAAAAGTAATGACTGACTGAATTTGGCTTCATTTGCGACAGGTGAAAACGCTTTTGCTTGACGAAAATGAGCTGAACGATTTTTAATGACTTTTTTTGTTCATTTATTAGGCTGGAAAGAAAGTTCTCAAGAAAAAGTTTGAAAAGAATTTCTTAAAAAACGAATCCACCAATTCAAGAACATTTTGTTCTATTATCTACAAGTGGAATCCAAGAAATTACTCGTAAAAAAAAAGGAGTGCAGCTTTCCCATAAAATTTTAGAGATTTTTGAAAAATGATTTATTTTCCAGCTTAAATTCAGCTCACTCTTTGCACGAGAAAAACAACGATTCCTTATGAGGTAAAGCTAGCATAAATGAGCAATACGCTCTATCACCTCTATTTTTCGCCAAAAATTTTTTACAGAGAAGCTGTATTTCAAAAAAATCATTTTTTTTGTGTCATCTTCTTGGCACTGAGTGTTTGCTAAAATAGGTGATTCTGAAAAGTTAAAAAGCATTAAATAAAATTTGCCTTTATCACAAATTTTCCCTATTTTAAGGACTTGATTTTAGGTTTTAAATGGGACCCATTGCCTATTCATTAATCCATTAAAAAATTGTCCAAAGGCTGGTCACTCAAAAAATGACCAAGTAACTTCAGCTGAAGAAATCTCTTATTTTTTTACCTGAAGCCCACTCTAATTTTTTTGATCAAAAAATCTGGAAAGAATTCATGGCTTGATTTTTGAGAAATCATCGTGTAAACTTTTTCCGAGAACTTTCTTTTGAACTTAATAACTTAAATCTATACAAAGATCATCGTCGATAGAATCGAAGAGATAAGCTACAAGCTACCATCTCTTGCCCCATAAAGTCCTGACTTAACCCCTTCAAATTATCACATTGATTGAGACGCCAATAGTTCAGTGGTAGAGTGTCTGCCCGGAATGGGACCCATTGCCTATCCATTAACCCATTAAAAACTTGTCTAAAGGCTAGTCACTCAAAAAATGACCAAGTGACTTCAGCTGAAGAAATCTCATTTTTTTACTTGAAGCCCACTCTGATTTTTTTGTCAAAAACTTTTTGAAATATAGTGAATTTTATTAAAGATTCTGGGAAGAATTCAGGAAAGGCACAGGTTTTTGAGAAATCACCGTGCAAACTTTTTCCGCGAACTTTCTTTCCAGCCTAATATTTCAATTTGTCTTTTAATCGTATCTCGATTAACATTAAAAAATTTTTATTATTTCAACAAGAACAAAAATTACAACAGTTTCGGCGACAAAAAAAAAAGCAGGCGATTGGACAAAAACAAAAGATAATGAAGATGACACAAACGATTAGAAAAATGAAAGAAAAAATGGTCAGCACACCAGATTTTTCATTTCATTTAATCAAATCACACACCATCCATGCGCAAAAATAAACCTAATTTATCGTATTATGAATGTCCTTTTAGTGGGACATAAAAACGCGATTTAAATAAGATTTCCTAAATAAGGATTTCTCTTAAATTTTGTATGGCCCAACACCACCATAAATTGACCCAATTTGATCGATTTTCGAGAAAAGTATGTGAAAACTTTTGGGGCAAAAGGACAAACTAAAAAAAAACAATTTGAATAACCTAGATCAATGACAGATTGGAGAGAAAAGAACAAGGCAAATAAATAGAGCAAAATGGAAAAAAAAAAGTAGAGGAAAAGGGGCTAAAATTGCGGATTGGCTTCGATTTTGCGGGGAAATGTGGAGTATAAGGTAGTAGACATGGGGAAATTCCAACCCGAACCTAATTCCACCTTGACCGATTGCTCGGAAATTTTGTCTACAAGCAGTGAATGCTAATTTCTAGTTGTAAACAAAATTTCAGAACAATCGGCCAAGAGCCGGCTGAGAAAACGATGGTGGAATTAGGCTCGGGTTGGAATTTCCCCACGTTTATAAGGTAGCCAAAGATACAGACATAACCCTTGGCATACTGTAGGAAATATGTGTTATAGACTGTAGTAAACAGTAAAAGGTAAATATTTAGCATTTTGAGATTTCGGAGTTATCTTTTGACGATCTTTCAACCATAATCTACCCCCTTTTTCACCTCCACAACTCCACAATCTCCACAATTCCCTCAATGACAAAGAAAAGCACGATCACGAGGCCACATTGGCAACAAATAACTCGAATGGTAATCCACAAAATGATTCTTTTTTTGAACGAATCAATTAATCAAAAAAAAAATGAGTCAATTTATTGATATAAATATTCAAAAGAACAAAAGAATCAATTTTCAGCGTGGAATTACTACCCGTTTCAAACGAGAGACAATGCTTGGCCAGCTCGCGTTCGTTTACAAATATAAAGGATATAGGGGAATAAATATTATCAACTATATGACTTTTAAATTTCCATTTAAAAATTGAAAAGTAAAAACAAAAAGTCATAAAATAACAAAATGTTGGGGCAACACAAAAAATTTTCTCACACAGGCTTTTGCCGTTATTTGTGAGCAATGAGTCACCATATCACCAGTAAACATTTGAAGATAAACATCAAAATAAAAATATCTAAGAGGCTTTGAAAAATAACAACAACAATTGCAAACAAGAAAAGAAGAACACGCGGGGATTTGTGTGAAAGATTTCTCCGAATTTTTCTTCATATTAGAGAATGATTTTGGTTGATGAGGAAAAAAGACTAGAGGGAACGAAAAACGAATGAATCAATTTCATGAAGTACCCTTGAGTAAAGCATGAAGATTTCCAACTCCGTCAATTTTTTGCTCCTAAATTGAGAAAATTATAAAATTTGTGGTATTCTGTCAAGCTTTTTACAGAATTTTTGATTCAAAACTCAGCTCAAAGATCTTGTAATTGAGTTAAATACCTTTAAAGCTTCGGCGAGTTTTGTTGATTGTTCAGGAGAGAGCTTTTGAATGAATTTGATCTCATCATATGTCATTGCAGTCAAAGCCTCGTGATCTTGTTCAAGTCCTTTGTTGATTTCAGCCTGAAATTTTGTGGTAAAGATGATAATTGTTAGGTGATTTTGACGTCATAAGACTCTTTTTGAATTGCATTACGTCTTAAAACAGTAAAGAAATTGATTTTTTTGATCTAGGACTTTGAGCTAATCAGTTTATGCCAGCAATCTTTGCGATTTGTTCAATTCTCTGCATTCAAATTGAACTTGCCATTCTTTTCAAAGCGACCACAAGAAGTTCAAAAGCGGGTCGTTTTGATCGTGGATCTTTTGATGCCTCAAGGAATGTCAAAGCGAAATTTTCAAGTTGTGGTCGTTTTTCCGTGAAATCGGGCAGATCACAGTACACAGCGTTGATGATCACCTGGAATTTTGTTTAGAGTTTCCTTGTTTCCTGTTTAGATTAGAGTTTTCCTTTTGTATGCCATTGAGGCTTTATAAAATCACCTCAGCGAATCTTTCCCAAATATTCGGGCATTCCTCGTATTCCTCACTCGTAATCACGTAGTTGCAAAAATCGGCAAATCCTTTAGCGACATCCGTTTCATCTATCATCTCACGCTTCAATTCTTCCGATTGTAAGAAATAGGCCAATATATGACCGGTCAATTTCTGATCTTGTTTCGTCTAAAATGGATAATTTTGAGATGAGATATAATAGCCATGACCGCGACTGGCTAAGAGCTCTGTATCTTAGTCGGGAGGTCAAGGGTTCAATCCCGCCGGCATAGATTATGAGTTCTTTTTCTCCATATATAGATTAGTTTTTTTCTTCCCTACATTTAAGGCTTAGTGATTGTGCTTATGGATTGTTTGTACCACGTTGTTCGTGTGAATAAATGTATTTTTAAAATAAAGTTTTAAGTTACCTCGCGTAGCACTGTGACAGCAAATGCTTTGAATAACGCTCGAACGGTGAGACCATTCTTTTTCATCGTTTTGAGGAAATCTTCCGGACACTAAATCATACATGAAATCTCATTGTGTGCCATTTTTTCTTACCGTTTCGATTTTCTCGTAACCACTTTGCACTTCCTCTATGCAACCGTGAATTGCTTGAGCCGCCTTTTTCTCTTCTGCGCTCAATTCGATCGGTTCATCATTTTGCTCATCAAGTGACACCTATAAAAGTTTAGTATTAAACAATCGATGTTGTAATTAGGTGACAATGTTAGATTTGCAAATCACCTGAGAACTTGATCGGATCGGATTGGGTGAAACGGATCCGTCTCGAGATGTCGAATCGGGTGGAGGAGTGGCGGTGACCGGACGGGCCTTTTCCTCATTTTGGGTGATCGCTCGAACAGAGTCGATAGCTTTGGCCCGTTCATCATCGACCGATAACTAAATTTGAGCTATTAGCTAGTTGTTCTTGATGCCAATTATGTGATGTTTGTCATGTTAAACTGTACTTTTCGTTGTTCACTCGTTTCACGGCTGCCCCGTTCCCCTTGTGCGTTGCTGTTTTTCCTAAAGCAATGGTCATTAGAAAACGGTAACTCTTAGATATTCAGTTTAAGTAAGATTTCTATTTTTCACTAGTAATCCTTGTGAGCAACTATGCTAACTCCGGCCCTTTTTCGGTTCATTTGCCATTGGCACTCTACGAATTTCGCTCGTACCTTGACCGGGTTTGTTTGAAAAACGTTGAATTTGCTTTCATTCGATAGAAAATTTGATTTCGAGTCGAATGAAAGCAAATTTAACGTTTTTCAAACAAATCCGGCTAAGGTACGAGCAAAATACGTAGATTGTCAACGGCAAATGGACCAAAAAAGGGGCGGAGTTAACATACCTGCTTGTGAGCAATTTTGCATACCTTTCATTTTCGGTTAGCCCAATGCTCGCTCCTTTTGATCCCCAACTTGGACGTCCGAGTTGATTGTTCGACATATTCATTGCCTAAATTTTCCCCCAATTTTAACTCTAAAAAAAATTCCAACCGTCATCAAGGATTTCTTTTGTTGTGGTGCAGCTCCAGTTCCGGACATATTCGCGGTGTTTGCAGCCGCTTTTCTTCTTTCATTTGGATTCACCCTAGAAACTCGTGATTCATTTAAACAAACGCGAAGCACTCACTTGGCATTCAACGAATTTCTGCCGACAACTGGCCGTTTTTGTGCATCCGATCGATGGTTGACATTCGATGGTCCACGCCCTTGATCCCTTTCATAGCGATCTCGTGCCACTTGATTTTGAATCTGTTCCTGTTTGATCTCTTCATGTAATTCATTCAATTTCTTTGGCCCTTGATCGGCAACTTTTCTCTTATGCCAATTGTTATTTCTGAGTTCTTGCAGATTCATGATCATAAATCTAAAATAGAAATTTTGACTTCAATTTGTGTCCGATTTGCATACCTGATTCTAGCTGAAGCGCGTTTCTTGATCTCCTCAATATGTCCCATAAATTGATCGAATGTCACAAGTCCGGCCACTTTTTGTGGCGGTTGTGCTTGTCCTTGTGCTCTTCCCCTTTGCTGTTGTTGTGCCTCTTGTTGTGCCTTCTCGATGAATCTTTTTCCTTCAGCTTCCATTTTTGGCCCAATCGATTCCATCAATCGAACAGAACAATCAATGGCTTCCTACAAAAAAAATCATTGTCTATTTTATCTAACAAATTCCACCTCAGTCTCCGGCGAGAAAGTGTCCGTTCCAACAGTTGATTCCCTCAGCAATGTCATGATACACCACGAAACAACTTTGTAGCTCAATAATTGTTGATAGAAGAGCTGACCAATGAATCTAAACACAAAATCGATTAGATCTATTAAATTTTAATAGTACGTGATATTTCCAAATCTTCTCCTTCGAATCTTTGAATCGTATTCTTGCAAAGAAAGGGCAAGTTGAGCTTTCTTTTGTTCATCAGCTTCAGTCTCAATTTCTTGCACCTGAAATGTATAGTTTTGTTGAGTAAAATCCAGCTGTCCTCATTTATCTGTCTATTATTCTTTTTCCCCCAGCTTACCTTTTCTCTTCTTGCATCATCTTCAGCTTTTGATGTTTCAAATGTTCGTTGTGATCGTGTCAAAATTGCATTTCGGAAAAGCGATGCGTTCCCACCCTTTTTCAATTCAAGATCAACCTAAAAGATTAGAATTGAATCGTTTAATCGCTAATTTATTAAACATTCAGTTCCAAACCCACTTGTACTTTGCACATTTCAGAATACAATGGACAGAACTTTGGCTCTTCGACGGCTTTATCAAAGATGATCTCGATGACATCTTTCAAGACTTCGGGATCATTTGACACTTCAAATGACAACAATTCTTGAGTCAATTCTTTCTAAAGATAATATTTCTATTATGTTTGAATTAAAGTCATTCTAATCACCTGTGTCGTTGGTGTGACCTTGTTCATCAATGCTCGGACATTCTTGAGGACTTGCTAAACGGAATATTTGTATGCATAGGTCTTTACAATTTTTTTTTCAAATTTTTGTTTCCATGGAAAAGAATCCTTTACCAAACTCCTAAAGTATTAAAAAAGTCTATCATTTCTCTACAAAATGGCTTTTAAAAGAAAGCGCAAAGCTCGCCTCAACTCGGCAAAAACGCATTTTTGTGTAAAATTTTTAATAGTTGTTTTAAAGAAAATGGCTGGACGGATCGTTTCCAAATTTTACAGACTTATATAATCAAATAAGCTCTATCTGTTTTATTTTGGCACCAGAATAGATTTGTATTGAAGAAAGTATCCAAATTGCGACTTCGGCATCGGACACAGTTTTGGGTGCTCGCTGCTGCTTTGCCTCTTTGAAAATCCCAAAATCCATTTTACAGAGAAACAATTAACCTTTTTAATAGTTCAAATAGAGATTTTGTTGGTGGCGGCATTATTTTAAAAGACGTTTGGAAAAAAAATGCAAAGAAAATATATCTTGTCATTTGTTAGGATACTCATATTTTTGCAGACTTACCTTTTTCTTGATTTCATCTTCTGAGCATCCATCCGTCTTTTTGTCTGGTTTCCATGCATTTTCCGTTCTTCTCAAAGGTGCGGCTCTCTCAATTTGCCTCTCAATTGATGGTCGTCCAATTGGTGGTTTTCGTGGATGCTGTCCTCTTTGGATATTTCCACCTCTCATCGAACTATCCATTGATCCACGTCCACCAACATATGGCTAAATTTTAAGGCTTAAACTCTTTTCAAATAATTATGTACATACCCTGGGCTTATTTGATTTCATCCAGTTTGGATTGAATGTACCGCCTTTATTTGTTTCCCTTGCCGGCACACTGCTCTTGTCAAGTCCCAATGTTTTCAGTTGATCGTCTGTCAATGGGCATTGTGTCCATTTGAACTCCTCAAAATTTTGAACAATTAGAAGACTTTTTAATGCGCAAACCTTTTCAATTGTGCAAACCAAAGAAAGGAATTCTCTCGAGTAGATATTCATTTCAATTTGTTCTTCCAGTGTCTTCATTTGTGTCACCAATTCGCTCTCTCGTTGTGTTTTTCTCTCGGCTTCTTCCGCGGCCTTTTCATCCTCGGATTTTCCATCAGCTAAAAGTTTTTATTAACTTTTGCAATTTTTTCCTTAATTTGTGCTTAAAATATCTAAAACTGTTCCAATATAAACCATAATAATCACTCACTTTCATCTTCCTCATCAATGTTATCAACCAATACACTTCCAGTCATTGCAACAGCAGCCGGAGCCTCGTCTGTCTCATTTCGTGTAATTGCTGGTGCAACAATTGTTTCGTTTTCTTTCTCATCAGTGGTTTCCTGAAAAAGAATTAATTGCATTTACCGTTTAATGTTTAACCTCTTCAAGTGAAGTGATTGTTTTATCCTGAGTATCATTTTGTTTTGTTGGAAGATTTTCACGTTTTTCCTAAAATTCTATGAATAAAATAATCCTCTATTATGCAAACCTTTGATTGTTCATTTTGTGCCGCATTTTTATTCACATCGACTTGAGTTGAAGGTGCTGCTTCAGCTGGAGTCGATTGAAGACTAAAAACGAAAATCTTTTCAACTGAATTTTCGTATAAATTTTTACCCAAAAATTCCCTTTAATGCAGATAGCATTGTTAAAGGATAATTTCACGGAAATCCACAATACATCAGTTTCGAAAGTGGCAAATGAAATGAAATAAATGAAAAGTTTCAGGTCGATAATTCCAGCGAGAGCTATGTGTGATGGAAAAGATAAGCGCGCACACGGTTGTGTCTTAGAGAACCAAAAAAAGAGGTGAAGGAGAAGGGAATGAGTGGGAGGAAAGAGAAAAAGAAAGGACATTGTTGTTGCTGTCAGTCCGGTTTTTGAAGCAAGTGGCACCAAAAAAGAAAAAGGAAAGAATTTACCAAAGAAATCCATTTGTGACTGCGAGATTTACCTTGGCTTCGTTGTGTTTACATTTTGAGTTGTGGGCTGAGGAACTTCTTTTTGCGGAACGGTGGCATCTGAAACTATAAAGTAAAGTAAAATCCGATAGGTTAAGTCCGATAGCCGTACTGTAAAATGCCATCGTTATGTCTGACTATAGTATGCCAAAGGGTAGTACCTAGTTTTAAGCCTGAGTTGCCAAAAACTTCAAAACGCATACCAAAAGATATCACATTACAGGGTGGCCCATAATTATAGGTGCAGTGGCTTATTCTTTATTATTATCAACTAACTCGACCTCTTCAAAGCTGAAATTTCGCATTGCACAAAAGCATTTTAAAAATAAAATTTGGATATTCCAACAAGACAGGGCTCCGGCCCACAAAGCCAAGAAAGTCTAAGATTTTTGCAAAGTGAAATTTCCCGATTCCACTCTTTTTCTGAATGACCGGATCTCAATTCGATAAATTATTCTGTCTGGTTCATCCTTGAGGCAAAAGCCTGCTCAAAATCGCATAAAAATGTTGAAAATTTGAAGAAAAGTCTTCAGAAAGCCTGGGATGAGCTCGATGATCTATTTGGTCGTCACCGTGGACGCCTTTTCTAAACGCTTGACTAAAAAATGGCGATCGCTTTGAATTTCATTGTTAATTTGTTGCTCATTGATATCAAATAAACATTTAAAAATAAAAGTTTGCTCTCTAAGGTTTTGTCTACCTACAAAGCTTTTTATCTGCACCTATAATTATGGGTGACTCTATATATTCCCACCTGTCGGTTTCTCATCAAGTTTCGCTTTGACCGTTTCAAGCAATTTATTTGCAAACTGCTTCTTGATTTCAGAAGTGGCTGCTGTTTGATCGGTTGATGGTTGAGCTGTTGCACCAGCATCTAAAAAGAACAGTTAACAGTATTTTAAGAATCTCAATCATGTAGCCACAACTCACCTTTAACGCCCAAACCGTGAACATCAACTGCCTCTTTCGTCTTTGGATCACAAATCAATAGAGGCTAAAAGAAAGATCGGGTTATTTTAAGCGACATTCAACTTACTATTAGATATTCACAATTGTTTACGTTAGCTAGCTATCCTTTATCTATGCTTACCTTTCGTTCGCGAGCTACTGGCTTTTCAGCAGGAGGCACAGCGGGAGGAGGTCCCTGCATTGTTTGCATATTTGGTGCCATTTGTCCTGGTATTCCCATTGCCATTGGATTCATAAAATACTGTTGTGGATATCCTGGGAAATTCGGCACATTCGGTTGTTGATGCATTTGGTGTCGTCTAAATCGAGAAATTATAGACCGAAAAAAACAAAAGTTGGCTTACGTGTAATTTTGATCCGCTGGTGGCATTGGTTGATAGTAATTTTGGACAGGCTGTTGAAATTGTTGAAAAGTGATTGGTGTATGCTGAGGCAAAGCCATTGTTGGATATGGTCCGCGAACTGGGATTTGTTGAGATTGATCACTAAAAGGTTTTCAGTGAGAATTGACAATTGTTTGGCCAAGATTTGTATAGTGGTCAATAAAAATAGATAACGATGACGTGTTGGCTTGTGGGAAAATCTATGATTGCCAATGGCATCTCTGACTAATATCTGTTCATTTTTACTTAGGTAATAGTTGTATTCTATAGTTTAAAGAGCACCAAGAACCATCAGATTCTGATCCACTTAGGTGACATCGTTACAGTACAGGCACAAGCTTGAAACAAGCTACAAAAGAGCTTTCTAGTCATATGTCATCGGGTCGGCACATGCATTTTAGCAAACGGCTTTTGTTTTCTAAAGAGTAAAAGCACGTTGTATCCACGTTTTAGAAAAAAAAAGTCGTTTGCTAGAATGCATTTGACCCGATGGCACATGTCTAGAGCTTTCAATGAATAAAATGTGCAGTTTCAAATATTCCTCAAAACTTACTATCCAGCATGTCCGACATTCACCGGCACGTGCGCGATTTGATATTGACCGCCATTTTGATTGATCACATTGTTGCCGTTTGGTCGAGCTAAAATATAAAATACTTGCCATGTTAAGAGAGTTGATCTTTGATCTAGTTTTTTAGATCAGTTATAGTTAATTTCTAACAGATAACTCACCTGGATTTCTGGCTGTTTGTCCATAGGACGACATCAAGTGTTTGAGTGAACTAAATAAAGTTATTTCATAAAGGGTACGTTTTTTGCGGACTGCTGAATGTCTATTGAAACTCGACCATTGGGTATTATTAAAGCTATGCAAAAGATCTAGGCTTTTTAATGGTAATATCTCAGGATATTACCATTAAAAAACAGACACTCATAGTCAGAAAGGCTTGGCATTATCACGTACTAGTCTACGTTTTTAGAAAAAATGCATAGCTTGGTCAAATCTGGTCAATGTATAGACTTTGCTATACTCATGTGAGATTTGGTGCTCGAGTTTTTCTATCTTTCAGTAATCCGCGAAAAAACAGCATTTTGAAAAACGCGAAAAACAGATTTAATAAAATTAACTAAAAAAAATGAAATGTGTAAAAAAAACAGAAAAGGTGTGCGAAAACACGTTTCAAAGACAAGAATATCGATCGAGAAATGTATGCTTGCGCCAATCAAAAACTCTATTTCAATTTTCTTGGGTCAAAATTGAAAAGAAAAGCAATAGACAAATGTTTTTGTGTGGATTTAGCAAAAAAAATAGCCAGCTCTCTTTCATCACAGAATCTTGGAACCTTTACAATTTGTATAAAACGGACTCTCGGGGGGATTTGCTTTTGGCAAAGAGTTTACCGTAATTGGCATGTAGCCAAAAGAGCGATGTGCAAAATAGATTTCAACCAAAAGAGAATACGGAGAAAAAGGGGACAAATGAAGAAGAAAAAGGAGCGATAAGAAGAAAGAAATGATGAAATGGAAAGATTGGGTACAACTAGTTTAATGCTATTTCTCACTACTTAACTATCGTATTCGAATAGAGCGGCTCCCCATTGTTGCGTTAGTTGTTGAATTCGTTGTTGAACAGAAATTCGTTGTTGAATTGTTTCGGGTTAAAATGCGCATTTCTTATTGGGTCTTAATAATAATCCATGCACTCTTGCGCTCCATTATCTATTACGTTATAGCGCAAGCAGGGAGGTATATACTTTTCATTTTTAATTTTCTAAAACCAGCAACCTGCAAGATCTTTTGTTGAACATTAAACATTAAAATTTAGCGTGCAACTCTAAATTTGCACTTATGCGCTAAAATTACGGCGCACAAATGACGCATTTTTCAAAGTTTGCTGTTAAACAAAAAAGTTCTGAAAAATATAGTTTTTTTTCCGCTTAATCCTTACTTTACTCCTATATTTGTTTATTTTTTGTTTTTTTTTTCGCTTTAATTACTTTCACAACAAAAACAATATGTTTAGATGGGAGAAAAGAGTCGAATCGCCATCGTTTGCCCCCAACAACTTCGGAATGGACACTTTGAAGAGGAAAATGGTGACGATGTTGATAAAGAAATTGTAGGTTATTTTGTTGTTTATCATCATAATTTTATAATATTCTAGACTGAGCAACCAATTGCAAAAATGTGCAAGTTTTGTTACTCGGATGAGGTGAGGAATTGTGTTGTTTATCGTAATTGATTTAGTTCTAAACAGATCTATTCAGATCGCAAATGATGTCTGGATGCATCCTTGTCGATGTTCGGGTTCTATGAAATGGGTACATGGACGATGTTTTTCTTTGTGGCTACGCAAAGCCCCGCCACAGCAACAGAATCAATGCCTTACTTGCAGGTTGATTGCTTGATTGTGTTCAAAAATTAAATTTCTTTCGAAATCATACTGGAAATTTTCTTATTTTCCTTTTAAGAAATAAAAGAATTAGGTAAGCAGCGCACGAGATCAACATTCGTAGTAATTTTTCACTATTGTAAAATAGATTAATATATATATAACAAATTTTTAAGAAGTTAAGGCGTAAAATACTCAATGTTTATTAAACTTTATGATTTTAGATTCGTTTACCAGAAGTATTGGGTATTGAAGAGTTTTGCTGATTGGTGTAGACCTCCACTAGCACTCACTGGATGGGAAATCTTTGAGGTAAATAAATTCCTATAATCTTTTCATTATAGTGTCTTTTTCAGATTTTTCTTGATGCTTATTCAACTTTCAAATTTATTCGAGGCTTGATTTGGACAATCGATGGAAAGAGGTATATTGATGTTTGTTTGATAAGCTAGATAATGTTTGATTTGATGAAGAAATAATGTTTGATACTCAGTTTGATAATCAATTTGAATTTTGTTTTTAGAAGTTTCCTGGTTCAAATGGCACACTTCTTCTTTTGGAGGACGTTTATTGCAACTGATAGAAGAATGGTTTACTATGGTAATGTTTTTGAATGATGGTTATTTAAAGATATTTTCAGGAAACCTTGGACGAACGGTTATGAGTTCCGTTTTTGACATAACTGTGAAAAATTACGAAAAGTAGGTGGTTTTCTTGCTCTGCTAAAATACTTTGTTTTCTAGAAGTTCTGAAAACTCCACCAATGATTCAATAATGGCAATCGAAAATGAAATGCAACCATAAATCATTCCAACAACACTTTCTTTGAACTTCTCGGGTGTGCACATATTCTTGTTTAAGTGGAAATTGATTTTGTTATTTGTCCGGTAATTTATAAATCTTGAATTTATTTTTGATCCATTTTATCCTTTTCACTTTTCTCTGCTCATCTCGTCTCAGCCAGACTCCCTCTAGTCAAGTGGTGTGCAAATAAAGTGGACACTTCTATTATGTGTGAGGCTGTTCTGTCCATTTTTACCTTATCCCGTTATATTTCTTAAGATATATTTTATGCCAACACATTGCCTGCTATTTTTGTTGTTTTAGTATGATAAATCGTTTTTACAGATAAGAATATGGTTCTTTTAGTGATAAGCTCCCCAAGTGGTGATTTTGGCCATTTATTTGAAATAACTATAGCAATGTATTAAAATGATAACATTATCTAGATGCACGGGGACTATGAGCAACTCGGGTTTGTTGAAAAATTGAAAATACGGGTGGCATATCTTCTGTTGGAAGCATCGAAAAATCCATGGGATGCGGCAAAGGTTAGTTAAATACGAATCAATTTGCATTTAAGAAAAACAATTACCGCAATACCTGTAAGAGTAACCCTATAATGACGTACAGTCGCGTAGTCGCTAAAGTAAATAATTTTTTTTGACCGTGCCCAGCGTTTTCTAAAATAAACTGTTAGTACCAAAAAATTCTTCGCTTCGAGCGCTATCTTTTGATATCTAAGCGCACATTTTTCGTCGAAGCAACGCAGAGAACCGAGCGTCACAAAATTGTGTGTTGGACTACGCGACTGTACGGGGGGCGCTACTATTACAGGTATTACGGTAGGTACAGAATTTGGATTGAAACCAATACGCCTTACGGTAGTTTTCAACAGACATGGACTCTTCCCTTTTTAAACCACAAAATTTGCAGACAATCATCACATGCATGATGCCGTTATTGCTTCTGGCTGCAGTTCTTGCTTACAAACTTCAAATGTCATTAAATAAGCAGAAAAAGTTGAAAAAGGTTAGTCAAAAGAAAGGAAATAATTAAAAATAAAGTTTTAGGCTCAAAAGAAGAAAGAAAAACTTTTGCAAAAGTTGAAGGCGTCACAAAAAAGTGAAATGGTGACGATAGAAAGTAATCCGAAAATGATTGACAATGAAAAGATCGAGAAAAGGAAACGAGAGAAGAATAAGAAATCGATGGACGAGGTGGGAAAAATAAAAAGAAAATAAGAAAAAGGAATAAATGAATGTTGATAAAGGAGAGAATTTCAGAAAGAGCTTCTCAAAATGGCAGAAATGGTTTGCGGGGAACCGGTGGAAGAAATTGAAGAAGATTCGAATAAACATCTCAAAAGTGAATAAGGAATAGCAAAAGAATTAGCAAAATTGAAAAATTTATAACGTTAAAATACTGGTGCTCTGAAGTTTTATCTCTCGCTTTCGTCTCGCACAATTTTCAGTTGCTCAAAATCGATACGGGTTATGTGTAGACTGTGTTTTTCATGAGTAAAACATTTTCTCAAAGGTACTTGGGATAAAAGCTACCGTAATTTCAGTGTCTTTTCAAATAGCCAAATCAAATGGATGAAAGCTGCAGACTTAAATTTTAAAATAAAAACAAAATACGGTAGCTTTCACTTAAGCTCACCTTTTAGAAAAGTCAAGAAGAAAACATTTCATGTGTGTGAATTGTTTTAAGGCATATCAATTATTACAGTTTCTTCTTTCATTTTTTTTTTTTCAATATTACTTTCTTTGTATATCGGTCAATAAAAAGTCAATCTTTAAAAGAATTGGAATGCATAGAAGAAAAGAACAGAAAAACTTTCAATTTCCACAAATTAGCTGATAAATCGACTCTCTCTTCGTCTCTTTTTTTTCATCATTGTCGTTTTTATTGGCAACACCATTTCGATTTTTTTTAACTCACACAAAGAAAAAGCTTCGATTTTTTTTGTTGAATTGTCTGAAAGATTCGAAATTTTTTGAATATGATTTTCTTTTTATTTCTTTTCCTTAACGTCGCACATGGAGCTCGACAACAAGTGTAAATTTAGATTTTATCATTAACACATTCTCGTTTACAGATATTATCTTTTAAATGGTGGACAATCAGGGGCAAGTATTAATGGCGATTTTGAGGTTTGTTAAAAAAATGAGAAAACTTATCAAGTGTTTGATTTCAAAGAAAAGAGCAAACGACCTAGGTTTATCGAAACCTTGCTCAACCCCGACCGATAACCGCTCAAGATTATCAAGCGGATGGACCGATGGCTTATGTCAAAGAATGGACAACACAATTTCATGATCTATTTCAAGGTTAGCGCAAAAATTGTTTACCTATCTCTTAATTAAACTTTCCAGGCCCGTTGAGCAGCAAAAATCAACAAGCTGCTGCTCCTCAACCAACAAATGAAAATCCCCAAATGGCACCCAGGGTTCAACTAGCGGAAATACCAGGTAGTAAACTGAATTGTCTTGCAATTTCCTTTTTTATTAGAAGAAAATATCAGCTTTCAGCTGAATCGACTCCCCTTGAAGATCCGAGAAACATTCATCCACCAGTTTATCTCGGAAAACCTCAACGATTCAACGATAAAAATGCCTTGATAAACGATCAATTCAATTTGGTGAGAAATGCATATGTAACTAGGGAAACTAGGAAAACTCTTCAGGCTCAATATGTTCAAAAAGAGGCCGGATATGAGCTCGGTTATCATGATCCACGAGACAAAAATCCCTCTGCTGTTTACTCACTTGGCCCAGTGATGGAAGGTGGAGAGAGCTGATGAATCTTTTTTTCATGTATTTTTCATTTTTAGCTTCTTCTCTTTTCCCATTCCAGCTTCCATTTGGGAAAGTCCGAGGAAAGCCTGCTTTTGTCTCGCCCGCATTTGGCAGTTATACACCTTTTGGGTACAGTTCTTATTTCTGGGGAATTACATCAAAGTATTTCAGATGGATGCCATGGAAAGCCCCAGAAAAAGATATTCAATTGAAGAGCTACCGTATTCAAAATCCGATGGGTTCCCTCGGTGGATTTGGAGGACAATTCGGGCAATCGGGTGGATTTGGAGGACAATTCGGGCAATCGAGTGGCTTTGGAGGACAGGGTTTTGGGCAAGGAGCTGGACTTGGACCACTTTTCAGTCCAAATGCTTTCGTGCCAGAAAATGAACAAGAAAAGGTAAGCAATCGAAGCAATAAATGGGCAACTTTGTCTCAAATGATCTTAGGGAAGGGGTTCGAATCTGGATCGATTCTCACTAAAACCAAGTTGTCTTGGTTTAGAAGATGTAGAATTTGTAGAAAACTACAAACAAATTTAGAGCAAAAATTGATCCCAAAATGATGCAGCATAATGATTATTACCTAGATTCGGTGCGCAAAATTCAAAATTCATCCACCTAAGTACTTTTAAGCCATTGTAAATCCAATTTCAGGTGAGTCCATCAAGGAAAGATTCGGAAGCAGTAACCGATTATGTGGATGATCTTTCATCAACAAGAAATACAAGAGATTATCATCTTGGAAAAGCTGTCCATTATTTGGCACAATCTATTCATTGATTTCCTTTTTTTGTGTTGATTCTTTTAAGATGCCTAATCAACTTCATTTCTTTTTGGATAATAAATATGTTTTGCAATCAGTCGCATTTCCCCCCCCCCCTCACTGTCTTTCTTTTCTTCCATCTCCCAATCAATAAACAGTCTTCAAAACTTTTTCTGTTTTGCTTCTTCTGCAACAAAACAAAACTGAGTTCTTGATGAGAAATAACAAAATTAGAAGGGATTTCAATTTGTTAGGAGAAAAATCACGTATAGTGCGGTGCAAAACCATACGACACCTCCTAACTTTCAATTTTCTGCGGCTCCCGTGCCAGTGACAAAAAAAAACTGAAAACGTAGTTAGATTCAGGACCAAAAATAAGCCTTAAACTCCAAAAATCGTTGACCAACATAGCATGTTGTTAACATCGTTGACATGAATGTAACAGCCGAAAAACGAAAATTCACCCCGTTGCAAAACCATACGCCACCTCCCCCTCCCCCCCAAATTTTGGTGTCATTGTTGCATTTTTGTCCATTTTTTGAGATAACAAGGTTTATTCATAACAATAATAGTTTAATATCTTTGTTGTCTGTCTCTGGCGACTGATCACGTCAAATATTTGACTCGGCATGCTGTCAACTAGCTCCTTGGGATAGCATTCCACTCGCGGGTAATGGCATCTTTGAGCGCTGGAACATTCGCGTATTGTGTGGCATTGCCATAAACTCGACGAGCAAGCATCCCCCACAGATTCTCAATGGGGTTGAGGTCGGGGAAGCACGCAGGCCAATCCAGAAGTGGCACTTGTTTTGACTGAAGCGATGACTTGGTTGCTTGGCTGACGTGGATGTTTTCCATGAGATGAGAAGGCGCCCCAATACATCATCGAACCCCCGCCGAAGTTTTTTCATTTTTTTTATCTGAAGAAAAGAGACCATTTTAAATCCACAGAATCCAACTAGCCTGCCTCGTATGCTATAACCGAGAAATTGCAGACTTGCCTGTAGTTTGGAGAACTGATTGTAGAATCTGGAGAACTCGGAGACCTGAAAAGAATCGTAGAATAAAACAAGTAACGCATTCACATACCATTCGGCATTTCTTGCACTACGTGGACACAAGAAGCACCGTCTAATGTGCCGTTTAACTGTATTCTCGTAGACCATGTTCGTCATTCCACTCAAACAAACAAAACGAGGCGAGTTTATGATTGCAAAACAGATTAAAAACTTACTCCGAACACTTTTGCACACATTTTCAATCCAAAGTCATTGAAGAGCCCTCCTTGCAACATGGACAAGCCTAAAAAGGAAGTAAATCTTGGCAATAAATAATAAGCGAAACCTGCATCAATGTCGGATCGGCACAATGCTTCAAGCAATCATTGGTGTCACATTGCGGCTTGTACATATCTTTGGCGGCTTTCTTGGACCTAAATGTCTTTGTTAGTTTAAAAAATTAGAACAGCAACTCACTTCGTTTTTAAATAGTCTTCGGCATCCAAAATCTTCTCAAAGCAAGACGAATGCTTATCTCCATTTTCACCGCTCGACATCGGCTTATTTATATGATAAATTCGCTTCCGGGTAGACCGTGGAATGATTATAACATGTATTTCTTTCAAAAAGAGACACCCCTTTGCAGAATCAATGCGATTTTAAAAATTCTCCCTCATGGTGTATGTAAATTATAAACTCGTTTTCTACTTGTTTATTCACAGATTGAATTCAAATGTTCCGAGAATAAGTTTTTATGATCAACAGTTAAGGTGAAGACTTTCAAAGTGTTAAAGGGTAAGCTAAAATCGATAAAAAAATAGAAGGTTGTTGGTGCTCACGCTGGATAAACGAAATCAAGATTAGAAAAATAGCAATGTAAAAAGAGGGACGAGGAGAAAAGGAACGAGGGAGATTGTTGGGAGTTTGTGGAGAGGATCCGCTGATGAGCTTTGCCCACCCACACCCATTCGACTCGTCGATAGAAAACCGGTAGGTAATTGGGAAAATGATGGGGCTGGATGTCTCAAATCGGCATTCAGATGAGGAAGAGGCTACCGGGGTAGTTGATGGAACCTTATCCTTGATGAAACAGCAACAGGTTTACATGAGGATGAACTTCTTGTGAGCTCCAGTGTGCCGGTATTTGGCTTCTTGGCAGGTCACTGAAATTTGGGTTTCTTTACATTTTATTTTGTTTTTTACACTTTTGATTACTTTCAACTCACTGGCAAGGCGCATAAAACGTTCGTCGTGGCTCAGAATCGCTCCCCATAATGGGTCCTTGATGAAACGGCAACTGGTTTACTTGAAAATGAAATTGTGAGCTCGAGTGTGCCGGTATTTGGCTTCTTGGCAGGGCCATCGATATTATTCTCGACGGAGCGACATACATAATGGGTTGCCATGATGGAGTTGGAGTTAACAGCTGAAAGTTGTGTGTTTTGGCAACTGGTATGTGTTCATGAAACTAAAATTCTTTTGTTAACACACAAATTAAAGTTGCTCAAAAACTAATGGCGGATTCAGATTCTCCATCCCAGAATGCCTTTGGTTACAAATATTCAGGCCCACAGCCAGCCTTGGGTAGCCGTTTAGCGGCAGCCAAGCCAAAAATGACATTGTCGTCAATGTGTTAATGGATGTTCTTTTTGACCAACCGGCACAAAGTTTGCATTTCTGTAGATATGATTGTCTTCAGGTCTCGCTTCTGAGAGTCCCATCTCAATCGCGTCTAGTTCTACGGCTGAAATCAAGAGTTCGATATTCGAAATCATTTTGCAACAAACTTTCTTCGTTTACGAGATCAGCAGTGAGATATCCGGTGAACCCAGGCCCGTTGATCGGCCTCTCATTTCCATTTGCCACATTCGTCTCCCCTTCTCGATTAGGCACATAGTTTGGATCGTACATTCCAACCGTCTCCACCCGGCCCGGATTTTCCTACAATAGTATAAGAATAAACCAACGTTTGTTAACAACTACCGGTAAATGTCCTCCAGAGTCAGGGCCGTGGCTGCTTTCTCGATCTTCTGAGCCACAATCCTTCTTCTTGTTCTTTTTGTTCTTCTCGATCTTAATATATCGTTAAAATTAATGCGTGTATATTTTTTATCTAAACCTTTTTCTGCCGTCGTCTACCAGTCTCCTTTAACTTGTTGTTTAATCTTTCCTTGCAAGATCTATTCTTCTCTTCTTCCTTTTCTTTAACTCGTTCTTTCCACACCTCAGCACCATGCTCCTTTTTTATGTGTTTCCGAAGACTTGAGCTATCGGTATAAATCTTGCATCCTTGATATCTGCACTCGTGCTTCTAAATCGTGGAATTTTGTTAAATTCTTTTTTATTAGCTCACCACCATTCTGTGTTTTCCCTTCACGTGTCTACCTCGATCACTAGCATTCCTGAACCACTGAAACAAATCGAGTTTCCAGATCAAGAAAATTAATTGGCTTGTATTGGCTTTTATCGTCTACCTGATCACATTCTTTACACTTATATGGCTTTTTGCCGGCGTGAAAGTTTAAGTGCGATTTGAGCCCATCGGCGCGACGGAATTCCCTTAGACATCCAGGTTTAGGACATTTGTATGGTTTCTCTCCGGTATGCTGATGCACGTGAGACCTCAACGAGCGGGCAAGTCGGAAGGACCGCATTCTAAAGTTCACTTGAAAGTTTTAGAGTTATTAGATTGATGAATAAGTTTTTTCGTTCCTACTTCCTTTTCAAAATTGAATTGAACCACGGTTTTTTCATTAGAAAGGCCCAAGATTTTTCTGCAAAATAACATTAAAAGGGATTTTAAATGGATTTCTGGATTTTTTATTGGGAGCGTCAAGTCGGATAGCCAGATTGACTTAAAAACATGGAAAATTGAACAATAAACACTTTTAATTTGGAGTAAACCATAGGTTAATTGCTGGATTTGTTATTCTTCAACGGAATTATGAAAAAGAGCGAAAAGACTTATTCGCTAACCTAATTCTTGAGCACTTACCCAAGACAATTCCTCCACTCACAATTGTAACTATCCGGTTTAGATTGAGCCAACGGATCGAAATGAACTTTTTTAAAATGCGATATTAGCCTCTGAATTTTCATGGACTCTTTTTGTGTACAACTCTATACACACTAAACCTCTTCTGTTTTGAACCCTCTTTGGCACGCTCCCCATTCGCATTGAAGATTCTCCATCAACTCGATGTCTATCGTATCACTCTCTGGAGAGCTCTCTCGATCTCGCCCCGATTCCTCTGTTGAAGCACTCATATCATTCATCTGGAAAAAGCATAAGTTAGTCAAATTTTGAAAAAGCTCATCTCTGAAAAAGTGAGCAAAAAACTGAAAAAGTTTCTGAAATCACAAGTTTCGTTTTCGTTTACCATGGTGATATAGTATAAGAACAATAAAGCGTCGAAAATTGGTTTTTTTGCAAATGAGGAGGAGAGAGGTTCTCGAGAAAGGGGTCGGGTGTAATCAGTGAAAGAAAAATTCAATAAAAAAACCGTGGAAAAGAGAGCAAAAAGACGATCGCGCCACCCTGAAGTGCTAAAAGCTAGAGAAATGCTAGAGAGTAGAATGAATGAAGAGAGTCAATGGTCTGCCTCTTCTCGCTAAACCTACTCTCGAACTGTGTCGTGTGTGGCATTCAATAAAGGAAATAAGGGGTTGTTCATCTACTCTCAGCTTTCCCTTTTTCCATCATTTGCATTCTCTGATGCCCTCCGGGCGCTCTATCCGTGCCTGTCTCGGTCTCGCCCCACCTCTTCTGCCATCGTTACGGTGGATCGATCCGACGGCGAGAGATTCGAAAACACCAATAGACACGCAGAGAATATTCGCATAGTTGTAAGAATTTCTGGAGGTTTTCTGGAGGAATAATAAAACTTGATTTCTAGAGAAGAGGGTTGCACACGGTACAGACGAAAACTGAGATCAAGATCTCCACTGATTTGATCAATGCTTCTATTGGCTATTAAATCCTTATTTCTAATTAACAAAGGAAAGACACCGAGTCAAGCTGGCCTTTTGACTCGAGGCAAGGCAAATACGTAAGGAAACAGTTTTAAAAAAAAGTAAATTCCAAAAGGGATTCCAGAAGGGGAAGGAGCGGTCCACGACCAACAAGATATGAAATGGTTTTTGGTTTTTATTGGTTTCTGGTTCCCGATAAGCCTGAGTCAAGATTACGGTAGTTTCTGCAGATGGACACGTTTTACAAAACGTGTTATGAAAGGAAAATAGGCGAAGAAATATCAAGACTCATTCAATTTCACCAACCGCTTTCTTGTTGACATGTCTTTCGCAGATGAAAGTGTGGTCGATTCGTGGAATCTGATTCGAAAGCGGGAAATGAACAAGATGGAATAAAATGGAGACCACGAGATGGGCAATTTGTCTGATTCACGATCATTTTTCTCTTCTTATCCGCCAGCCTACCCGTGCTTTGTGGTGTACAATTGTCTCTCTTTGTATCACAATTATTTCTTTTCCGCACGATGAAACGATGGCGACTTCGATTAGAATCACCGTTGAAAGGATTTCAGCCATCTAAACATTTCAATCAGTCAGTCTAAACAAATCGATGTGACATTTGATTTACAGTTTTCCAGATTACCTTAACACATTGATATCCCACAGTGCATCAGTGACATGAACACGAAAGAAACGAACGATTTGATCGATCGGCTCATTGTCATTTCCCAACATTTCCATTGTACGAGAGCTTTGTTCCGTTTCGGTGAGACAAAATCGTTGTGAATGTCTTTTCGATGAATGAGATGACGTCCATTCACCTACAAAAAAGCTTTTCATAATTGGTATTTGCTTTCTCAAGCAAACCTCCTCTAAATCGATGTTTGTGTGTTGTGCTTGCTGCAATCCAATCCATTTTATCACCCGGGAAATCCCAATTCGAGACAAGTTCCGTATCTAAAATTCTCAAAAAATATGATTTATTAGCTTTTTTTACCAATACGATACGGGATGCCGCACTTAGATGAGTCAATTCGTGACAACTGGAATCAGCCAAGATCCCCAAACGGCCTTGTGAGTTGTCGCCGTCAAGGATCTGCAGATTAAATCAAAAAGATAAATTCTAACCAATGTTTATTTTTCTCTATCAATCACTTACAATGCATCGATGAGAAGCTCTCTTTTTCGTGCCTGATTGGATGAGACGAGAGGTCAGGAATTTCCATCGCTCCATTGATTTTCCATTGATCGAGAGCTTTGTTCCGTTTCGGTGAGACAAAATCGTTGTGAATGTCTTTTCGATGAATGAGATGGCGTCCATTCACCTGCAAAAAAAGCTTTTCATAATCGGTATTTGCTTTCTCAAGCAAACCTCCTCTAAATCGATGTTTGTGTGTTGTGCCTGCTGCCATCCAATCCATTTTACAGTACCGAGCAAAAGTCTTGCAACATCACTTTTTCGAAAAAATCGATGAAATATTTTTATAGAAAATGTCACCCGTTCGTAGGGCTTTTTTGTTTTTAATTAGAATAATAAATGTAGACTTTATTTACAAAAACTAATTTGAAGTTCAGCGTAAAACCAAAAAGTAAATGACAAAACTACTAAAAAATACCCTAAAAACTGGGTGCAAAAGTCTTGCAACATTATACAGAAACATCAAAAATTAATCAATCGCTCCACCTTTTGCCAAAATCACTTCATTAAGTCGTTTAGGCATTGAGTCGACTAATTCGTGAAGAATTGCTGGTCGAATTGAGCTCCAAACTTTTCGTATGTAGAACCATAAGTCAACTTTTGTGTGAAAGTCTTTTCCTCCTAACTTTGTCTTCATGTAAGCCCATAAATTCTGAATAACGTTTAAATCAGGCGACCTAGGGGGCACATTGACCAACAAAACATTATTAAGGGCAAAACATCCAGGGAGATGGGCCTTTCCTCCATTTGAGAGATTCACCGTGGGACCCATCATGGGCTTGCACTTGTGAACCGGCGAATTGTCCTGGTAGAGAAACCATCTAGGAGCCATGTAATCCTGAGCAAATGGAAGTAGACATCCTTCTAGTATTTCCATAGACTGGAGAGCATTCATGGTTGACTGGACGAGGACGAGCGGACCTGCCACATTTTTTGTCATCACCCCTAGAAAAAGACAAATTAATGCATGTATTAGAAATAAGGCTTACCAAAACACATGATTGATCCTCCACCAGCTCGCATTGTAGGTAGCACATATTTAAGGAGTATTCGCTTTCCAATGGGTCGTCTGATCTGATCAAGTGGTTGCCTTTTGGAGAAAAGATATCCACTTTTTTTTCATCGATAAAAATCACGTTGACCCAATCCTGCTTTGTCCAAATTTGGTACGTCCTGGCGAATATTAGGTTGGCAACTAAATAATGGCCCTCGCCCTTTTTTGATAAAATCTTTTAATCTTTGCGTTTAATCTACCCTCGCTTGTTGTTAATTGAATATTACTGAATTTCTGGTGCATTATTATACGTTTTTTACTTTCCTTGATTTGATACTTTTCAAATAATTTTGTTTAGAAATGGAAGATCTCAAATATCGAATGCGTGTCTGTCTCTGGTACGACTACAAACAAGGCAAAACAGCTGCCGAATCCCACAGAGATTTATTGCGAGTTTTTGGTGATCAAGCTCTTTCCGAAACACAATGTAAGAGATGGTATCGACAGTTCAAGGAAGGGGATGAAAGTCTTGAAGATCAGCCTCGCCAAGGACGACCCGAACTTCTGCAGAACGATATTTTGGAAGCAGCTTTAAAGGAGGATCCAAGTCAAACATCACGCGAGCTAGGGGATCGATTGGGCTTTTCGCATACTGCAATCGAAAAGCGACTTCATGCATTGGGGAAAAGTAACCGCAGTGGAAAGTGGATTCCGCATGAATTGAGCGAAGAAAATAAGGCTACTCGTGTTATCACAGCTGGAATACTACTAAAACTTGCGAAAAAGGGAAGCTTCTTGGATTCCATTGTCACTTCTGATGAAAAATGGATCTTTTATGATAATCGAACGCGAAAACGACAGTGGCTTAGCACAAACGAAGACCCAAAATCAACTCCGAAGCCGGATATTCACTCAAAGAAAACTCTCCTCTGTGTGTGGTGGAGTTCTCGTGGGTTGGTGCATTTCGAGGTTCTCAAAAGCCGGCAAACGGTTAATTCAGAACTCTATTCGTCTCAACTACATTGTGTAGATCAAGCAATTCGCTCTCAAGCACTCGAACGCTCTTCAATTCATTTTCTCCATGATAACGCAAAACCACACACTGCAAAACTTACAATGGAGAAAATCGAGGAGTTGGGCTGGAATGTTCTTCCTCATGCGCCATACAGCCCGGATATGGGGCCTAGTGATTACCATCTTTTTCGATCGATGCAACACTTTCTAGCCGAGAAAAAGTTCAATGACCTTGACGAAGTCCGAATTTCAGTGCAGAAGTTCTTTGACGATCAACCAGAAGAATTTTTCAAGAGAGGAATCCAGTTGCTCCGTCAAAAGTGGAAAGAAGTAATCAAGAATGACGGAGAATACCTTTTGGATTGATGTTGATATTTGTTCATCTTGTTAATAAATTTTTTGTTTTTACTGAAAAGGGCCATTATTTAGTTGCCAACCTGATAGAAGCCGTTGTTTCTTGTGGCCGGCGGTCATCAAAGGCTTTCGTACAGCCCTCCCGCTATACAGTCCTGCTTGAGTCAATCGTCGAGAAACGGTCCATCGAGAGAGATAAGTGTGATTTGCGTCCATGTAATATCCTCTGAACATATCAATGTTATTTAAAAAGCTAAGACACAACTCACCTCTGACATGGATTTAAACATCGCTCAAAGTATCGGCCATTTATCGATACCCCTTGCCCTTTTCACAAAAGCCAGTCTTTTAAAATAAAATATCGTAAATGCTGTATCAGAATGACACGTCGTTCTATTTTTCCACCCCTCAAAATCGGCTGATCCAAAAAAGTAAAAAATAAACGACCAAATAAATCAAAAATTTAGAATTCGTTAAAAACTATTTTAAACAATGGCCCTTTGTTCAAAACGTACAAAAAAAACGTTTAAAATTGAAATTATTTTCTTACCCGCGGCCCCCCTTTGAGTCTTCAAGAAAATTCAAAAAAAGCCGTATATTTTTTTTCCAAAGATTATTTTTCTATTCTTCAAAAGTAGCGTTTTAAATTTTACTGCCAATAAAATATTAGTAGTTTTTAGAGCTAGCTCTATTCATCGAAACCCCATAAGGGGACGGGGGTCTAAAGTCAATATTTCGAGGGGTCGGGGGGGGGGCATTCTATTAGAGGGTGCCATTCTATTAGAGGGTGCCATTCTATTAGAGGGTGCCATTCTATTAGAGGGTGCCATTCTAATAAAGCATTCACGGTATTTACAGTTCATTTAAGCTTCATTTAATTTTCTTCATTTGCAACTTGTCGATCTCAACGAAATGCTTATCAACGATTTCGAACTTTAAGAATCAATGCAAACTTTTAAAAATTCTCCCTCATAGTGTATGTAAATTGTAAACTCGTTTTCTACTTGTTTATTCACATATTGAATTCAAATGTTCCGAGAATAAGTTTTTACGATCATTTTAGGTTAAGGTCTTTCAAAGTGTTAAAGGGTAAGCTAAAATCGATAAAAAATAGAAGGTTGTTGGTGCTCACGCTGGATAAACGAAGTCAAGATTAGAAAAATAGCAATGTAAAAAGAGGGACGAGGAGAAAAGGAACGAGGGAGATTGTTGGGAGTTTGTGGAGAGGATCCGCTGATGAGCTTTGCCCACCCACACCCATTCGACTCGTCGATAGAAAACCGGTAGGTAATTGGGAAAATGATGGCGCTGGATGTATCAAATCGGCATTCAGATGAGGAAGAGGCTACCGGGGTAGTTGATGGAACCTTATCCTTGATGAAACAGCAACAGGTTTACTTGAGGATGAACTTCTTGTGAGCTCGAGTGTGGTTTGGATCGTACATTCCAACCGTCTCCACCCGGCCCGGATTTTCCTACAATAGTATAAGAATAAACCAACGTTTGTTAACAACTACCGGTAAATGTCCTCCAGAGTCAGGGCCGTGGCTGCTTTCTCGATCTTCTGAGCCACAATCCTTCTTCTTGTTCTCGATCTTAATATATCGTTAAAATTAATGCGTGTATATTTTTTATCTAAACCTTTTTCTGCCATCGTCCACCAGTCTCCTTTAACTCTTTCTTTAATTTCCGCATTTCCCACGCCTTAGCACCATGCACCTGTTTTACGTGTTTCCGAACAGCTGACGTATCGGCATAAGTCTCCTTGCATCCTTGATATCCGCACAAGCGCCCCTAAATTGTGGCATTTTGTTAAATTCTTTTTTATTAGCTCACCGCCTTTCTGTGTTTTCCCTTCACGTGTTTAGCTCGATTATTAGTACTCCTGAACCACTGAAACAAATCGAGTTTTCAGGTCAAGAAAATTAATCGTCTACCTGATCACATTCTTTACACTTATATGGGTTTTTGCCGGCGTGAAAGTTTAAGTGCGAGTTGAGCCCCACGGCGCTACTGAATGCCTTTGGGCATCCAGGTTTTGGACATTTGTGTGGTTTCTCTCCGGTATGCTGCTGCACGTGAGACCTCAACTTGTAGGGAACTCGGAAGGACCGCAGCTTTCTAAAGTTCACTTGAAACTTTTAGAGTTATTAGGTTGATGAATAAGTTTTTTCGTTCCTACTTCCTTTTCAAAATTGAATTGAACTATGGTTTTTTAGACCGGTTCAGACCGGTTCATTAGAAAGGCCCGATATTTTTCTGCAAAATAACATTAAAAGGGATTTTAAATGGCGTATTTCTGGATCTTTTATCGGGAGCGTCAAGTCGGATAGACAGATTGACTTAGAAACATGGAAAATTGAACAATAAACACTTTTAATTTGGAGTGAACCTTCTTGAGCACTTACCCAAGACAATTCCTCCACTCACAATTGTAACTATCCGGTTTAGATTGAGCCAACGGATCGAAATGAACTTTTTTAAAATGCGATATTAGCCTCTGAATTTTCATGGACTCTTTTTGTGTACAACTCTATACACACTAAACCTCTTTTGTTTCGAACCCTCTTTGACACGCTCCCCATTTGCATTGAAAATTCTCCATCAACTCGATGTCTATCGTATCACTCTCTGGAGAGCTCTCTCGATCACTCTCTGGAGAGCTCTCTCGATCTCGCTCCGATTTCTCTGTTGAAGCACTCATATCATTCATCTGGAAAAAGCAAAGTTAGTCACATTTTGAACCGGCTCATCTCTGAAAAAGTGAGCAAAAAACTGAAAAAGTTTCTGAAATCACAAGTTTCTTTTTCGTTTACCATGGTGATATAGTATAGGAACAATAAAGCGTCGAAAATTGATTTTTTTTTGCAAATGAGGAGGAGAGAGGTTCTCGAGAAAGAGGTCGGGTGTAATCAGTGAAAGAAAAATTCAATAAAAAAACCGTGGAAAAGAGAGCAAAAAGACGATCGCGCCACCCTGAAGTGCTAAAAGCTCGAGAAATGCTAGAGAGTAGAATGAATGAAGAGAGTCAATGGTCTGCCTCTTCTCGCTAAACCTCTCTCGAACTGTGTCGTGTGTGGCATTCAATAAAGGAAATAAGGGGTTGTTCATCCACTCTCAGCTTTCCCTTTTTCCATCATTTGCATTCTCTGATGCCCTCCGGGCGCTCTATCCGTGCCTGTCTCGGTCTCGAACTGTGTCGTGTGTGGCCCCTGTTCCGCGCAATCGATCGACTCTGAGGTATTGGGGAAAGGCGAGAGGCGTCAGAGATCTCGATTTTTCTCCATTTTCTTTCATCGCTCGGTTATATGCTGCGATCTGATCAATTTTCTAGAGAGAACAATTTTCCAGATCAATTACCCCTACTGATACTACTATTAAGCTGGAATTGAAAGAGAGAGTTAGACTTTTAAAAAGCAGCTGAATTCAATAAAGGAAATAAGGGGTTGTTCATCCACTCTCAGCTTTCCCTTTTTTCATCGCTTGCATTCTCTCCGGGGGGCTCTATCCGTGCCTGTCTCGGTCTCGCCCCACCTCTTCTGCCATCGCTACGGTGGATCGATCCGACGGCGAGAGATTCGAAAACACCAATAGGTTTTCTGGAGGAATAATAAAACTTGATTTCTAGAGAAGAGAGTTGCAAACGGTCAGACGAAAACTGAGATCAAGATCTCCACTGATTTGATCAATGCTTCTATTGGTTATTAAATCCTTATTTCTAATTAACAAAGGAAAGACACCGAGTCAAGCTGGCCTTTTGACTCGAGACAAGGCAAATACGTAAGGAAACAGTTTTTAAAAAAAGTAAATTCCAAAAGGGATTCCAAAAGGGGCGGTCAACGACCAACAAGATATGAAATAGTTTTTGGTTTTTATTGGTTTCTGGTTCCCGACAAGCTTGACTCAAGATTATTTTTGGTCGAGTAACTACGAGTGATCCTCTTTACACGTCGAGTAAATTGAATAAATTCGCATCTATTTGATTTTCTTGTCTAAAATGCAACATTGCAACAAAAATTTTCAAGCAAAATTAAAAACACATGTTTACCTAAATAAGCTAAAGACAATAATTTTTAAAATTTTGGAAAAAAAGGCATAACCTCCGGCCATTGCAAAAATCCAAGGCAAAAAAAGTCGTGATACCTTTTCTCTTTTCTTTTCTCCTGTTTTTGTTACGTTAGAGCTTTTCTGATTTTGATGATATTGTTTCTTTTTAGAGATGCCATTCAAGCAATACATCCCACAAAGGAGCGAATCGTTGAAGCTCGAAAAGTTGGACTCAAAGTCAGTGTGATTCAAAATCTCTTCGCCCTTCGCCGGAATTCGCCCGCACCTACCAACATTGGTCGATCGATGACTGTAAAGTGATAGTGGAGTGATTGTGGAGTGATAAAACTAAGTTCAATTTGTTGAACAGTATGAAATACATTCGCCAGACTGTCAAATTCAATTGAGGAGGGATACTGTGTTGGGGCTGTTTTTCTTCAAACTCAGTCGGACCTCTAATCCTCATGGATGGAATCATGGACAGATGTGAAATACCGGGATATGACGCAAAACGATATGCTTCCTTACGCAAATGTAGTAATGAGTCCAAACTGGTTGTATCAGCAGGCTGTGGATCCAAAAACATAGAAGTGAATTGATGTTGGGGGGAAAACTGAAGATCCGACCTGAAGTTTTCGTGAGATTGCCTGGCTGGTTTCGGCTTAACAACATCAATTTGCTGCGAACAGCACCCTATTCCCTATTGAACATTTATGGACCCATGTCAGACGAAAATTGCGAGGATTCCGCTTCGCGTCAGAAAAGGAACTCTGGGACAAGGTTCAGGACATTTGGAGCTCCATTGAGTGAGCCAAAAATCATTTTGGCAAGAGGATTTGGTGTTTTATGCAGGATGATGCCTATGCTCACAAGGCTCAAGTGGTTCAGGACTGGCGCAAGCAGTATTTTCCTGATTTGGACACCTTTAGTGGCTATCCTCAATTCCCTCAATTCCCGATCTTAGTCTGATGGATTTTAGTAAGGAACAATGTCTTGAACAAGAATGTTCTTGAAGCAAAAACGTGTCCAAAACTGCATTTCAGCATCGATTAGATTTCAAAAACCCGCCAACGGATATTGGTTCTACATAGTTTAAAATTTAACAATTTAACAATTTAAGAAATTGGTGTATTTTTTGCAATTTTTATACTTTTTATCCACTTTAATAGAGAATTTCCGGAGAATCCACTCAATTTTCGGGCAAAATTGCCAAAGGGAAACGTGGTGGGTAATCTAAAAGGCTGTGGGTGGCCCCGTGCCTTGTTAATCCCCTTTCTCTTTTCCATCCATTGCCCTCCTCTCCCATTCACTTTTCACACAACAACCTATAGTCAAATCATAGTTTGATTCGAGTGATTTTCTAAGCACAAACTTATGTATCCATATTTCAAAACTAATCCCGATCATCAAGGTCACTCACAAAAAAGACTTTAGTTCTTGTAAGTGAATATATGCAATGAATTGATTTTCTCCAACCTTGCATAGATACTTTCAGTATTCGTGATCACCTTGAACGTCTTTTTCTCTTTCAATTTTGTTTTCATCGCATCACTCGTTGTCGTCACTAAAAGGGTGCCAATTTCGTTTTTACAGGCTCTCCTCCCTTAGTCGATATTTCTGTGATGATTGTACATGTGTTCTCTTTTGTGTTTCCATCTTGCGATGGAAATTCCTGACCTCTCGTCTCATCCAATCAGCCACGAAAAAGAGAGCTTCTCATCGATGCATTGTAAGTGATTGATAGAGAAAAATAAACATTGGTTAGAATTTATCTTTTTGATTTAATCTGCAGATCCTTGACGGCGACAACTCACAAGGCCGTTTGGGGATCTTGGCTGATTCGAGTTGTCACGAATTGACTCATCTAAGTGCCGCATCCCGTATCGTATTGGTAAAAAAAGCTAATAAATCATATTTTTTGAGAATTTTAGATACGGAACTTGTCTCGTGTTCATGTCACTGATGCACTGTGGGATATCAATGTGTTAAGGTAATCTGGAAAACTGTAAATCAAATGTCACATCGATTTGTTTAGACTGACTGATTGAAATGTTTAGATGGCTGAAATCCTTTCAACGGTGATTCTAATCGAAGTCGCCATCGTTTCATCGTGCGGAAAAGAAATAATTGTGATACAAAGAGAGACAATTGTACACCACAAAGCACGGGTAGGCTGGCGGATAAGAAGAGAAAAATGATCGTGAATCAGACAAATTGCCCATCTCGTGGTCTCCATTTTATTCCATCTTGTTCATTTCCCGCTTTCGAATCAGATTCCACGAATCGACCACACTTTCATCTGCGAAAGACATGTCAACAAGAAAGCGGTTGGTGAAATTGAATGAGTCTTGATATTTCTTCGCTTAGTTTCTTTTCATAACGCGTTTTGTAAAACGTGTCCATCTGCACAAACTACCGTAATCTTGACTCAGGCTGATCGGGAACCAGAAACCAATAAAAACCAAAAACCATTTCATATCTTGTTGTTCGTGGACCGCTCCTTCCCCTTCTGGAATCCCTTTTGGAATTTACTTTTTTTAAAAACTGTTTCCTTACGTATTTGCCTTGCCTCGAGTCAAAAGGCCAGCTTGACTCGGTGTCTTTCCTTTGTTAATTAGAAATAAGGATTTAATAGCCAATAGCGCATTGATCAAATCAGTGGAGATCTTGATCTCAGTTTTCGTCTGACCGTTTGCAACTCTCTTCTCTAGAAATCAAGTTTTATTATTCCTCCAGAAATCCTCCAGAAATTCTTACAACTATCCGAATATTCTCTGCGTGTCTATTGGTGTTTTCGAATCTCTCGCCGTCGGATCGATCCACCGTAGCGATGGCAGAAGAGGTGGGGCGAGACCGAGACAGGCACGGATAGAGCGCCCGGAGGGCATCAGAGAATGCAAATGATGGAAAAAGGGAAAGCTGAGAGTGGATGAACAACCCCTTATTTCCTTTATTGAATTCAGCTGCTTTTTAAAAGTCTAACTCTCTCTTTCAATTCCAGCTTAATAGTAGTATCAGTAGGGGTAATTGATCTGGAAAATTGTTCTCTCTAGAAAATCGCAGCATATAACCGAGCGATGAAAGAAAATGGAGAAAAATCGAGATCTCTGACGCCTCTCGCCTTTCCCCAATACGTCAGAGTCGATCGATTGCGCGGAACAGGGGCCACACACGACACAGTTCGAGAGATGTGGCATTTCGAGAGAGGTTGGAGAGAAGAGGCAGACCATTGACTCTCTTCATTCATTCTACTCTCTAGCATTTCTCTAGCTTTTAGCACTTCTGGGTGGCGCGATCGATTGTCTTTTTGCTCTCTTTTCCACCTTTTTTTTATTGAATTTTTCTTTCACTGATTACACCCGACCTCTTTCTCGAGAACCTCTCTCCTCCTCATTTGCAAAAAAAAATAAATCAATTTTCGACGCTTTATTGTTCCTATACTATATCACCATGGTAAACGAAAACGAAACTTGTGATTTCAGAAACTTTTTCAGTTTTTTGCTCACTTTTTCAGAGATGAGCTTTTCAAAATTTGACTAACTTATGCTTTTTCCAGATGAATGATATGAGCGCTTCAACAGAGAAATCGGAGCGAGATCGAGAGAGCTCGCCAGAGAGTGATACGGTGGACATCGAGTTGATGGAGAATCTTCAATGCAAATGGGGAGCGTGTGTTCAAAGTGTGTTCAAAACAGAAGAGGTTTAGTGTGTATAGAGTTGTACACAAAAACAGTCCATGAAAATTCAGATGCTAATAGCGCATGTTAAAAAAGTTCATGTTGGCCCGTTGGTTAAATCTAAACCGGCTAGTTACAATTGTGAGTGGAGGAATTGTCTTGGGTAAGTGCTCAAGAATTAGGTTGGCGAATAAGTCTTTTCGTTCTTTTTCATAATTCCGTTGAAAAATAACAAATCCACCAATTAACCTATGGTTCACTCCAAATTAAAAGTGTTTATTGTTCAATTTTCCATGTTTCTAAGTCAATCTGTCTATCCGACTTGACGCTCCCGATAAAAAATCCAGAAATACGTCATTTAAAATCCCTTTTAATGTTATTTTGCAGAAAAATATCGGGCCTTTCTAATGAACCGGTCTGAACCGGTCTAAAAAACCATAGTTCAATTCAATTTTGAAAAGGAAGTAGGAACGAAAAAACTTATCCATCAACCTAATAACTCTAAAAGTTTTAAGTGAACTTTAGAAAGCTGCGGTCCTTCCGAGTTCCCTACAAGTTGAGGTCTCACGTGCAGCAGCATACCGGAGAGAAACCACACAAATGTCCAAAACCTGGATGTCCAAAGGCATTCAGTAGCGCCGTGGGGCTCAACTCGCACTTAAACTTTCACGCCGGCAAAAACCCATATAAGTGTAAAGAATGTGATCAGGTAGACGATACAAGCCAATACAAGCCAATTCATTTTCTTGATCTGGAAACTCGATTTGTTTCAGTGGTTCAGGAGTACTAATAATCGAGCTAAACACGTGAAGGGAAAACACAGAAAGGCGGTGAGCTAATAAAAAAGAATTTAACAAAATGCCACAATTTAGGGGCGCTTGTGCGGATATCAAGGATGCAAGGAGACTTATGCCGATACGTCAGCTGTTCGGAAACACGTAAAACAGGTGCATGGTGCTAAGGCGTGGGAAACGCGGAAATTAAAGAAAGAGTTAAAGGAGACTGGTGGACGATGGCAGAAAAAGGTTTAGATAAAAAATATACACGCATTAATTTTAACGATATATTAAGATCGAGAACAAGAAGAAGGATTGTGGCTCAGAAGATCGAGAAAGCAGCCACGGCCCTGACTCTGGAGGACATTTACCGGTAGTTGTTAACAAACGTTGGTTTATTCTTACACTATTGTAGGAAAATCCGGGCCGGGTGGAGACGGTTGGAATGTACGATCCAAACCATGAGCCTAATCGAGAAGGGGAGACGAATGTGGCAAATGGAAATGAGAGGCCGATCAATGGGCCTGGGTTCACCGGATATCTCACTGCTGATGTCGTAAACGAAGAAAGTTTGTTGCGAAATGATTTCGAATATCGAACTCTTGATTTCAGCCGTAGAACTAGGCGCGATTGAGATGGGACTCTCTGAAGCGAGACGTGAAGATATCTACAGAAATGCAAACTTTGTGCCGGTTGGTCAAAAAGAACATCCATTAGCACATTGACGACAATGTCATTTTTGGCTTGGCTGCCGCTAAACGGCTACCCAAGGCTGGCTGTGGGCCTGAATATTTGTAACCAAAGGCATTCTGGGATGGAGAATCTGAATCCGTCATTAGTTGTTGAGCAACTTTAATTTGTGTGTTAACAAAACAAATTTAGTTTCATGAACAAACTGGTCACATACCAGTTGCCACCCATGAGGCATATGAGGCATCCATTTTGAGATGCGATGACCGAATGAGGCAACCGCGATTCGAATACCAGCTGTTAACTCCAACTCCGCGACCCATTATGTCTGTCGCTCCGTCGAGAATAATATCGATGGCCCTGCCAAGAAGCCAAATACCGGCGCACTCGAGCTCACAAGAAGTTTATGTTGAAGTAAACCTGTTGCCGTTTCATCAAGGACCCATTATGGGGAGCGATTCTGCCCCACGACGAACGTTTTATGCGCCTTGCCAGTGAGTTGAAATCAATCAAAAGTGTAAAAAGCAAAATAAAATGTAAAGAAACCCAAATTTTAGTGGCCTGCCAGGAAGCCAAATACCGGCACACTCGAGCTCACAAGAAGTTCATCCTCAAGTAAACCTGTTGCTGTTTCATCAAGGATAAGGTTCCATCAACTACCCCGGTAACCTCTTCCTCATCTGAATGCCGATTTGATACATCCAGCGCCATCATTTTCCCAATTACCTACCGGTTTTCTATCGACGAGTCGAATGGGTGTGGGTGGGCAAAGCTCATCAGCGGATCCTCTCCACAAACTCCCAACAATCTCCCTCGTTCCTTTTCTCCTCGTCCCTCTTTTTACATTGCTATTTTTCTAATCTTGATTTCGTTTATCCAGCGTGAGCACCAACAACCTTCTATTTTTTATCGATTTTAGCTTACCCTTTAACACTTTGAAAGACCTTAACGTAAAATGATCGTAAAAACTTATTCTCGGAACATTTGAATTCAATATGTGAATAAACAAGTAGAAAACGAGTTTACAATTTACATACACTATGAGGGAGAATTTTTAAAAGGTTGCATTGATTCTTAAAGTTCGAAATCGTTGATAAGCATTTCGTTGAGATCGACAAGTTGCAAATGAAGAAAATTAAATGAAGCTTAAATGAACTGTAAATACCGTGAATGCTTTATTAGAATGGCACCCTCTAATAGAATGGCACCCTCTAATAGAATGCCCCCCGACCCCTCGAAATATTGACTTTAGACCCCCGTCCCCTTATGGGGTTTCGATGAATAGAGCTAGCTCTAAAAACTACTAATATTTTATTGGCAGTAAAATTTAAAACGCTACTTTTGAAGAATAGAAAAGTAATCTTTGGAAAAAAAATATACGGCTTTTTTGGATTTTCTTGAAGACTCAAAGGGGGGCCGCGGGTAAGAAAATAATTTCAATTTTAAACGTTTTTTTTGTACGTTTTGAACAAAGGGCCATTGTTTAAAATAGTTTTTAACGAATTCTAAATTTTTGATTTATTTGGTCGTTTATTTTCTACTTTTTTGGATCAGCCGATTTTGAGGGGTGGAAAAATAGAACGACGTGTCATTCTAATACAGCATTTACGATATTTTATTTTAAAAGACTGGCTTTTGTGAAAAGGGCAAGGGGTATCGATAAATGGCCGATACTTTGAGCGATGTTTAAATCCATGTCAGAGGTGAGTTGTGTCTTAGCTTTTTAAATAACATTGATATGTTCAGAGGATATTACATGGACGCAAATCACACTTGTCATCCTTGCCCGCCATACTACGAAACCTGCAAAGTTGGTGTCTCTTTTTGAAAGAAATACATGTTATAGTCATTCCACGGTCTGCCCCGGAAGCGAATTTACCATATAAATAATCGATTTTGCTTTTTAGTGATGAAACTTATCCAACCGCGGCCTATCCATTCCAATGCCTTCCATGCCATTTCTCGTGTAACACATGTACAGTTTTGGTTTCCTTTTTTCCTGCCAATACTGGTTCCTTTTAGGCTCAACGGATCGCGACTCTATCAGATGCAAAACGTTCGGGGAAATCAGGTCGATCACAATGATGGTTCGTTTTGAGTCTTGATCTAGCCAAGTGAAGATGTGGATGTTTATTCGCATTGCTTTGAGGAGATTTTAGATGCCAAAGACGATTTTAAAACGAAGTGAGTTGCTGTTTTAATTTTTTAAACTAACAAAGACTTTTAGGTACAAGAACGTCGCGAAAGATAATGTAATGAGGCTTATTTCGGCGGAGAACAAAAAAATTCAGGAGCAGGTATTAACGTTTATTCTTCTGATAATTAATAAGCTCTAGAAAAAAACAACAACACTGGAAGACGAAAGATCAGTCGCGCTAACAACGAACGACACGTGGTCTAGCCCTAACAGTCTAATCCAGCTCCAGGTAGTTGCGTTTATTGTTTAGAATACACTAGATTATTTTTAGCCATACACGTGCGACTACCTGAATGAAGCAAATGGCGTAATTGAAACATTGATGCTGCTAGCAAAACCAATTATCGGAAGGTCGTCGACTAGTCCTTAGGCTTAAGTTAAACATGATGTTTAGACATTCAGCAAAAAATCTGGCCAAATCTATCCGATCAACGATTGCTGATTTCAGTTTTCAGGATAAAATTGTTGCTGTAGTGACTGTCGGTGCTACAAATGTCAGAAAAGCAGTCAAAGATGAACAACACGGCGGGTTAGTTAAATTTGATTTAAAAATAATAGTAATAATAATGCAAATAATGGCTTTTAAGGATATGTTGTGCAGCCCATCGCTTGAACGTACTAGTTGATCGATTGCTCAGAAATAGCCGAATTTCCACGATCATATGATGTTGCCAGGCCGTTCTCAAAAATATTCACCAATCGCATCATTCACGCAAGGAATACATCGAGTGAATATTGGTATCTCTCCTTGGTAAATTCGATGTGATCTCGAGAAGGGTAGATTTTAGCTATCTAATTAACTCCTTTTGACTTTAGCTGTCAAGCCGAAAAGCGTCAATACTTGAAATCATTCCTTCGTTCAAAATGCTAGAATTGTCAACAAAACGTTTTCTTGGTATTTTCTTTTGGCTAGTTTTTTTAACCAAAATTTCTAGAAGTAAGACGGAACAAGACGACAATCAGCAAGCAGACAAACAGACGGAAACTGCTAGTCATGGGTTGTTTGACGTTGTGTACAAAGGGCCTGTGCAGAAAAAAATTTCGATTGAGTGGATGTTATCAGGTACTATTTGCAGAGTTAAATGAATATGAAGTCAAGAACGTATTGAGTAAGTTTGGTTTCAAGCTAGAAAACTCTTGACTCCAAAGGTAAATAAAACAAATCATTTGAAGAAACGAGAGACGACTTTCTGCAAACCAGGGACCAATACGAAAACCTGTCTCCGTGCGGCATCTCCAAGAAAATCTTTTTGTTAACGTCATTTGATGGCCGGCAGAACCAGACCTCGATGAATGTAGAAGCCTTCGGTTCTAGAAGAATTGGATTTTTCCTTGGATCGACTCAACTCAGAACCATTTCTTCGGCGAGTTTCCGTCAAACTCATTCCCCGTGCGTGCAATTTGTTACCAATTTCGTCCTTTCATCTATTTGGCCACCGTTGATAAGAAAATCCTCTTTTCTGAGAGCTTTTGCTAAAGTTCAAAGGTCTTTCTTTTTTTCCCTATCATTCCATTAAGTTCCTCATTCGGGCTTTAAATGTATTGTATTGTCGGTTCAAAACGCTTCATATAACATAGAACTTAATTTTTGAGATCCTAGACCTATTCTGAAGTTTGGTAGTAACTTCAGCTGTACATTCGATCAAATTGATCCATTTTTTGTACTCTTTCTTTGAAGTAAATCTCACAAATCGGCAATTTCATATGATCTGATTTTATCTAACAAATTTACCGGTTTAGGTAATCGTTTGCAATGTTTATTCTAGGAAATAAATTCATTCATTGATCATAATTAGTACCAGTAAAGTGATTAATAAATATCACAGCTCTCTTCAAGAATCATGCAAAATATTGACAAAGGATAAGTGCGAGGATTGAGCTGAGGGAAATGCAAATTGTAATTGTAGGCTAAGAGATCGAAATTGGAAATGCAGAAAACGATCGATCAGATCAAACCGACAAGAACGACACCGACGAGAGAACCGATCAAAGCTGATGTGGCTCCCATTAAGGCCAACATTGAGCCCGAGACTTCTTTCAGCTCTTCGGGAACATATCTAAAGAGCATTAATAATTTTAATATTAAATAAGTAAAGATCGGCAATGGTTTATCAATCATTTATCAGATATTAAAGATGAATTCAGCTTTGCAGGTCATTTAAACCTTGGGTATCTCGGCATACAATGATTATCTTAGTTAACAACAATTAAACTCGAGTTCCAATTGGTAGTCTCAAGGAAATGAATAGCCCCAATCGATTGCCCGACCGCGAAAACCCCCCGGGTACAAATTTACAGCTGAATATCTTCTTTTTGTACCATGTACAAAGCAAAAGAAAAATCCCTGAAGGAAAGTGGTGTTCTTTGTGGATCAATTCCTGGATTAAATTTGACTGTAGTTTTCCACAAATTCCCCGTCCTATGGAAGCAAGATAATTTGTTTTTAGTTAGAATCAGTCCCAATTCGCACCCCTCCTCCAACTCACCGACTCAATCCCACACCGGCGATCGTCAAAATAATTCCATTCGATAGTCCGTATAAGATCATGATCATCAAGAAAATCCCATCCGACGGGAAAATCGTGAGTGATGGATGTAAACGGGGAGTGACATTGCAAAATGTGAGCAAAAGCGGGAAAATTAGACGAGAAACCGATAGCCACAACATCGTGTTTCGACCCTGAACCGTTTGCTTTGTAGACAAGTATTTAGGGTTTGTACTTTTCAACATCAAAAATCAAATGAAAACCGAACGTGTTCTAGACTACGTAGCGCTACTTTAGGAATTCTACTGGGTATACAGGTGTTCTCTTCTTACAATATCGATGAATCCGCCAACGAGTCGCCCAATCGAATCACCCAAATTGAACACCAAAAAGCAGTAGACTGCCGTGAAATAATCTCAAATTGATTAATATTTTTCAAAAATGGTTTTTCGATTACGTTGCCACTTTTCATTGTGCGATTCGGTGGCAACTTCGGCAGCGATTGCGGGAAATCCTGATAGAGAAACACCGACAACCAAAGCGGTCGAGATCAATTCTGGACCGACCTGCGAAAGAAAATGATTTTAGAAAACAAATGAACAGGAATATCAGCTATTCAGTTAGTTATAGTGAATTCTCTACTCACCGTATCGAAGCAATCCCTCCATGCATCAGCCATTCGCGGACGTTCAACTGTTTGTTCTACGAACGTTGTTGTTATCTCATCCTCTTCATCCAGAAGACCCCGCTCATCCATTGGTGATCCGGATCTGCAAGTTGATTGTCTTTTGTCTTGTAATGGAATGCTGATGTTCAAATTTTTGTCATTCTCAACCTTTGTCGCATTTCTTTTGCGAGATCCGATTTCACCAAATATCCATACGCCAAAATGCTAACAAATGACCAAGCAATTGCAATCGAGAAATACACTCGGCCATTCACTAAATCATCACTCGCAAAAGCCTAAAAGCAAATGTTTTGTAACATTTAAAGATTTCCCGATCTTGCCTGACAGAAAATTGACAGGCCCGAAGATAAAAGTCCGGCCGCTGCTTGACCTAGCATTACAGCTTTCATCTAAAGTTCTACCTATGTACAAAAATATATTATACTTTCACAATGAATCTAGAATGTCGACAATATAGCATGTTTGGCTCTTGCATAGTTTCCGGGTATTTTGAAAGAGTCGGGGCATTTTGGAAGAATCCAAGTATTTTGAACGGTTCATCTCGTTTTGAAGGCCTATAACTTTGCCCAAAAATAATATTTTTGTTAACTTTTTATGCGGTTTTAACAAGGAAATTTCAGGCTTTTGAATGATGTTACATAGAGCTTAATTGGAGAGTCCAGTCCAGAAAAATCAAAGCCAACTCTGAGCAAACAATTCAACTTGGGTGCCGTGCCGCCTGGTTTGCATGGGAATGAAAAATTCGATCAAGCTCTATTTAGTATCATTCAAAAGCCTGAAATGTCCTCTGTACAATGATATAAAAAGCTAACAAAAATATGATCTCTGAATAAAGTTATGAGCCTTCAAAGCGTGATGACCCGTTGAAAATACCTAGAAACTACGCAAGAACCATATTTTTTGCTTACATATGATTCCGGAAATGTGGCAGCTAGACCGAAAATGCCTCCACCGACAAGGCCAATCGAGCCAAAAGAAGCAAGACCGGCGAATGCCATTGAAGTCCAAAAGAATGGGATTTGCCCTGAAAAACGAGGTTGTTTTCAATATCTTTTAGTGGCATTAAGAGATGATTATTCCAATACAATTTAAACGATAATAGCTTTTTTTTAGAAGCTCACATGTATCCGTGTTAATAAATGCCAAGACGAGAGTCGGTAGAAAAGCGAGAAGACAAATGAAATGACCGACAATGACGCGGGTTGCGTTCGAAATGCTAACAATAAATTGGGCAAATTAGAAAAGGGAAAAAAAGGGTGACAAAACCTATTCGTTGCCAAAACATTCAGAAAAGTGCCCATAATGTTGAGAACTCCACCACAAAATGTGACATGACTTTCGAATATATGCTGAAGATGCGTTTGCGGTTCATTCCCATCGCCGACTGAAAAATCGTTTTACGAAGTTAAGCTCTAGAAAAGCTCACCTATCGTCAAATTGCACGGATTGGTGACATTGCGAAGTTTGTAATAGAAATACTAAAATTTCTGTTTATCATTAGTTTTTCTTGTGTTACCTCGTGTGCATTTTGGAATAAATTCGACGGTAGAAGACTCGTTGTTGAGACAAAAAAGAACGCCGCGAAAATCTTTGCATTCATCCCTCGAAAATCCAACCCTAAACTGGCTTAATTTTATCTATTTTTTGTGTGTTGAAAGCTTAATTTGCCCATTTTTCATTGGAATAATCTTTGACTCTTTATCAGCTGGGGAATTTTGGCAAAAAGCCAGAAACAAAAAAGAGCATCATTTAGCAAGACAAAGGCTTTGTATACCTAGTGTAAAGAAAAATAAATAAGCATTCGAGATCAAACTCTATTTTGTAATTGTTTTTTATTGTAATTGTATATTCGCAAATCATTTTTCAGAAATGAACGCTGACAATGGAAAAGACGAATCGATTGAGGAAAAAGCTCAAAAAATATCGTCAACAACAAAGAAAAGAAAAGCCGAAGAAACGAAAAATATCGAAATACCCGGGAAATCATCGATGGATATTGAAGAAATGGGGAAAGATCAAGAAATGGGGAAAGATCAAGAAAAAGCATGGATACCAGGTGAAGAAGAATACCGTATTTCTTCGAATAGAAGACCGGGTAAAGAGTATGATCGCGTACTCCTGCGTAGCAGCCCTTTTTAAAATTTCTTTTCTGCATAAAAGCTTTCAATGAAGTGCTATAGGGCTGAAAAATGACTCAAAAATACCAGTTGAGCTCAAGTGGTATTTTTGAGTCATTTTTCAGCCCTATAGCACTTGTTTGAAAACTTTTATGCAGAAAAGAAATTTTAAAAAGGACTGCTACGCAGGAGTACACAATGATACTCTTTACCCGGTCTTCTATTCGAAGAAATACGGTATTTTGAAACACATAAAATAAGTTAGCCAAATTTGAGTAGAGATCCAATTGTTCAAACTTTGATTGCAGGTGTTGCCCCGAAGAAAATGCTATCCGAATTTCATCAAGGCCTTCAATCACTCGGATTTGATCAAGATTTGTACATTTTACACGAAATTGCACTCGATCCAGCTTTTAAAGTACGTTGGATAAAGTTCACCGAATACTAAGTGACTATGGTACCGTATTTCTTCGAATAGAAGACCGGGTAAAGAGTATCATCGTGTACTCCTGCGTAGCAGCCCTTTTTAAACTTTCTTTTCTGCATAAAAGCTTTCAATGAAAATGCTATAGAGCTGGAAAATGGCTCAAAAATCTGTTGGCTCATGTGGTATTTTTGAGCCATTTTCCAGCTCTATAGCACTTGTTTGAAAACTTTTATGCAGAAAAGAAATTTTAAAAAGGGCTGCTACGCAGGAGTACGCGATGATACTCTTTACTCGGTCTTCTATTCGTAGAAATACGGTATATTGGAATGTAAAAATGTATGATATTGTATAAACTTTATCAGCGATCAAATCTAGATAGAAGACCTTCCACAAAATCCAATCGCGGCTGTCGTTGAAGCCGAATTAAAACGAGCATATTGGGATATTCTAAAAGAAGAACTTCAAAAAGAACCTCCAATATTTGAACATGCTTTCAAAGTATTATTGGAAGTAAAAGAGGTTAGACAAAAGAATTATCACTTTCTTTAAAAACAAATTTCTTTAGTTTGCTCGAAATAAGATCATTTTCCGGACGAGTACAGGCCCGGGAGCACAAGCAATTATGCGACAATTGGACTCAGTGATTGATGAGAATACCCTCAGAAATCATATCGAACAAGGAGTTTTTGATTTTAGAGGTGAGATTGGATTTGGATCAGCTTTAAAAAGAAGATTTTATTATAGTTGTTTTGAGAAATGTTTGTGAAATTCTCGCAAAACTTTGCTCGCCTGCAAGAGATCCTGATGTCGAGAAATTACGGAAAGAAGACGATATGTTCACAGCATTGAAGTGAGAAAGGGGGCAAAGATAGATTGAGATATTGAACGAATCTTTTAGGAGCACATTCACATTGATGGAGAATATCGAACGAGATATCACCAATTTCTTTATCGGTATCGGTCATCCGGATCTCGTCAAACAAACGAGAAACAAAGAATTGCAGCATTATTTGGCGAGAAGAGTGCAAAGTGCGGATTTGATTGGGTTTCTCTAGATTAAATTGCTTTTCTAAAGGATGCAAAGCTAAGAATATTAAGCTACCGTACTCTAGGAGACTTTTTCTATCAATAAAGTCAAATTGAATTTCATTAGTCAGAGAAATCGAATGGGTGAAAGTCTCGATCCCAATCCAGCGGCTTAAATTTCAAAAAGTCACCTGGGTATGGTAGTTTTTCCCACAATAACACAATCTAATTATCATTATGATAAAAATCAAAATGTGAATTTAGCTGGTGATTCTGGTGTTCGACAATGGTTGAAAATTTCAATGGATGAATGTGCTCGACCATCGATTTCTGCCGAAGATCTTTCGAGCAGTCGTGCGTTTTTTAAAATTTCACTTATTAAACTAAATCCATTCATCCACTTTCTTCACACATTCTTCAGCCAATTGCTCGACCACTAACGCAATTTTACTGAAAAATTGCTGACAAATCAATATTTGAATCAAACCTTTCTTCAATGTCATTCGAAATGATGATTAGATTGTTTTTCAGAATTTCCCCACAACTTTTCGAGAATTCTTTCCCAGCCACATCGATTGTGATCTGAATTTTCGCGATTATATCCAGTGTTTTCAGACTTGCCCAAATACTTCCCGTGCATATCGTCAATTGGAGAAATTGGAGAAATTAAAACTAAAACTTATTAAAACTAAAATCTATAAAATAAATCGGGTTGACTACTTCTTTATAAATATTATCTTTATTTTCAGCTGGTTCTCGTTCTCCATCATCAAAGCGTCTTTTCGAAGATCCTTCAGAAAAAATGCGACGGATTACAAGTCGTGGATATGTCAGGTTTTAGAAAATGATCTGAAATGGTAAAGATAAAAGATAAAAGTTCTAGATTAATCAACTCCGAAACGCCTTTCCCATTCCCGGAAACGATGAAGATTGACTCGATGAAGTTTTAAAGAGATTAAAATCTTAAAGTTACCCAAATCCATTTTAGGCTTGCCGCTTTCGCCGAAAAATTTCTCCAATTGACAATATGCACGGGAAGTATTTGGGCAAGTCTGAAAACACTGGATATAATCGCGAAAATTCAGATCACAATCGATGTGGCTGGGAAAGAATTCTCGAAAAGTTGTGGGGAAATTCTGAAAAATAATCTTATCATCATTTCGAATGACATTGAAGAAAGGTTTGATTCAAATATTGATTTGTCAGCAATTTTTCAGTAAAATCGCGTTAGTGGTCGAGCAATTGGCTGAAGAATGTGTGAAGAAAGTGGAGGAATGGATGAGAAATGAAAAGAGAAATGATTTCAATGAGAAATCGGAAACAATTCGGAAACAGGTTTCTCATGATTTTGTTTATTTGGACACATTTTTGTTTTAGGTAATCGATTTGAAGCGAGCAGATCATCCGGTTCGGAAATTGATTCGTAAGTGAAAGTTTCGTTAAAATTTTCGATGAAAAAATTTTTAGATGATCGAGTGGGCCGTTTAGTTGAGGCGATTCTTTCAGGGACATGGAATAAAGTTTGTTATTAAAGATAATCTAAAAGTTAGCTAATGACAAGTCAATCGATCTTGTCAATCAATCGATTGATCTTGTCAGTCAATCGATCGATACCGTAAAGCTTGTTATAGTAACCGGAATAAAGAGTATTCAAAAACGGGATCTCTTTAGATTTAAAAGGATTTATAAGGTATCCAACTTTGAAGAGGGTTTTACAGGATCCTTCTACAGTAGAGTGTGCTCCTTGTTGACAGACAATTTGTCAGACAAATTTTCATTGACAACTTTTTTGTCAGACAATTGATCCGACAAACTTCCGACAACGCGTTTTCTAAAAGGTGCGCTTTTTAAGCAAAGCTATAAAGGTCGCGCGAAAAAAATTTGCAAACTTTTCTTAAAATATAGTAATGGATAGTTTTATTTAAGGATTTAGGTTTTTTAGGGCGTGGAATTTTTTTTTGGAATGGTTCTAGTGCAAATGTAGACAATAGGCCTGGTAAATTCGTAAATAATATAATTTTTTAATAGTGTTTCTTAACTTTTCCCGTTTTAAATGTTTTCTTTAATTTTAAATAGCATTTAAAAATTTTTAAGTTTTAGCGAAAGAGTAATAGAGTTAAGGAAAGAGTAATAGAGTTAGGGAAAGAGTAATAGAGTTAAGGAAAGAGTAATAGAGTTAAGGAAAGAGTAATAGAGTTAAGGAAAGAGTAATAGAGTTAAGGAAAGAGTAATAGAGTTAAGGAAAGAGTAATAGAGTTAAGGAAAGAGTAATAGAGTTAAGGAAAGAGTAATAGAGTTAAGGAAAGGGTAATAGAAAAAAAGAGCGCAAGATTTTAATGTACATTTGCATTTTGAAAAATTTGCTGATGCAAAGCATAGGGTTACGGTAGCTTATCCTTGGCGCGCGCTTTTTAGAAAACGCGTTGTCTGCAAGGAACACACTCTATTCTACAGTATCCTTTTACAGTCTGAAAACTACATTATCCTTTAGTAAGAAAGACTAATGTAACTTTACAAGAGCTTAAACATATTGTTGTAAATGTAAAAGCAATTTCCTCACCTAAACCCTAACATCCGATTGAATGGATTTCAGGAATTTCCCTCAATGCTTCTTCCTGTTCAACTCCAACTAACAGCTTTTGCTTTGAAATTCGCGAAATTGTGTACATATAATAGAGAAACATTCAACGGTGTCTACATCGATTTGATCAGGTATTAGAAAAAGAATTCTTGCATAATTGATGCAACTAAAAATGATTTTTAGAGAGCTTGAAGAAGCGGCTCAACAATCAACGAGTGCTGCAAATTAAAATACATCATTTTTTTTACTTTTTTTGGGGTACATTGGTCTTTCAGTATTGAATCTCTGCAAATAAACATGAGAATTTATTATGTACTCGTAAGATGAAAAATGGAAATCACGAGAAATCACAAAATGAACACGGAAAAGCTATCTATGCGATCTATGCGATGAAGACAAGAAAAAAAGAACCAATGTTTTTCGGATTGCTAATGAAATCACATTTAGTTCAGCTCTATAAGTTCATTTAGTTCATTTAGTTCAGCTCTATAATAATAAATGACTACAAAATGTGTCTATGATAGGTAAAATAGCAGAGAATTCATCTCTTATACCTAAAAATATCTCAAAATCAGTCAATTTTCATTTCGGTGTTGAGGGACCGCCATTTTGTAGTGGAGAGTCTGGAAATACAGCTTCTCATAGGAATTTTTGATAAATCGAATTTATAATTACCGTATTTTCTCTAATAGTAGTGCACCGCGGCTAGCCGAGTTGATGGCTATTTTTACGGTTTCCAAGCTTTTGCAGAAGCTCAACACTCAAATCCCCACTAGATCTCATCGCCAGCTACATTTTCCAACCCCACATCGATAGGTTCTGATAAGCGGTTTTTGAGATTTCGAGGAATTTAGGCGAAGCTTTGGGTACACTACTATTAGAGAGAATACGGTATACTATTCCAGGTTATGCTAGTAGATCAGACTGATCTATTTCCCTAATATTTCCGGGTGAGCCGAGTTGATGCCTATTTTACCGTTTCCAAGCTTTTGCAGAAGCTCAACACTCAAATCCCCACTAGATCTCATCGCCAGCTACATTTTCCAACCCCACATCGATAGGTTCTGATAAGCGGTTCTCGAGATTTCGAGGAATTTAGGCGACGCTTTGGGTGCACTACTATTAGAGAAAATACGGTAGATAATTTTTTCATTAAATATATTTTTCTAAATCGTAACCTTTCCATTTTTCTTTTTCAACTCACCAGAATATGCATCTGAGAATCCCAATTTTTGATCGATCTCCGAATCGCTTTCTGTTTCGTCAGAGCTGAAAAGATGCTATAAAACAAATCTTTTTTAAAAATTAAATCACAAATGCTTGAGATAAGTACAAAAAGATAAAACTTGTAATCTTTTATAAAAGTTTCCAATATTTCCATCATTTGTACCTGCTTGTGTCCATTCTTTGCATCGAAAGTGTTGTTGATCGGCTAAATGAAGGAGGAAATGTTAGAACATAGGTTAGATTATGAGAAAGAAAACCCTCATTTTATAAAATTTAAGATGAAACCAAGAAGGTTGGAGTGAAAAATTGAACAGCACACCAAGCTGTACCTGATTGGAGTGAATGTTTGTTCGAGCCTGTTTATGGACTGGAACGATAGCCCTTTCCAATCACTCCAATCATTGGATTGGAGTGAAAGTCACCTTTTCCCCCCACTCACATTTCGTCAATTTCATTTTCTTCAATCAGTGTCCCTTTATGATTGAGAAGATGTGGTCTCAGCAATAATTTCACGCATTCATCGTGTTTGAACATTTTCGCGTCATCTAGTGGCGTACGTCTCCATCTGAAATTTAGCGCATAGACATGGGTACTATAAACTACGCTGTCACACTTCAAACGCTTCTAACTTGCTTCAAAACTGCCGGATTTACAATATCTATAGCTCAAAAAATAGAAATTTCAAGAGCTTTCGAATGGATCAAAGCATACTCAAAAATATCAATGCTAAAGAAAGTCAAAGTGGTTTGTAGCCTGACGGACCGTACTCGGGAGTAGTCGAAGCGATCGAGTCAGGCTACAAACCACTTTGACTTTCTTTAGCATTGATATTTTTGAGTATGCTTTGATCCATTCGAAAGCTCTTGAAATTCTCTATTTTTTCGAGCTATAGATCTTGTAAATCCGACAGTTTAGAAGCAAGTTAGAAGCGTTTGTAGTTTCCGTTTGTAGTTTGTAGAGCCCATGTCTAATTTGTCAACTTTTAGATGCAAATTTCATCGAATTTCAAATGTATGTACCTGTCTTTTGGATTGTGTGGGACTTTGGCGATAAAGAGGAAGAATTTCACAAGATGCGCATGTCCTTCAGAGGCAGCAATGTGTAAAGCCGTTCGACCGTCATAATCTTTCACATCTAATGGTTGGCCTTGAAGGTACATTCTGATAAGCGATTCATTTTCAACATCTCAAATTATTTCAACCTTCTAACTGCTTCTTCATCACCATTTTGTGCCGCGTACAATAACGAAACGACAAGCTCCGTTTCACTAAAAATCTCAGAGATATTTTGAGTCATTTTTTATCTCATTACAATACAAAAGTATTGAATCAACAAATCTAAATACTAATAAAGCGAAAAATCTGGGGGTGGGACAAATGCGGCCTTTTTTTTGCGCACCTGGACATTTGCGCACCTTTTGTTTTGCTGGAAAAGGCCTTAGGCAAGGCCGTAGAGCTTCAAAAATGTTTTCATAGAAGGGAATCGTATGCGTAGATTCCGAATTTTGACAAATAAGACCTCGCTGACACGTCAAATTTGGGCTAAAAGGCAAAAACTACGCAACTTAACGCTTTTCCGCAGTTTTTGCCTTTTAGCCCAAATTTGATGTGTCAGCGAGGTCTGATTTGTCGAAATTCGGAATCTACGCATACGATTCCCTTCTATGAAAACATTTTTGAAGCTCTACGGCCTTGCCTAAGGCCTTTTCCAGCAAAACAAAAGGTGCGCAAATGTCCAGATGCGCAAAAAAAGGCCGCATTTGTCTCACCCCCAAAAATGTTTCTTTTTTCTCAAACCGATTTCCGACTCTTCTTCTTGGGTCCAATTTTTTCGAATCAGCATGAAGTAAAGAATCATAATTGTGGAAATTGAAGCTCTCGATGAGCTTCTGTATTGGATCATTTTCCGGGAAACTGGTAAAGCATTTACTTTACAAAATTCGACTCCTCTCATTGAATTGCCCATTTTATCGAGTGGAGGAGAGTAAAGAGCAATTCCCATTAAATTTGGGACAACAACAATCAGCACACCCGAAACACCGGACTTGGCTGGTAGACCAACCTAATAGTAAGAAGTGGGTCTTGTTATTTTGTTTGTTATTTAGGTTTGTTATTTAGTTTGCTACAACAACAAAAAGTTCTTTGAGGCACCTGAAAGGCGAATTTCCCGGATAAATCATACATTCCACAAGAGTACATCAACGAAAGAACATCACGACACGGTTGAGGGGAAATACAACGCTCTTCGGTGAGTGGACAAACACCTCAACAAAACGATCACATTCAGATGAATTAGGCTTTGCCTTTCCTGAGTTTTCTAGACTACCGTACTCGTGTTGATATTTTAAATTTCAGCCAGAGCTTTTACTATTAGAATTTCTGAGCCCGTTTAAAAGTTAGTCTCAATTTGGCATTCAAAAAAAAATCGATTACGCTACTTTTTGCTTTGGCCAACTTTTAGGGATCACTTTGAAATCTGATTGAGATCTGATTTTCCTTTCGATTAACCTCCATTTGCAAGTGTTGCAGCCATGACAGCCAATGTCTCACAACTTGCTTCGATCGAACACAATTGAAAATAGAGATCCAATTCCTCTCGCAATGAACGAATTCCATCAGGGAAACATTTGTTTTCTTTCATATAATATGAAAGAGCATAGTTTCGATCAGCTGTGTCTCTTTCAGAAAGAAATCTAAAAATAAATCAAGATTTGAATAAAGTTTTTTGTGAAAAGTACACAGAATTGTTGAATCCGACGAATTCTCCGCCCGACAGTTTCCGATATTCTTTGAGAACGAAATCGAACCTGAAAATGGAATATAATGATATAGTTAACTCCCTCTGGAATAAGGGAGATCAAGTGCGTTGTGTTGTAATGGTAAGGTGTAATGGTAAGCACAGCTGCCTGGTAAGGGAAAGGTCGCGGGTTCGAGTCCGGCAGTGCACAAATTTTTGATCTGCCCTAGTTCCAACTGGCGACCACGAAGGGATGGGCTAAGGCATACCAAGTTCAAGTCAACCCCAGGCCTATAAAACGATCCTTGTTGTAGTTGGAACTAGGGCAGATCAAAACCCGTGTGCTGCTGGGACTCGAATACGCGACCTTTAGCTTACCGGGCAACCGGGCAACTGTGCTAACCTTTTCATTACAACGCACTCGATTTCCCTCACTCCAGAAGGAGTTAACTGTATGTTAAGTAGTAGATATAATGCAATAATATCTCTATAGTGATTTTTTTTATCGCAACTAACCGATCGGCCATTGTGAGTCCATTTTTGATGAGTGAAGTGACAATGATGGCGCCGGCATTTATCATTGGATTGTGGGGTTTTCCTGGAAACAATTTCATATTCAATTGGATAAGGTTTTAAATAATATAAATCTAGTTTTTAAAACATACCATTTGGATCTAAACAAATCTCATTGAAAAGTCGTCCACTTGGCTCGTGTCCCACATAGGAATGAACCTTCTCCGCTCCCAAATCCGAAGCAACAATTGCATAATTAAAAGCCTGAAATGGAAACTTTTATAAAATAAAATAAGATAAGATAAAATTGGAAAAGTTATGGAAAAGTTAGAATGAATATCTCTTGCAAACAAACCTTTGAAACACTTTGAATGCAAAAGTTGACTTTACTGTCTCCAAATGAGACTCTTTGCCCGTCAATCGTACAAATACTGACTCCCCAGAGATTTGGATCACATCTAAATGAAAAGTGATATGAAATATAGATTTTAAAAACATCTCATAACCGACTACTGGATTGTCACTAGATTTTAGAAACTTTTATTTATTTAAACAATATTTTCGCCCCTCACCGAGCCAATTGTGGAATGTAAGTGGCCACAGTTCCACCGTTGATCCCTCGACACTGCAAAAATGACACAATTTAGATATGATAAGATGCTGAATATTTATTATTTTTGTATTTCCGTAACCAATTTTTCTATTTAGCACTAACTTTAACGGAAAAGCAAGTTCATTATTTAGCATTTATGGACTAAAAGATTCAGTTTTAGAGCTTTTCATTTCATTTCATACTTTAAGATTCAATCTTTCATCTTTTCAACCTTTCAGTCTTAGTAAGACTATACTTTTGATGATTTGATAATTTGATGGCTATAATCTTTAGTAAGCTAAAGATTATAGCCATCAAATTCTTATGTACTTCTTCGAAAATGTCTCGTATTTTCAAACAGAATTCTCCCCATGATGGAATGATCAAATGATTGCGAAGAGCTTGAGAAATCAATTGAACTGATGATTGAATACATCTAAATTTTTCCATCTTTATTCAGTTTACTTATTTATTTCAAATCTTTCAAACCCACTCCTTAAAAATGTCTCTTCTCATATGCAATACTCTTTCATCGTCTTCTTCTTTTGTTTCTTCGAATGTCCTTATTTGATCCATCATTTTTTTCATTCGTGGATCTTTCTCCCGAAGGCCGAATGATTTTAAAACCTAAAAAAACGTTGATAATTCTTCTTACTGTTGTCTAAGGCATAAATCTCTTGTACCTTAATCAATTTCGTGACTGATGCTTCATCTCGATCGGGCAATTTGAACAGATCAAAGATTAGATCAGCCGGGGAAATTGTGCGCATCTGAAAATGAAGGTGACTGCTTTGAAAATCGTTTGAATCAATCAATCAAGCAATCATTTCTAATCAATCATTAGGAGATGTTAATATTTTGATAAGAATTCTATTCCAAACTTCTATCTTCTTTTTTCAAACTCTCTTCTCGCGGCTATTGAACCTAGTTGTTCCCACACCCCTTGCTCTCTTCCAAATCACATTCTACGAGCTAAATCCAAGATAGATCGCATCTTATCCTTGTCTTCTCATCAAAATCCCTCCGAGGATCCTTCATTTCTCAAAACTCAAAAAACCCTATCACGCTTCTGTAAAAAATTCGAAGCGAATGTTGAAAAGAGGGCAATAAATTCTGGTGACCCCAAACGTTTCTATTTATCTTTTGGGTGTGTTTTGAGTGGTGTCCCGGGTAATTATTGTGATTTTGTTTTGTCGCTATTCAACTGAATAAAGCATATATATAAAACACTTCATCTTTTCTTTTCTTCTCTACTTTTCCCAAACAAACCATTTTCTCATTTTTGTCGGATGCAAACGGATCTCCGTCTATTACCAAAGCTGCTTTAGCAAAGCGCATATTATCAAAGCTGCTTTATTTCTTTGTTAAGCTAGCGTGTAAATTTGTTTACCTCATAAGCACTATTGAGCGCTTTCACCGTATTCGACATAATTCTCGCAACGGATTTCTTTCGATTCAAAATCTCACCAATTGTGTTCACTAAAAGATTAATGAAACAATAGTTGAAACAAACTGAAACAGACTGAAACAGACTACATTAATTGAAAGCTATTCTCACATTGTGTCGGACAATGTATCGAACAATCGTTTTCTGGGCGATCTGGTCCACTCTCGTGATCCATCGATTGTGAGTCCTAAAATGAGGACTTTAAAAATCTAATTAAATTATCTTCTTTAAAACAAAAATATATCTCAACAATAAAATCTCTTTGTTTTCTATCAATTTGTCACATAAACGTTCGGCAAATCCGAGGAAAAACAGAAAACAGAAAAGAGAAAAGAGTTTTGATCAAAAGAAGAAAAACTCAATGAGATTTTATGGGATTTTCCTCTCTCTAACAAACACAAATCTTTTGAGTTTAATGTGGGCAAAGTTGACTCTTTTTTTTTGGATTATTGTTTTGTTTATTTGAATATCAATGAAATAAATGAAATAAATGAAATCAAAAGAATGATCACTGGAACATACCGCTCGTAAAAAGCCATTTGCATTGAAAGAAATCTTCCTCGTTCTCAAAAATTCGTCATCTTGTGAACCGGCGTACATTCTGGAAAAATACGTTATTTAAAAGTTTAGCTTTATTTTATTTAAATCTGGAATACTTTAATGAGACAGGGAGGGAAAATAGAAAAGAGAAGCTATTGAGAAAATAATATTTTTGTCAAAGATAATCATCGCCAATCAGAACTGTATGTCTAGATGTCAATTCGAATCAAAGAAAAAAAAGAGATTTGATTGCAAGAGTGAGCAAAATGAGGAAATGTCTGTAAATGAATGAATGGATCGGATGAGAGATTGGAAATTTCCCTTTTCTCACATACAATCACTTGCAAATACCGAATGGAACAAAAAAAAAAACGGGAAACCAATAAAAATCCTCGTGGGGATCTCAATTGATCAAGAGGAATTTGAAAGTCAATTGAAATGACGAAACGAAGATCAAAACGAAGAAAATCTTTTACTGAGTCTAGACTTGGCAAGATGAATGTTAAAAGAAAGATAATTTGTGAAATATTGGGTCTGTTTGTAAGTGCTTGTAGTGTGAAATGTCACTATTTGCCACATGTTTCTATTTAAAACTATCTCACCGATTCACTTACCCTTTGCTTTATTAGATTCACTTATCATTTGCTAGAAATGTTTATTGTTTACATATTGTCATTGTCAATCGGTGAATTAGAAAGTTTTAAACAAAACCATGACAAATAGTGACCGACATACAGACTCAATCTACCGTAAGACCTGAAACAGACGAATCGTTGAGCTTCCTTCTATTACTTTTGGCTTTAAACAATTCACGTTTTAACCAGATCTTTCAGAAAACCTATAATGGATTAATCGTTAATCGGTATACGGTAGATTAATCGTTACGTATTATTCCTGCGAAACAAAACTTTATTCAAGAAAAAAATGTGTTCCAAATGGGATCCCAACAAAACCGTTTTCTCCAATCTTTATTGAGTGAGTTCAAATGGGCGGAAAAAGCAATAATAATTGCCCATAAATTCTCTCGTTTCGAAAAGATTTCCCCAATCAACTTCAAGAGCATTTTTAGAGATTCAAAAGAAGAATTTTCCCTCCGTCATTTCCTTGAAAAAGTAACAGACGGGTGAAATTTTATGAGGTGAAATTCTTGGGTGATATTTGTCGGAAAGGGGGAAAATTACATCAGAAATCGCTTGATAGATACAAGTATCTATTTTTAAAGCCAAGATTTTTAAATCTAATTGTGGAAGGATCTAAAGTTTTAAAGATTTAAAGATGCTAAACGCCGAAATTCGAACTCTAAATGCCCTGATCACAAGTTCAAAGTCGTTAAAAGTTAAAAGTTTTCGGGAGAAACAAAAAAAGATCTTTTGTACCGCCCCATCATCCATAAAAATGATCCTTTCTTTTCCATTAATTTACAGTACTCCCAAAAAAAACAGTTTTATCTTTTCTCTTTTATTTCTTCAATGAGAGAAATTTTGAGAAAGAGAGTTCGGAAAATCCCCTGTTTTTTGATGGGTGATCTCGTGATAAAACCGAGGTTTCATCGGGGGGAAAAACCCCCACGTTTCACGCAGAAAGTGTGCATATGTTGCGTTCGTTTACGAACTAAGCTCTTAAGTTCGTAAACGGACGTCCGGATCGGATTCGGACGTCCGTTTACGAATTAAACGCAAATGCTAATTTGATGTTAATAGAACTGTTATGTTAATAGAACTGCTGAACAGTCGTCATGTTCCGAACATAACGTCTGATTCAGAACACGATCTAGTAGAATCAGGTCCCTAGAAGAATGGAAGGCCGAAGCTGGGAGAATCAGGCGATAGCCTAGGAGAACCGGTCTCTAAGGTGCGGAGCTATAGCCTAGGAAAATATAGGCGCCTAATATAATGGAGATCGTGTTCGGATTCGGACGTCATGTTCGGAACATGACGACTGTTCAGATTCGGACGTAACAGTTACATTAACATTTAAGTTTAATTCGTAAATGGATTTCCGAATCCGATCCGGACGTCCAGATTAGATTCGGACATCCGGATCCGAGCTGAACGTGAGCTCGTAAACATATACAAAGAAGAGATTATAGAAGACGTTGAATGACTAGTTGTAAGAGTTCATTAGAACCATTAACAACACCAATAACAATAACACCTTTCCCGACAAACGAGAAATTCAGTATGCCAGACATTGGGCATTTACTAGCGCTTAAAGTAGAAACCGAATCGAAATGTTTTATCAAGATAAAAGAGTATATTTTGAAAACGAAAAGATTTTCTCTGTTTAGAGATTTAAAGAGAAACTCCAAACCCAACAAATACGGTATTTATTGTGTTGATTTCTGGGCTAAGTCTTGGATTTTCTGCGAATCATGTACGGGAAATCAAGAAAAAACCTAAATTCTTTTTTTGAACTGTCAAAGATTCGAAATAATCGAATTGAACTGATTGTGAGGACAGATTTAAATGTCAAAAACACATAAATTTCTTCATTTAATATCTTTTTAAAGTTTATTTTCAATTTGGCGATATCAACCGTATTTACTTTCTTTTTATCACCAAATAGAGAAAAACTTTTTGATCTCAAGAAGTCCAAAAACTGGTGATCCCGTTTAATAGCTCAATAAAAGACGAAGAATGTTTAAGAAAAAGGAAAAAGAAAAAAGAAAAAGAAGAAGGAAATTTGAGAAAAACAAAACAAATTTAAAAATTATAGAAAATTAAGAAGAAGAATGAACGTTTTGATTCTTCTTAAGTTCTTAAGAAGAATGAAAACAAAAAGAAAGGAATGGATGGAGGAAACTTTCAAAATCCTGCGTTGCAAACAGATTAACCCTTTTTTTGGGGACTTTAACTTAACCCGAGCTCAGACTCTAGAAGTGGTTCATTCCTTTTGCAGATTCCCTTTGCGTTTAGCGCTTCTTTATCAAACTTTATCTTTATCCCGTTAGAGCCGCTAGGTTATAGAACCCATAGATCCCATAGAAGCCATAGAAAAATAGATCCCAAATTACATACATACATCAGTCACTTTCCATTTTCAAGAAACAAATAGAGGCTCTAGATCTAACGGCTCTAGATCTAACGGCTCTAGATCTAAAGGCTCTAGATCTAAAGGCTCTAGATCTAACGGCTATAGATCTAACGGCTATAGATCTAACGGCTATAGATCTAATCTAATCTAACGGCTATAGATCTAACGGCTATAGACCTCTCGTAGGTAATCTGATTATTTGCATTTTCACTCTATCTTGTATCTTCGTACCTTTCTTTTGTCTCTACATTTATGACCCGCTGTGCATTTCTCTATGATTTATTGGATTTTACTTTATCATCTGAATAAGGTATCATCATCTCAAGAAGGCCAATAAAGGACGAAGAATGTTCAAGAAAAAGAAATTGAAAAGAAAATTTGAAAAAAATAAACAAGTTTAAAAATCATGAAAAATGTGAAATTGAGAAGAATGAAAACAAAAGAAAGGAATTGATGTCAAAAAAAATAAAGAAAAACCCCTTTGGAACAGATGTTGAAGGTGGATGATGGGATTTTCATTACACTCAATCACTCAATCACATGGCCCATCCCTACCAAATTTTCCCCTTTTTTGCGTCACTTTTTTCATTGTTAAATGTTTTTTCCTTAGATGATTGGCTTTTGAAAGCTTATGAAGACTTTTGAAGACTTTTTAATGAATTTTATAAATAGTGAAAATGATTAAGAAAGCACCGTTTTTCACTAAAATCAAATTATCCGCAAGTAGGTGTAGTGTTAAAAATTAAATTTACAGCTCTTTCTTCTTTCCGCCTTTCTGGGCTTCACTATGTCCAAATTTCAAATCAATTTTTTGCTCTAAATTTGTTTGTAGATTTCTACAAATTCTACATCTTCTAAACCATGACTGGCTGAGACACTCAAAGCTGATGAGGGCTCATTCGATGGATGATCTCTTTCCGACAATTGGCTCACAAGATAAAAGCATAGTTTTAAGCATTTATTGAACTGAAAAAAACTATCTGATTTTGGATATACACTACTGGACAATGAAATATCATATTTGAAAAAACTCTTTCGCACCTTCGCGCGTCGTTAACACCCTTGTCTTTGAGTTAGGGATGTTAGGGTTTAGGTGAGGAAATTGGTTTTACATTTAAAACAATATGCTTAAGCTCTTGTAAAGTTACATTAGTCTTTCTTACTAAAGGATAATGTAGTTTTCAGACAGTAAAAGGGTACTGTAGAAGGATCCTGTAAAACCCTCTTCAAAGTTGGATACTTTATACAGTACTGGACAATGAAATATCATATTTGAAAAAACTCTTTCGCACCTTCGCGCGTCTTTAACACCCTTGTCTTTGAGTTTAAACTATTAGTGTTATACATTCTCTGAAAGCTCTTTTCAAGGGCTACACAATGGTAATATTAATATTTAGAAATACGGCAAAGACAAGGGAGTTACAGACGCGCAAAAGTGCGAAAGAGTTTTTTCAAATATGATATTTCATTGCCCAGTAGTGTATGTCTTACAAATTGAGAGAACCAATAATTTCTCCAAAGCGATAAATCTCGACATTTGCCCGGGCTTTCCTCCTCTCAAATTTGTCCCAAAAATCGAGAGAATCGATAATTCCTCCAAATCTCGACACGTCACTTCTTCTCTTCCATTATAAAATCAAATGCGGATTTATTTGATTAAATAAAATCTGAAAAAAAGGCAGATTGAGGTTTGAAGTGAATTCGCGTGAAGAGAACTTGAAAAGCGATAAATATGTGTGCCAAAAAGCACTCGGATCGTACTTCGTGCTCTTCCAACCCCTCCAGTGCACTGTTTTTAAGTCAAAGCTTCTTGAAATTATTTTACATTGTATTGATGAAATAGCTTAAAGACTTAATCTTTATATTCAAATATCTTGCTGGGACAGGACGATGTGGTCGTTATAATCAAGATGCTGTACTATTGGGTTGGGGAGAATGAGTCGGCGCCAAACTTTAAAGGGACTTTTTGCACACATAAAGCCTTCTTTAAACATACGTTTGGTTTCATCAAAATGATCCACTATTTCTCTACAAAATCACTTTTGAGAGATTCCACAAAGCTTTTCTTTCGTGGAGTTTATGAACTTCCAAACGCAGCTGGTTAAAATGGCAAAGAGTCCGACTCATCATTTGAACAGTTTCTTTCACATAAACCTTCTTTGGTGTTTATATAAAAAAGATAGAGCACATTCAATTACTTAAGTTGCCAAATTTGCAGGAAGATCCCACCAATGGTTTTTTCTAGATCACAGTTTGTAGTTTTTGTGAAAAAATGGCTTTTTCTTGAGCGGAGGCGCTGTTTGAATTTCCTTTTAAATGTCATTTTGTAGAGAATTAGTTAACCATTCTACTCATATCAAACGCATATTATTTGACGAAGTCGAATAGAAGTTTTAGACATTTTTTTCATTTTCGGCGCCGACTCATTCTCCCCAACCCAATAAATTGATTGTCTTCTCTGCAAAGTATCACTCAATTTCAAAATTTCTCTATTATAATCAGTGGAATTCACTTCCCAAAAACAATTCCAGTTTTGTTTGAGTTATCTATTCAGTCACAAGATGACTCGACTCGGAATTCGTCTCGCTTGCAAAAGAAATGTAAATAGTGAAAAGTTTTGACGTCATGAAAAGAACGCCGGTGATATCAACATTGAAAAAAGCTAGAACAAAACGGATTTAACTTTAAATGAACTATTTAAACCTTAGATAAGCTTTTTTTTTGAGCACATTTCGGCTTCTTGCATCAATTTTTTGAGCTTTATTTAGTCACAACTTTAACACACTTTGTTAAAAAAATTTTTCGGGCTTTTAACCGTAACTACAACTTTTTAAAGCACTCGAAAATATTTATTTCAAAACGAATTCAGCTGTATGAGGGTTTGCTTTTAAAGGAAAAGCACTCATCCTTCTAATAGACACGAAAAGCATGCATTTAAGCTTACTCCAAAAAAATTCTAAGCACCGAGATTCGGCAACCCACTCCGCGACCAAGGATACTATCAAAAATCCCCTAATTGCTCTCGATTTTGTAGCAAAAGTTTTTTTTTGGGGATTTGTTAGACACTGAAAACTCTGTCTACGTGGAATAATATTTTTCAAATGGGAAATCGGTTTTGTTCTAGCTTTTTGCTTCAATCTTGATATAAGCGGCCTTCTTTTCAATCTTGATATAGCCTTCTTGATATGAGCGGCCGTCAAAACTTTTCACGTGCCCTGTAAATATAGATGTTGACTCTTTGACGAAATTTTCCTTAGGCGATTGAAAAAAAAAAGTCAGTGTTTTGAATTGATATGAATGGGAATTCGATCCAAAATTCCGTACAGTCAAAAGCTTTTCTGTGCTTTTCATAAAGAAGTGAATTTATTGGGTTAGTGGAAAAGTCCTTTCGGATACGAAGAAACGAGAAAAATGAAGGAAAATCGCGAAAAGCGGCGGAAAGGCTATTGATCTGAAGGTCGCTGGTTCGACTTCCACCGGTGACAATATTTTTCAAAAATTTTTTGCTAAGATTCTGAAAATGCGTGTCTAGGCGTTATTTTTGACGCTGATCACGAAACACATGTTTTTAGCCTAGGTTTCTGCACGGAAAACTAACGAAACGTGAAAACAGCCATTTTTTGGCTCTCCCGCCCTTTACTAAAACAGTTGTAAAAACTTTTAGAAAAGAGATATCTCAAAACGGTTTTTACCAATCGATCCGTCTTGAATTCAGCTTTAGGATGAGCTATAAAACGTCAAAATTCGACAAATTTAAGGTACTCTCCCAAAAAATCCGAAAGGACTTTTCCATCAACCCAATACTTGGTAAACAGATTGACAAAAAAAAGAAAGCATGAGTTTTCGGATGTACTTGCTTTTTATTGCAAATCCATCACCCTTTTGAATATTCTAAAGTTAACCGTCAATTTCTCATTTTTCTGCCATAGCCTTTCCACTCATAGTTCGTCTTTAACTTTTTCAAATCTGAAATCGGTTTTGTTCTAGGAAACAAATAGGAATGAAATAGGAATGAAATAGGAACGAAATAACCTTTCTACTATAGTTCGTCTTCAACTTTTGAGTCCCTAGTTATTTTTGGGTTTTCCATGTAAATATTTCTTCATCCTCAGGTACAAATTTTGTTGAAATTTTCATAAAAGTTTTGCGGTAATTGGCCCCGACAAATTTGGGATCTTTTCACACATGAAGAGATTGGGAGAGATTTGGGAAAAAGTGAAAAAGAACAAGAGAAATTGGGATGTTCGTTTTTGAGCAAAGAAATGAAAAGAGAAGGGTGAGAGGTTTGAGGGGAAATGGAGAGGAGAACGGGCAGAGGATTGAAGGGTTGAAGGGTTGAAGGATGGAGAAGGGTTGAATGGAGTGGAGGAAGAGATGTCCAACAGATCAAAGAACTCCTTTCTTTCTCTTCAGGCTTTTTCTCCCTGGGACACGTCGACTTACCAGTTGCGTTTTTTGAAAAGAGCAACCGAAATCGAGAATTCGTACCAAACTTTAGCCTTGTGCAAAAATCGACACTTTCCAAAACGGGAAGAATGAAAAAGATCTTAATTTTCTAATGTTTTCAGATCTCTTTCTCTTCCTCTTTCCCTTTTGTAGAAGTTTTATTGATTAGAGAATTTATCCAGGAGATTTCTTGAAAAATCTCCTTGACAAATTTTCCATAGATGTGATTCATTTTAAGAAGGCAATTTCTAGAAAAAAAAATCAACTAGATGTGATTCATTAAGATCATCCTTTTTGTGCTATCTTCTCAACATTTTCTGCGAATGGCTTTCCCTCTTTTGTGAACGACCGCTTCTTTTGACATTATCCATATGCAGCTGTGAATGCCATAGGCCCTTTTTTTGTATATAAAAAGTCCACAATTTTTGTCCCTTTTTACGCTATCACTTGAGGGATCATTTGCGAAAAATACCAAAAATACCACCAGATTTTCTAATTCCCCCAAAAACTTGCTCGATGCCCGAATTCCAAGAGGACAACTCAATGGCTGAAGCCTATCACAATATGCACAACAGGAGAGTGCATCCAAGTGATGTGAGTAGTAAGAGTTGAAGTTTCTTGCAAATCTCTATTATTTTTGAAATAAAAATGCTCCACAGTGATGTGATTCTTTACTGATTTTGGCTTCTTTAAAAATCGTCTTTAAAAAATTTTCTTTAAAAAAAATGTCAGATAAAGCTGTGATTTCGAATAGACTCTTGTTCTAAAGAAGTTCTAAGGAAAGAAGTGTTTTTTTTTGCAGAAAGAGTTACCGTACACCCTTGCAAAAGAAATGTAAATATTAAACCCCGTTAATAAAGGCTTTTCGATGAAATTTGGCTTAGGCGATCAAAAATAGAAATCAGTTTTTGTTTTGTTTTCTTTTTCCGCACTCTGTTCACTGTGTGAATCATCGCTCTTTTGCGGCTTTTCAGATAATAAAAATGAACAGAAATCTATGCTAAATTTTTGGGTTTTTTGGGTAGTTGACTTCAGAACCGCAAAACAGTAATTTTTAAATTGATCTTCATTTTGTTTAAATTCAAAGTTCAGTCATTACTTTGAGTACTCTATTGGCTTGAGCTTTACGTGCTAAATGCTTTTAGATCTCTCACAAAATTCTTTGTATCACAAGCTTCTTTGTATCACAAACTTCTTCTTGTATCACTTTTTAATGATCAATCAAATCAGGAACTTTTTTTCAAGACTGCTCTTCGTCGATTCCTCCGCTTATCGCTTATCGCTTATCGATTCCCCAGCTCTATAAAAATTGATAAAATTCTCATTTCTTTAAGAAAATAGGTATATCTTTCTTTTGATTTACTTGCTGAGGCTACCCGATCAGTGTTTTTTGATAACGTTATCGTTAAAAACCTTTATATTCTTTATCTTTCAAGGTTATGTCTATGTGATAAATCGATCAAATTAGCGATTTTTCTTTTATTGCACAGATTTTTTAGAGAAAATAGCAAAGTTGATGGAAAACTGAAAATGAAACAACTAAAAATTCATATATATTTCAGTTTGATGATGGCAATTGTTGAGGGACGTCCGAACTGGGGCCGAGAATTTGAATTTTCCCCTCTCGAACCCGATCCACCGTCTTACGATGTGGGTTTTTGATGACTTAAAGCCAAATCTTTGATTTCATGCACCTAATTGCCATTATTTTAAACTTATGAATATTTTCGCTCTAATATTTCTCATTCCTTTTATAAGCGCTTTAATTGACAACAACCCTTTCACAATCCATACTTTAAATTCTAAAGTTTTGATGGAAAAAAAAATCGATTTGTCGCTTAATCTCTTCAAATTTTTTCAAATTTATTATTCCAATAACTTTTTGATCAAAGTTTTTGGATTTTTTTTTATTCTAGGCACTTTTCATGACGCAAGAAAACAGATTCTTTGCCTATTGCTTTTTTCTTTATGGCTGGGGATTGCGAAACGCGGGCCGATGCTAAAATCGATTTGAAAGCAGCTACTTGCAGTTTTTTTGTGGACATGTACAATGAATTTCCAAAACAATAGAAGAAAAAGATTAAAAGTAAACAATCGTCAAAAAAGACTCAATATATCTATATATCTGCTATGTGAACGATTTCAGAGCCAAACTGGGATGAATGGGATGGAGAACAGGGATCAGTCAGATCGATCCTCATCCATGCATAATGATGCCCCTACACTTTATCGTGAGGTAAATCAATGTAGCTTTGACGAATTTTTGGAGCTTTGGTTATTCCTAAAAGAAAAAATTAGTCAAATATCTATTTAACTTAAAGCTGGTCTGACCTTGTCCCAGGTTAGTCTTGACTTTTAACTTTTGGACCAGTCTTGAATTGGATAAAAATTTTGAGCATTCAAGAGCCAGAAGAGAATTTTAGGGACACTCGACACTGCGCGCTACTGGTCATCATGATAATGTCAGGTAAAAAGAGATCTCTGGGACTTGATAACTTGTAAAGCCGCCATTCGTAAGCAAAAGCCACCTTTTTAGGGTCAGCAATGGCCGGCATGAATCATGTATTTTCTCAAATTCTCTGAATTTGGATTTGGCAATTGACGTGATTCGGAAGCTTGAAGAAAAGGCCTTGATGCAGAAGAGCAGGGATCAAGGCCGAGACTCTCCAGGGCCTGCTGAGGACGTTCAAAAGATTGAAGATAAGCTTATACAAGAGACTGAAGAGTTATATCCTGTGCCATCAGAGGTAAAACTGATAGCTTGGTTTCTGAAAAGTTTATTTTAGTTGCCGAGGAATGTTTCTGGTGCTCGTTCTGCGAATGACTTTTTAGAGGTTTGCAAGAAATTATGATCGATATACATAAGAAAGTAATAGCGTCGTCGACATCTCGATTTTCAGATGTCTCCTGTTTCCGATGTCTCCGACTGCGGAGAAAATGTAGGCAGCCAAGTTGCTGGATCCCAGGTTCGGAGAAGGCAAATATTAGGTTGATGCATAAGAAAATGCTGCTAATAAAAAGCAAGTTCCAGCAACTGTACGTAGAGATGACCCGGGCTCATTAGTATTTTTAGACACCCCAATTTTATCTCCTCTTAAAAAAAATTGTACAAAGTTGCGTTTCGGATGAGCAATCGACGTCTCAAAATAGGTACCGAAAATAGCTCGTCGCCGGTGTAAACTCGTAATAAATAATTATTTTGATGAAACCTTTAGTTCAATTGCTAACAAATCAGAAGTCCAATTTTAATAAAAGCTATGAAAAAAAATTAAAACGAATTCGGTGGGCTGTTCTAATATAAAAATCCATTTGCAGAGTTGTGTCTCTCAAAAAGGATTCAAATTCAGTTTTCAAGCCTATTTTCGAAAACTATTTTAATATAGAATACTCAACGAACAAACTTATTCTGTATCTCATTTGTTTTAATCATTTAGCTTCTTTTATATTAACTTTAGTGATAAAACATTTATTGAAAAACCTGTGGAGAAATCTTGAGTTGCAATTGGCCTCGCCAGGTCATTTGTGGTACCTTTTTTGAGATGTCGATTGCTCATCCGAAATGCAACTTTGTAAAATTATTTCTATATCATTAAATATAAAATTAAAAGTAATGAGCCCGTGTCATCTCTACGTAGAGTTGCTGGAACTTGCTTTTCATTAGCACCAACCTAATATTTTATTGGGTTGGTGGAAAAGTCCTTTCCGATTTTTTGGGAGAGTTTTTTAAATTTGTCCAATTTTGACGTTTTATAGCTCATCCTAAAGCTCAACTCAAGACGGATCGATTGGTAAAAACCGTTTTGAGATATCTCTTTTCTAAAAGTTTTTACAGCTATTTTGGTTTCTGCACGGAAAACTAACGAAACGTGAAAACATTCATTTTTTGGCTCCGCCGCCCTTTACTAAAATCGCTGTAAAAACTTTTAGAAAAGAGATATCTCAAAACGGTTTTTCCAATCGATCCGTCTTGAATTCAGCTTTAGGATGAGCTATAAAACGTCAAAATTCGACAAATTTAAGGTATTCTCCCAAAAAATCGGAAAGGACTTTTCCACCAACCCAATAGATTCCGAGTAAATTTTTCCAACTAAAATTTCCCACTTGAACTTAAAATCATTGAATTTTATTTATGAATCCAAGTAAACTAACAGTTTTAAACCTTAAGTTTCAGCTGTTCATGTGTTCGAAACTGATGTCAAACGTTTTTTATTCCATTTCTTAAGGTCAATGAAGTACCACATGGGATCACTATGGGCGGGAGGGTGCAAGCTGGACAACAACAAAATAAAAGTAAGTGAAAGAAATAACTTCATGATTAGTTAACTAGTCAAAGAAAGTCTGCTATTTTACTATTACTTCGTAATTTGAACTCGCGTCAATGCGCACCTTTTGGCACACTAGCTATTTTCCATAAGTTCCTCTCGATGTCGAGAATAAAATAAGAGTCGATGCCGGAAAGCTTGCGTTTATGTGAGCACAAAGGGATATTTTTGACTTGTTGAACTCAAGACTTTATCACAAAAAGATTATTTTTGTAAGAACAAGCGTATTTGCAGAAAGAAACGCATCAACTTCGGAGAGCTCAGGAAGAGCTAAGTCAAAGAAGTCGCGGCTCTCCGTCTCATCGACGACCTCGAGTTCTTCTTCAATAACATCGCCGTCATTGCTTTCAAATGATGAGTCAAGTATTTCATGGGTAAAGCATAAATCGTTTTAAGTTTAAAACAAGAGTTTAGTCATATGATGGTTCATCGAGTGCACGTACATCAATCTCTTCGGAGATGCCTGGACCAGTGAAAGCTGAGAAGAAGAGTTGGTTAAAAGTTTTAAATTACGAAAATATGTTATTATTTTAAGATAGAAGATGTTTTTAAAATGCAATAACCTTTAGAACGAGGAAGACCAAGAAAATATGACTATAAGGTGGAGGAAGGTGAAGATGAAAACAAAATAATGAAGAAAGAAACACAAAGACGCTCTAGAGGGAAGAAAAAGGAGACGGCAAAAGAGCAAAGGTAAGCAAAATAAATTTAGAGTTCAAAATTAGAAGAAAAGAACGGGATTTGATTGGATAAGTGTACTCTAAAGCTGGAGTAGACTTTTGTAAAGCTTTGATTCTAGATAAGAAAAAAGTAAACAAGATTAAAATATACCCTAGAAAGGAAAAACTTTGAAAAATCCTATAAGTTTAGAAGCATTGTGCATAAACTGTATGCTTCGCTCAGTGTCATTTCCCTTGACCAATCTTCGAATCTTCACGATCTTCTTTCGCGACTTCTCGATTCTCTCAAGCGCCTCATTCTACTTCACCCAAAGTGTCCGATGGCCAAGAAAATGCAAGAAGGTTTTTCTATTCGAAGCTTACGATATTAAAACTCTATTTAGCCAAGCCACCTCGACAAAATCAAAACCTCAAGGTTCTGCCAAAGGAAGAGCAAGAAGAAATTCGAAAATGTCAATTGCAAGAACATCAAACGACGGACAGGAAAAAGAAAAAGAGAGAAGGAGAAATGTTTTTGTAAGTATAAATCCTGGGGAAAGGGGTTTAACTTTAGGTTTTAAATGGTGATTAATAATGAATAATTTTTAATACTTCAATTTTTCGATACACTGCCAGAAACCCAACGCCAAACGAACCAGAGCTGAGTTTAGCCTGCAGTTTTTGGCTTTTTAGAATAACTGGATATAGAAGAATGCTTGAAGATTTTAAAAGTGAACATTTCAGCGACGAGATTTTGCCATTGGTTGACGAATTGCGTCTGCTGTTGAATGCAGGAAATCTATCCGCGGAGGACAGTGATGTTGCTAAGATTGTGCAAGAAATTTGTGCTGATAAACCTGCAAATGAAGATCCTCAAAATGATGAGGCATCCTGTTCAAAATGGAAGGACGATAATTTGTAATTACAAATCAAAGGTATGGCCTCCAAATAGCAATCAGGAGGAAGTATTTGACTCAATTAGTATGCTAGAAATGAAGCGTTTGTTAGAGCGCAAAATACCGACTGGATTTTGTTTTTATTAATGCATGTAAAGCCTGGATCCTTAAAGGGGGTATTAATCGCGGCCCGGTGACGATAAAAATTTTTTTACGGCAACCACCTCTTTTTTATTTTAATATCGCTGATTTTATTATAAAAAGAATAAAAATCACCCGGCTAGAGTGATTTGATGGGTTTACAAATTTTTGGAGACACTGCAAGGTTTGGAGAAAAACAAGATCGTCACTCATCAGACACCTCAGCTAAAAGACACCTATTTGAGAAAACTAAAACCACAAGCGACCACAAATGGAAAAAAGATCTAATTGTGTCAATCAAAGCGCTGAAGACGTCCTATGGTGGAGGAGATCCAGTCACTTCTGGTGAAGATGCGCTGGAAATTGATAAGATAGGAAGCCGATTTGAGGAACTGCTGTACTTGAGCGAAGATGAAAGTGAGCAAGAGGAAGAATTATAGATTAACAATTTATTTTTATTGTTTTTTGTGCTTTTTATTTTGTTTTTAAATTTATCTGCAATTAAAACTCAATCGATCTAGACTGTGCTGAGGTGTCTGATGAGTGACGATCTTGTTTTTCTCCAAGCCTTGCAGTGTCTCCAAAAATTTGTAAACCCATCAAATCACTCTAGCCGGGTGATTTTTATTCTTTTTATAATAAAATCAGCGATATTAAAATAAAAAAAGAGGTGGTTGCCGTAAAAAAATTTTTATCGTCACCCGGCCGCGATTAATACCCCCCCTTTAAGTATATTGAAAAGAATTATAGATTAACAAAAACAAAAGGTATAATTTCAGTTGAAGCCAAAATGGCCTTGTCGAAATGCCCTGCTGTTTGTGCTGTTTGTGCTGTTTTCTAAATGGAAACTGTCACGCTTTTTTATACATTGTTTTGTTGCTTTATATATTGTTTTGTTGCAAGCAGCTGTGTGCAAGAAATTGCTTGTTGTTTAAATGTTTGTTGCTAAAGATTGAATCTATCAGCTTGTCATATCTTATTACTTATGAATTTTGATGTTTTAAGTCAGTTTTGTGATTTTGATATGTGGATTCTGAGACATTTACTAGCAGGGTGTTATTAGGTTGTCCGGGATGAAAATACCCCTTTTAGTGAAAAACAAATTTATCTCCACAAAAAGAAAACAATGCGCTTTAAAAAAGATATTCTCCGTTGTTGGCAATGGTCTTTCTCCATTTTTCTTTCAAATCTTGGCTCCCTTTGCTGAAGTAATCCTGAGGCTGCGAGTCGAAGTATTGGCCTACCCAAATTCGGACTTCGTCTTTGATCTTGATCCTTGAAGTGTTTATCGCGCAGGAAGTGCTGCATAGATCGAAATAAGTGGTAGTCTAAGGGTGCCAGATGTTGACTATACGGCGGATGCGGGAGACATTCCCAACCCAATATCCTCGAGTTTTTCCTGCGTCTTCTTTGCTGTGTGTGAGCGCGCGTAATCTTGCAGATATCTCACAGTCGATGTGTTTACGCTTTGATTCTTGATAGCCTGGTCTACTCGTTCCAGCTGTTGCGCATATAGATCTGAGGTGACTGTTGGAAGAGAAGGTAGAACCTCAAAGCGTATAAGACCACGGGAATTCCATCAAGCAGATAACATAGCCTTTCTTCCATCTGGATCACGTTGTGGCGTCGTTTTTGGCTGTTCTTCTGGACTTAACCACTGCTGTTTTTGCGATGGGTTATCGTAGTAAATCCATTTTTCATCGGCCAGTAGTCACAATAGTGTCCCAAAAACCTCGAGTTTTTTATTTACGAAGAAGAATACCGGCCATAGCTTTATTAGCGTCACCAAGTTGATGGGGTACCCATTTTCCGACGAGATTCGCTTTACCCAAAGGATGTAAATGGTCCGCAATTGTTGTGTGACCTACAGCAAACATTTTTGCAAGTTCCCGAGTCGACAAGGTTAGGTCATCTTCTATGGCTTCTCGAAGATCGTCATCGTTAAGCGCTGGAGGGGGGTGAACACGTCCTCGATCCTGTAGAGTTTCGTCTCCCTCTCTAAATCGTTGAAACCATTTTTTACAAGCTTCCCCTAAATAAGCAGCTTCTTCAAAAAGTTTCAAGATTGAACTATGGCTTTCCCGGACACTTTTTCCTTGTTTAAAGTCGTAGAGCAAACAAACCCGCATTCGGTACTTCTGATCTTCCATTCGAAAAAGTCAAAATTGTAAGGCAGTAAATTTTTATCAAAACATAGAATTAGAAAAGATATATAACTTTAAAACAAAAGAAAAATCAGACGCGAAGCTGTTCGCTACACCGAAAAAATTGCAATCGAAGTTGAGGGTATTTTCATTCCGGACACCTTAATATAAAGGCAATTTTTCCGGGTCAAGTCAGAAGCCTTTCTAAGCACAGCTTGGCTTGGTCTGGTTGCTGATCGAACTCTTTGTCTTACCTGGTCTAGCTTCTGATCTTGTCTGGCTTCGAGGCTCTAGAGCCCGATTGAAACAACCCTATTCACAAGCCACGAATCGGTAATCGCCTTCATGTTTTACATTTTACATTCTCTGTCTTTTCTTTTGTTTTTATTCTATTTTTATCCTTTTCTTATTCTATTACTTAAAATTATTCTTTGAATTATAAATAAATTTTTTTTTGATTTTAAAAGAGAAACAAAAGAAAATGAAAATTTTGAAAGTAAAACAAAAGATTACTTATATCAAAAGCTATTATAACAAAAATTATGGGAGTGGGACAAATGCGACCTTTTTTTTGCGCACCCGGACATTTGCGCACCTTTTTTCCGCACCTTGCCCATTAGCTAATACCCCTGCTAATAGCTAATAGCTAATGCTACTAAAAAGCTAATATTAACCAATTTCTATTCCAAAAGTTGTTTTTCTAGGTAATTTTAGGGCGTAGAATCGAAATTTTGGCATATCAGAGCTTGTGGAAGCGAACGGACGGAGTTATACAAAGAGAAAAATCGACAATTTTCTGTAATTTGACCTAGCCGTTTTGTCTTTCAAATCGGTTCCACAAGCTCTGTTATATCAAAATTTGAATTCGACACCCTCAAATTACCTAGAAAAACAACTTTTGGAATAGAAATTGGTTAATATTAGCTTTTAGAGCTTTTTTAAAACACGAAAAAAGGTGCGCTAATGGGCTAAGTGCGGAAAAAAAGGTCGCATTTGTCCCACTCCCAAAATTATAACGCAATAAAAGCTATTATATGATTTGATTTTGTTTGTGCTTTTGAAAAATAATACTTTAAAAATAAATATTTATTAAATCAATATTTCTTTTCTGCTGAATTTTTTTTCTGCAAAAGAAGGTCTGACCGCGTAATTTATATCGAGAAAAAAAAACTAGGGATTTGACAAAAAAAAAGATCAATAAAGGCACTTTTTGAATAGGAAAAGAGATCAATTTTGGGGGGAAAATGCAAATGAAATAAATATTTGGCATAAAATTTGACAAAATTACAAATAGATTTCGAGAAATTCGAGAAAAAATTTTGTATCATTCGACGCCTTTTTGGATTCGATGCCACATACAAACGGGTAAACTGTTCTTGCGAATCATCTAGAAAATTGCGAGAGTTGAAGTTGGAAGACTTATTGGGAAAGTTGAAGGTGAAATTTTAGAGTTGAAATTCACTTGAATTTGTTCGGGCTTGTCTTTTTTTTCCCTTTTTCTCACCTGTAACCAATGTGATTGTCCTGTTCCTCCACCCAATCGACCAATCACACAATGACCAACAGAAAGGGCACCGCTTGATGACGAATGATCGAAAACCTAGAGAAAGTTTTTAAGAACTAAAAGAAACCTAGGTTTTACCTCAATAACAACGTGTGCTCGATCAAGTTTATGTGGTGGAACGTGGAAAAGAAAAGATTCGGAGAATGAGGCATCACCGCCTGATGTTGAAGAAAGTGATGATGAGACAGACGATGAGGAAGGACGGGCAGAACTGAAAATCGAGGAAATACAAAGATATAGATATTTCCGAGAAAATGCTCAATAGATATTTGTTTTCATATGTCACATTTTCAACTCACTCAACAGACGAATTCACTCCAACCGATGGATCGACTGTTGTCTGTTTTTGTTCGATCAATCTCCTCCCATCAAATAACATGATCCTCGCGAATGGGGCTAAAATTTGCATTTACATATTAACGCAAAACATACATTTAGATAAACTCAAAATTTGATAATTTCCCTTACAATTATTATATGGTAATGTTTTCGCCTTTTTCACCGTCACCGTCACAAATTGCACAAGTGGAGCATAAGTGAGAATGATCAACAATTCACGGACTTGATTCGAACTCTAAATTGAATTAAAATTGATAACTAACATTCAATTAAGACAATAATTCTGAAATGTACTATAACTTTGGCTCAATTTCTACCTTATTTGCATTATATGCCATCTGAAATTCGAGATCATCTTGCTCGTTCGATGTCCGAGCGAGTCGATCGGGAAGCGCTTCTTCTTCAACCTACAAAAAAAAGTCATTTTCATTAAAGAATAATACAATTCTTCAAAATCAAGAATACAAAATGATTTCCCTAATCTGAAAGCCCACTTGCAGGACGGTATCCTCGAAATCGCACTCGAAAACGGTTCTCCCAGCCGGATCCTCATTTGCCAAGAATTTCGTCCACGCGTCTTTGTGCGGTGCCACTTTTTCCTCTTTCAATTCTGAAATTTATTTTTTTAAAACTGATTCTATAATAATAATAATGATTCTAAAAGGAAATATAAACTTGAAAATAACTTGAAAATTGTTTTGCCGATTTATTTGCTCACCTCCATGCCGATCTCCCCATTCTCGGTGTTCATGTTTAGCGGCTCGGCCGTGTTTTGTTCCATTTGGACGGGGATCTCTGAGAATTTTATATCTATTATCTTATATTTATATCTTATATCATATATTATATATTATATTATCTACTATCTTATAAGAAAATTAGTCGGATTGATTCTCAAACTGTCTTTTTGCGTTACTCTCTATGCAAATTTTCTGAAAATGAATGAAACGACCGACCAAATCTTGGCAAGAATGAGGGAAAGGAAAGTTTTCGTATAGAAATTTTAAAATATCTATGTAAATATTTTCTTTTTCTATTTACCTATGTGTTCTCGAGGCTCTCGATGCGGGTGCGGGCTGATTTTTGCCGGCTTTATTCATATTTTTCGGTGCCCATCCCACTGATGGATCGGTGCCCGCTTGAGAGGCTTGCTAAAGTTGAAATTTGAAAATTATACAGGGTGCGTCATAATTATTGCAACAAGAGTTCAAAGACCGTTTTCCAAACAGCTTTCTTATTTTTTTTGCCCCCTTTTTTGTTATGTTGCGTTCATCTTCTTTATTCTTGCCTAATTGCCTCCCGCTCACACGAAGAAGACGGTTCAGGACTGGTGTGTGGCCAACTTTCCCTCAGTGATCACCAAGGATGAATGGCCTCCAAACTCACCGGATCTCAATGTGATGGACTTTTTCATTTGGGCAATCTTAGAGGCTAATATCTGCTCTTTGACCAAAAGATGGAAGGCGACTCCTCAAGATGACATTCGGGCCGCAGTGGAGGCATATCCGAACCGATTAAGGGCTGCTATCAAGGCAAAAGGCGGTCATATCGAATGATCTCTTGTTTCCTTATTTGTTACTGTTAAATAAAGCTATTTCTGTTTAAAAATCTTCCAGTGAAACTTCTTGGTGTGCAATGCCTTGAGTATCTTGTTGCAATAATTATGACGCACCCTGTAGATTTCTTTTGATATTCTTCTTAATGGAAATGAATGAACCGTTCGAAATTTTGCCACTTACCGGCTTATGCAATTGAACGGCTTTGTGTGGGAGATTGATGAAAGATTGATACTCAAAGAAGTGTTTCGCGATGAAATTCATTCCCTAAAATATAGAAATTAACTCTTGACAACGTTCTAGAGTTCTACTTTAAATCTGTAATCTGTGGATGAATTTTGTGGCCAAAATTTGGAAACACCCTTTCTGGCAAGGATTTGAGTACACCAGAAAGAGTTCGTTTGCAGCATTGAGAGCAAAAAATGCTAAGCTGTTTGTTTATTCATTTTTTTTACTCATTGATTACTCGATGATCACTCGTATCTTCGTCATAAGAATTTGATCGATGAACGAATCCATTCCTCGTTGTATTTCTTGATTCTCTCGGATTTTTCTTTGCTCTCCACCAAAATGGTGACTCTCCAACAACAATTGCCGATTTCGTCTCATCCATTTCTATTTCAAGAAATTTCAAGTTTCAATTTCAACTTAATATAGGTGATAAAGGTGATAAAGGAATATGGTGATAAAGATGGTGATAAAGATGGTGATAAAGATGGTGATAAAGATGGTGATAAAGATGGTGATAAAGATGGTGATAAAGATGGTGATAAAGATGGTGATAAAGATGGTGATAAAGATGGTGATAAAGATGGTGATAAAGGAAGAAAATGAGCTAAAAGCTGATACAATATAAAAATATCGAAAAAGATCTTTCTTTAAGGATTTAAAAAAATCTTTGCAACAATCCTTGCAAAAATCGTTGCTATGCATTGGAATGCATTGTAAAAAGGCAAGAAGACAAAAGGAAAAAAACCGAAAAATGTCCAAAACTATCCATTATTCCTCGGGACACAATTGGTTCCGAGGAAAATCGGCAAAAAAAAGATGGTGACAAAGATTTAAAAGCAAAGAAATTGTTTATGTAAACTAAAGAATGGAATGGGGTAAGGAAATCTTATTGCAAAAGGCTTTGATTCTACAAATTTTCATGTGTCAAAAAGTGTTTGGTTATTTTTTTTTTGAACATCATCTCTAGGTGACTTTGTTTAGGTGGAAATTTGTTTCTAGATGACCAAATCCAAAAGAAGACCAGATTACAAATAACAAAGAGTGCATTGGGTGTCTTTTTCTATGTTAGATGTGCATGAAACCGTAACCCCACACCATTAAAGGCTCAATTTTTGTACATACCGTAAATACTGTAATAGTACCCCCACCCCCATAATGACGGTGCGGGGTGTTGCGTAGTCTAGCTTTGAACGAGTTTTTCTCGACACTAGTTTATGCTACAATGCGCGCTTAGGTATCAAAAAATAGCCCTGAAATTCAGAGCTATTTTTTGATAACAAAGACACATTTTTGAAAGTACGGGCGCTTTGCAAAAAAATGAAATACTAAAAAACTTTTGCGACTACGCGACTGTACGAGGGGGATGGGATACTACTACTGTATTTACGGTAGGTTTAATAAGGATTCTAATAGTAAGAAGCAAGTAAATCGGTTTTGAATTATAGATAATTTAAAACTCAAAATTGTTGTTTTGATTGAAATCTAATGTGCAATAGTGGAAATGCGCTCTAAAGTCGAGGAAAAGAATGTGCAAAAGAAAGGGGGGACGATAAATATTTTAGGTGGTCTATGAGAGGGTTTCTATATAAAAAGAAAAAAGGGGTCCTTGGGGACAAAATAAGAAAGGAAAGGGAAAAGAAAAGAGAGGAAAGGCAGATAGCTTGAGTCTTTCCTCCTCAGTATCCTTGCTTGCCCCAGCCTTGCCCTCGCCATCCCTTTCTTTCCACCAATCGACCTCCTCATAATGCCTCTTCATCTTTCACTCCATGGAGAAGGGCACACTCCACCAAAAAGTGCTCCCAATAAAGACACCAAGCAGGCATAAGCTGATTACTGAGTGCAAGAAATCAAAATACAAGAGGAATGCAGTATCGAGAAAGGAATGCATTCGTTTATCGATCAAATTCATATGATAAAAGTTATTCTCGATGGACATGGCATTGGAAGAAAGTGAAGTGACGATTGCAAGAGTCATCGAGAGAATCTTAAAGAGACAAAAGACTTCAGTTCTTCCAAATTGAGCATTCTTTGATAAATTGTGTGAAAATCGAAAAAAACATGGGATCATGTTCAAAAAATGAACCCAACAGGGAAAGTTTTTGGGGGATCGCGAGTGGCGGGGGACAACTTCGTTACGTCCATTTCTGTGCCGTCTCCAACACAGAAAAGCTAGGCAATTTTGTGTATTCGGAAAGGAAAAGAAACTCCCCAAATTTGGAAGAAAAAAACGGGAAAACTAGACGGAAACGGAACTGAAGACTGACAAGGAAAGAAACGAAAACAAATCAGCAGTTATTGGAGACCAATTTCGAGGGCTTTGTTCAATCAAAGGGACCAAGTTGACAGCAAAGAAGTTTGAGCTTTTCAAATAGATCTTGGTGATATGAAAAAGTTGGCTCTCAGGGGAAAACCCTCGTGGATAACTGGATACCATAGTTCGATGATATTAATGAAAGATATTCGCATATTCAAACCAACAAAATGGTCCAGAAAGCTGTGTTTATCTTATAATAACGCTAAATTTGAAAGGATTTTCAGAAGAGATCACAATTGTTGGATTTCTGTCCTTTTCCAGCATCACAAAGTCCCAATCTCATTTAAAATGTATTTACGTGTGCGTGCTTTTGATGTGTGCTTCTGAAAAGAAACAAAAACAGACTTCAGGACTTGGTGGCTCATCAGAATTGAGACGATTCAAATAGGCGCCAAGTTGATCGGATATATTGATGAGTGAGAGATCGGTTTGAGCCGGACAAGAGACACTCGAGGAACCGTCTTCACGAGAATCGGGGCTGATTGAAGATCTGCGAAATATTGATTCGTTTTTGATTGTTTAACTTGAGTTTACCTCAAGCTTTTCTCCGATTTGTCCCTTTGAAGATCTTTGGGTAGAAGTGAGAGGTTCGAGAGAGAATTCGATAACGAGTCTCCACAGTTGTGATCGAGTTCTGAAATCTTATCAATACATAAGTTCATTATTGTTTCTAATTTTTTTGGTTTTTTTCTCAAATTCAACCAGTCTGGAGCGCAAAAAAAAGGAAAAAAAAGGAAAAAATTGAAATGGAATCGGAATAAATCAAATTAGAGAACAAATGGGGGAAAGAGTGACAAAAAAAATGGATCGAATGGATAGATAGGAATGGAAAAGAGGAGATCTAATGGGGAAGGGAGGAGGAAACAGGTAAAGGAGACCCGATCGCGGTGCCCCCGCTTAATCGAATCGCTCTTTTCTCTAGATGCAAAAAGAGATGAGAATAGAGGAACTTAGCTTTTATGTAGTTTTCAATCAAAGCAGAAGTATCATAATAACAAATATTGAAGCGCAACGAAGTCAACATTTAAAACCTTAACAAATGAGGGTCTAGGTGAATGGGATTACTTTAAGTCTCCATTCTCAATCCTTGATGATTGACAAAGTTTCGTCTTTCTGAACTGACTAAATAAACCCTCTTGATAGATCGTTTTGAAGTCTTAGGGAACCAAAAAAAATGGAAATTTCAAAGCCAAATTTGGAATTTAAGGGTAAAGGCAATTTCCTGTGGTGGGAATCGGATGAGGGTAAGGAAAAAGAGAAAGAAAAGGGGCAAGAAAAGAAGGGGGTTTTGATGGGAAAACTTGGATGATGATTAGGATGAAAAATGGGGGAATCGGCTAGGGAAATCAACGGGAAATTAAACTTTTCGTAAAGTCAAAGAAAAGTCGGTCTAGTTTTTTTTTGAGCTAAAGTTGTATCACAAAGTACTTTTTGCTATATAACAAAAAAAAGTTAAAGCCGTTTTAGCGGTTGTTTGAATGGGAAAGAAATGGGGCCTTATCCTACGGCAAAAAAAAAGTGTGTCAAAACTGATTCAGTGTGGGGGAGAGCGGAAGTTTTGTGTTTCTTGATGCGAACTTTTTCCTGATATAGAGAAGGAAGGTCTCATATTCAAAAAAAAGAGAAGAAAAAGAATTAAGTGGTGTGAAAAAAAGAGAAGCTAGACGAGAATTCATCCAATTAGCCGACAAGCCGATTCTCAACATATGGGACCTCTTTAAGAGAAGGGAGAATGGAGAGTGGAAAGAGATAGAGGTCTTTCTATCCATAGGAGAGATCGGATGAAGGAAGGGGGAGTTCTTCTGTGAATCTCGATGAGATTCTTGGTCTCTCTCTTCATTCGATCTCACATTTCATTCCTCAAATCCACCTCAAATCATCCACTCATCCTAGGTCCAATCAACCCACTATTAGCTGTCTGACTTGAAAGAGTGCGCTTTCTAAAACCTGTCATCTTTGTCACCTTAATCTTGCCTCTAGCTTTTCAAGACTTTTAAGTGAAGAATAGTAATCCAGACCCACAGGATTTGTTGAAATTGATTTTAAGTGTCAGAGATGAAATTCTTGACCTAGAATTTGAGCTGTCTATAGAAAATCAACAGTAATAAGAGAAAATCCATAGAATGTCCATAGAAAATCAACAATGAGCCTAGAACGGACTATTGGGACTATCCTTAAGCTTCTAAAATCTCAAATTGCTATTTAGATTAGATACCATCACATACCATTAAACAGATTTTGATTAGACAAATAAAACGAGGGACAAGCTTACGGTAGTTTCAAAAAAGTGACGTTTTTTAAAGAGATGTCGCTACGATATCTTCTAATCTTACTAATGAGTAAACTTATAATAAAGAAAACTTGCAGAGCTATATAACAAAAAAAAGTTAAAGCCGTTTTAGCGGTTGTTTGAATGGGAAAGAAATGGGGTCTTATCCCACGGCAATCGAGGTGAGATCTCATGTTTCATCATTTTTTCTCCCTTTTCCCCGCGCCAATCTATTTCGAGTGTTTAGAATATTCTCACGCTTTAAACAATCCAAATCATAGGAGATAAATTTAAAGTTTTTCAATTTACAAGCCAGAAAACTCACCACTTCTCGAAAGGGGTAAATAGTGATCAAGAAGAAGAGTTGAAGAATCATCATAATCACACAAATCTTCGGTGACAGCCATTGACGTTACGGAGAGGATATCTGAAAAAAGATAAGAAAGATAAAGAATTCTTTGATTTGTAAGTTAACAAATAATAACAAACAATTATTTTAAAAGCTAGAAATTACAAACCTTCCATTTGAGGACAATGAAGATCGACGGTGACACCGAAAGGATGAGATGAACCATTACTTGAAGAGCTGAAGAGTTTCGCATTTTTGTTAAATGATAAAGCCGAACCAACCGTGTATAATGTTTCTTTTCTGTACAATCAGAGTGATGAGCTGAATCGGTGGGTGATGAGAGCGATTGATGACGATTTAGATGAAGAGAACGAGGCGGAGATTCGCATAACGATTCCGAACAAGATTCGGGACTGAAATTACAAAGAAATCATATATTCTGGACATAGATGTTGAAGTGTTTCTTTTGAATACGATGCTGTGACACTAAGAATTGGAAGACTGTTGGAGTTACGGTACTATTTGCATAGTAGATTATGCAAAAATGAGTCTGAGTCAATTATATCCACGGGCATAACAGCATAGTATCTTTATTTTAACTTGTGTGATTAGTAGGTGACGGCTTGTTAAGTCAATTTTTGCTGTTTAGCTTTACAAAAGCTATTAATTTTATCAGCAGACAAGATTTCTAAAGGTAAAAATGATATCAAGTTTCTTTCTGATCACTTTTTATCAACGTTTCTTTAAAATACAGTGAAAAGTGTTTTAAAAGGAATGTGAAAAGAAAGAAAATATGTGAAAAGTGTTTGAAAAGGGATGTAAAAAGAAAAAAAAAGTGCTATTGTTTGTTAGTTTGTCAAAAATAACCCCTCAACAATTTGTTAGCTAGTTTCTAAAAGAAAAATTTCTTAAATTTAACATATTTTATTTTCAACTTAATCCATTAATGTTCAATTTTTACTTACCGTAAATACTGTAATAGTACCCCACCCCCCTCGTACAGTCGGGTAGTCGCAAAAGTTTTTTAGTATTTCATTTTTTTTCAAAGCGCCCGTACTTTCAAAAAATGCGTCTTTGGTATCAAAAAATAGCTGAAATTCAGGGGAATTTTTTGATACCTAAGCGCGCATTTTAGCATAAACCAGTGTCGAGAAAAACTCGTTCAAAGCTAGACTACGCAACACTCCGCACCGTCATTATCGGGGTGGGGTACTATTACAGTATTTACGGTATCTAAATCAAAAAAAGCTCTTAACTAGTGATCAAAAGCGATCAAAAGATCACTAGTTTAGTTAGTTTTTTCTGTATAAAATGTATCAAGATTATATTGATTCTATTTTTTTACCGTAATTTACAAAAAAAAGCTTTACTTTACTGATGTGATAGTAAAAATTATGATAGTTACACATTCGCAGTCTTTTTAATTACCTTTAAAGTCTTTAAAGAGCTCTTATAATATCCATCTTTTATTATGCTTATAGTATAATAAAAGAGTATAATAAAAGTATAATAAAAGTACTTATAGTATAATAAAAGAGTCTAGTTTAGTCTTTAAAGTGTTCTTATAAAATCCACCTTTTATTATACTTAGAGTTTATCGAAATTTTTCCCATGTGCTGAATAAAATTAAGAAAAAGCCGGACGGAGTACGAGAAAAAAAAAATTTGGTGCAATAGAAAGAGCCTCACGATTTCATGCAATCATTTCTTTTTACTATTTGCATCAAATTGTTCAATATTCTATGTACTATTCTAGATATTTGAAATATTTATTAAACTAGATTATAAATATTTATTTAATTTACAATCTAAAGCACGTAACCCTCAAGAAATCAAAGTTTCCATAACATGCTTTTCTTTTTGAAAAATTTTACCCTTTCCTCCTTTTTTTTTTCTTTTCTTTTCTTCAAATTGATCTCTGCTTTCGTGGATTTGACGATTTATTTTTATATTTATTGGTTGAAAAAATAAAACCAAGCTTACATTTAATTGCTTTTTTTTTTCGCGTTTCATCTCAATTTTCTCAAACAAACTGCAAAGCCAAATGAAAACAGCACAAGAAAAATTAAACGATCCCACACATTTACGGGAAATTTCTTTTTGTATCTCTGTAAGAGCATTATTATCTGTTTCTTTTGTCTTCAAACTATTGAAACTAACAAAGTGACAAGGACAGATATCTGTAGTCGAAGACTTTGGAAATCCTTGATTAAATTAAATCAAGATTTAATTAAATCAAGAGATTTAATCAAGAATCTTACAAAAGTCAAATCGAGTGTCGGGACAGGGAAAGGGGAAACGAATGAACGGTGATTACAAGAAAAGAGTGATTACATGGCTATAGTGGCCCTCGGTCGATGGGATTGATTGTGATGAGAAGTGGATGAATGAGAAAGAGAAACCGACTCGAGCAGACGACGACGCTCCACTTCGACCGCACGACGCATCAAACGACGCTCGAGGAGACAATCGGCTGCTGGAAAAGCTGCTTTCTTCACTGACAATTTAAAAGTCAATCTAGGGTCATAGATTAATATCTTTTTTAAAAGCTTCACTTGTACTTCTTACTCTAATCTGCACTTGTGGACTTTTCTGAAAGCTGACTCGAATAACCGGTGTGATGGTAGGCAAGGCACGCCTTAGAACTAGACATCGGCCCTACAAACTACAAGGTCAGACTACAAACCATTGTAGAAACCCGTAGAATCGTTATTTTTAAAAACTTTTTCTACCAAAAAAAACGAGCCAACTTTAGGCTTTCGAATGACACCAAAATCAAGCCAAATAACGTTCTCTGCACTGAGATATAGCGCTTCCTCAGGTTTATAGTTTCGCCCCGTAAGACGAGACTACAAATTGCTGTAAATGACTTGTTCTCTGAGTACAAATAGTGGATTTTCTTGATTTTAGTGTCATTCGAAAGCCTAAAGTTGGCTCGTTTTTTTTGGTAAAATTTTTTTTTTAAAACATTTATTCTACGCAATTCTACAAGAGCTTGTAGGGTCCATGTCTAGTTAAAACGAATACCCAAGTTAGTGAAAAAACGTTTCTGATAGAATTATTGCCTTTCTGATACAATTATTGTCTTAACCAGCGCAAAAAGCTCACTAAAGTTCGCGTTTTTTTTTGACTGGGGAGCTCCACCTTTTTGCCAATGGCTGCGCACAGACGGACGGACAGACGTCTCTTCTGCTTTATATATATATATATAGTAGACTATTGATTTTACTATATTTTTTTTAGATTGCAGCTTACACATCTTTAGCGGTTTATTCAAACTTTTCACACTTCTTCGATCCTTTATGCTTATCAAAAACTAGATACAAAAACTGTCTAATATTTCTTTTTTTCTTTTATTTCTAATATTTCTTTTCTCCTCACCCGAAACGGGGCTCGAATTCCTGAGCATTCTCTCCGGAAATATCTCCTCATCATCTCCAATTCCATCCACATCTCCATCCGAATCTTCTCCATTTTTGTGCGGCAAATCGCAAAGACCGGGAAGACAAGGACAAGATGCTGAAAAGAAATAAATGATAAAAATTTGTGAAATTTGCAAATCCTAAACAACCAATTCTTATAACGGCTATTTTATTAACTATTTTAATTTGAAGTCTTCCAATTACAATTAGCTTAGTTACGATTAGCTTAGTTACAATCAGCTTAGCTACAATCAGCCTCCCAAGATCTCTTTACAATCTTTGCCACTTTAATTTTCTTTCACATTTTGATGCCTCAATCTTTTGGTCAGAACACATCCAATTAGCCTCAGAAAAACTTGATCTCAAAAAAAATAATTGGAAAATCGAGTGCAGATAGCTTATTATTTTTCACCTTTCCCTCCCCTTCCCCCCTCCCGATCGAGTTTCTTTCGATCAAATGGGGAAAAGTGAATATGTTTTGGAAAATATTAGAGTAAAGATTGAAAAGCAAAAATAAAAAGTAAATAAAAAAGAAGAAAAAAAACGCACATGTTCTCAACCGAAGGACTTTTTTCCTTTCATGACTTTGCCGTCTTTGTGCATCGATTTCATTTGTCGCGAAAGGGTTTCTCTCTTCCAAATGACCCTGAAATTAATTAAAATTAAAAACTATATAAAATTAGATTATTTTTTACATTGTATACTTTATTTTGGCAAAGATTTTGTGAATTATAATTATTGAGTTATTGAATATTGTTTCCCATTTCCTCACCTGACTTCCCCGTCCGCTGTCATTGGTTGTTGATGGGGATTTACGAGAACGACCTGCGAATATTATTGAGAAATTATTGGAAAGAGAAATAATCTAGTTAATGTAAAGATATAAAATATATTAGGTGTTCGGAGAAAAAAAGAGTAATTGGCTTATTGATTTCAGTATGTATTGTATGATTAAGTATCACTGTGCATTTCTCTATGATTTCTTTCACTTTATCGTTTGAATAAAGTATTATTATTATTATTATTAAGCGCTCACCATTTCCATCTTCAATACCGATCGCCTGTGCGTTCTGTCGTTTATCCTTTTTGCCAAAGATTCTAAAAAAAATTTTCGTTTTTAGATAAAGTTTATCTAACTATAAATAATATTAAAGTAAAAATTGAATTTATTTTTTAAAAATTTACTTTGCTTTCAATGAGGCAAGAGCTTTTTTCGATGGAGATTGTGGAGGTGAGGTTTTAGCCGGTGGAGAACAAGTGTCTGAAATGAGTGAAAGTATTCAGAATCATCTGCAATACTGTATCAATATAATTCCTCATCAATTCATCATCAAAATCAAGTACTTCTAATCTTTTACTTATGACTTATCCCTATCAATTCTCAATATCCTCAATATTCTCAATATTCTCAATCTCCTCAATATTCTCAATATTCTCAATCTCCTCAATATTCTCAATCTCCTCAATATTCTCAATATTCTCAATCTCCTCAATATTCTCAATCTCCTCAATCTCCTCAATATTCTCAATCTCCTCAATATCCTCAATCTCCTCACCTCTATTCGTGCTCTCACTTTCCGTTCTCTGTCTATTCACATCAAATCCCGAGTCATTCAGTTGACGATTTTGTTGGCTGAATATTCTTTTTTAAAAAAAGCAAATTAGCCAAATTATCTACCGTAGTGTTTGCAAAAGAGACATTCTTCGTCTTCTTGGCGGTCCATAGAATGAATTGAGATACGATGATGAACCGGGGATCTCATCAGCCACATCAACTAAAACACAAAGGATAAACCCCAATTGACCCCAGTTTTGGCAATAAATTTGCGATATTACAAAACTTCTGAGATGTACTTTAAATCAAAATTTGAAGCAGCAAGCTTTAAATCTGCTTTTCTTGAGGTAATCATAGAAAATAAGGCGTAAAGGATGCTTTTACATTTCGACACAAAGTACACCTCGCAACGGCAACACTTCACTTATGATACTAGGTCCGTATAATATTATATATCTAGATACTAATCATTCTGAATACTTTCTAGTTTAATTTTTTTCCTTTTCAACCCTCGCTTTGTTCATTGAGCTGCTGGAATTCTTCGATTCACAGCTAAGGCTTTTTGAAAATTGATGAAAAACCCGGAAATTTCATCAAAAAGGGTTTATTTCGTCGTTCGAATAACATTCTTTCGCTCAAATTTTCTGAACACTCGTTCAATTTTACGGCTTTTCTTTAGCATTTTTTCAAATCCCATTCACAATTTCTTTTTTTTTTTTGCATAAAAGAGAGCTGAAATTCACTGAATAGTGAAGGCAAAAAAAACATAGCTCCCTAGGGGGATTTGGTTGTTATTTTTGAGAAATTTGTATGACTGATGACGAAACCAAAAATCATGAAAAAGTCAGAAGTAGAAGATAGAAATTAATGAACAAAAAAAAACCATTCTTTTTGAGTTAGTATTACAATTAGCATTAGAGAAAAAGTCGCGTTTAGTCTTTTGTTTTTTTTTTCGCTCACCAATTGTTTCTCGACGCCAGCGTTCTTGAAAATGATTTGATAAATACAAATTTGAATGGTTAAATCAAAAATTCTAAGCTTAAGAAGAAATTAATTTCCATAAGATCTTTACCACTTGTTCCCCGTCTTGCGAGCCGCTCTCGAATGGGCACATGTGGCACGAGTGGAGAGCAGAAAGGCTCTGAAAATTTCTTAAGATTAATTTATCAGATTTGTTATCACGTTTTCCAACTGGGACACTTGATTTTTGTGTGTGTGTGTAAACAAGGCTATTTTTGGTAAAGATAAAGTTTTTCTTGGAATTGGTTGAATGGATTCTTAAACGAAAGCCATTGACACGAAAAGACACGCGACATTTGCCTCCATTTGATTTGCAGGCGTTTGTTTTTTTTTGCAGTAAAGAAAGATCAATTTTGTACATCTTTCTTGGAGCTTTAGAATCGAATTTGAATTTCGAAATAAAACCGAATTTGCAGCTTGCCGTGTTGTTTACAGCTTTCAGCTTTTTTTTTAGCTTGCCGTATATACGAGTTTTCCTTGCTAACGGATTTAGTAAAGTTTGTAAAAAGTTATAAACATCCATTTTCTTTCTTTGGCTTCAAAAATCAGTTTCTCTTTATCAGGGTAAAGTTCAGGGGTTTTTTTCTCTCAATTCCCAATTCGCCGATCCCATTTCAAAGCACGCGGTGGGGTTTAATTGAAAACCCCATTTCCCCAGCATTTCCCCAGCATTTCCCGAGCCCAGTACCCCTCCCGTCAAATCCAAAAACCCACTGAATGACATGTGCAAACTTGTAAAAACACATGTTATTTTCAAACGGATAAAAAAGCCTTTTGCATAACAATTATTTTCAGCTGTGTTGTTTACAATAATCTGCTCTGTTATGAACTTTTTTAGCTAATCGACTTGTTAACAAATTTTTAGTCATTTTTAGTCGACAAAATTTTTTTATTTCTAATGATAGATTGGGAAATGTAGTGGGAAATGTTTAAAAGGGTATAATTTTATGAAAAAGTAAGGGGTTGCTAGGAAATTTTTGCTGATTTATCGAAAAGATTTTTGAATACGAAAGTTGAGAGAAGTTATGAATAAATATGAGTACAATAACTTGAGATTATTGAAAAAAAATCGTAAAGATTCTTAATAAGGTCAAACCCGCAGCTGGTACATCCATTGTGGATGTGATTGAGGCACGATGTTGTGCAAGAATGGCAGCCGGTGGAATGAGTGAAGCACGATGTTGGAGATGTTTCTGTTTTGATTTTTCGGCTTCATCCATCAACAAACGAAACATTATATAGTCGTTCATCATTGTTTCTTGGTGATCGAGGGTTTGATGATTCTACAGATTGATATTCATATGTAAAGAGAGAAAGAAAGAAAGAAAGAAAGAAAAGAAGAGAAGTGAAATGGACAATGAGAAAAAGGGAATACCGGAGTGCTTCGTTTATAGATCATCATTGATAGAAATATTGAGATTTATGCAATAAATAAATGCAATAAATAAATAACTCTCAATATCCCCTCAATTCTTACATGTCAGCATCAAAATATTACAAATCAAATTTCCGAATGAGAATGAGAAAAGGTAAAAGTACAAATCTGAAAGAAAAGAAAGAAAGAAATGCTCAAACTTAGCAATTAGCTTGTGGGAAGGAGCTATTTGTAAGATATAGAATATAGAATCCAAAGAAATGAGATGAAATTTCGAAAGGATCCATTAGAAAACTCATTTAGGAATGGGAATTTTTGCAAAGGAAAAAAAACGGGACGAAGTTCAAACAATTCCAACGTTCGATGAGGCGAAAAATTGGATCTCGTTGATGCGAATACAAACATTTCATCGCAGGGAAATGCCGAGACAGAATGGGAAATGGGCAAAAAGCGAAGGAGGACTCGGAAGGGCTCGAATTTCCCCATTTTTTTTACTTGAACTCATTCTCTGGGATTTAAAACAAAGAGTCAAAATTTATCTAGAGCCAAAATATTACACAGAGTTCCACTCAGATGAACCCAAACTCTCGAGTTTCTGCTGAAATTTAGAGCCTAAGTGCTCTTACAAGTCATAGATTTATTCATGATATCTGTATGCTTGATCCAGGCCTAGTTTTACTGCAGATCTGGCTCACAAAAGTACTTTGACTCGCTAGGTTTTTGCTTAGCCTTGCCTTCTCTGTTTTACAGGGTCCAGAACTAGGAACATTCTTGCTTACAAGTCACAACTCTATTCATGTTATATGTAAGATCAGAAACTAAATAAATTTGTTAGTCTAGATAAATTCAAAATTGTCATGAAATAGTATTTGTTAGCACAAGTTGAGGGATCTCAAATTTCCCCCTTCTTCCTCACCCACACATCGGATCTTTTATTTGAAGAGCTATTCTCTGAATTAGTTATTATGGGAGATGAGAAAAGTTTGTGGGGGAAATGAGAGTTAAAAAGTCAAAGTTCAATTTAAATATAGACGTCAATGGTGTCTTCTTTGATGAGAAATTCCCCTTTTCTGTCAATGGCTTGAGATGCGATGGGAAAATTTTCCCCTTAAACCCGCCGAAATGTGTTAGCGATCAAGGATCTAAAAAAAAGGAAAAGCTTGAAAGGTTCGTGAATCACACAAAATGGCAATATTTCAAAGTGTCACCACTAATGGACACGACATGTTTTACACTCGGATTCGAGACTTTTCGCGTCAAATTGTCTTAATGTTAACTTACTGTAACTTACTGTAAGACAAGCGAGTACCGATAACCCCAATCTCCTCAATAAAGTCTTGCAGTATTTAGAAGTATTTGCTCTAGTCTTGCTCTAGCCAAACAATGAACACTCACTTTTGAAACTCGACAGTCTAAGCCATAATCTACGGATCGATTTATAGATAATTTCTTGGAAAAAGCTGGCTCTAGACAAGGTTATGCTAAAAAATTGCAAACAGGAAGTTCTTCCAAAAGTCTTGACCCAAACAATTAAGGGAATTTTATGCGTGGGAAGCACCAAATTTGGAAAAAAGCATCTGAAGGAGAAAAGTTGCAAGTTAAAAGAGAAAAATGGACACCAACAACCTTCAGCCAATTAGGTGATTGTTTTCGAGAAGAGTGATTCGAGAAAGTTTTCCCCGCTGCACACAACTTGTGATCTGATAGAAGAAACGAGTACAAGGAGGGGAAAAGAAACGAAAAGAAAAGAAAGAGCGCTGCATGGACACGCAATTTCCCATCCCCTTAACGGGGAGGTCCGCTCACAAGTCCGCTTAATTGGATGGGGAAAAGAAAAAGAAATTTGAAAGAAAGTTAGCTTCTTTTGAATCTTTGTGAATGTTTCCTCCCTAGATTCTTCTCCTTATTACCCTTATTGCAGGGGGAAAGGGGGATCTCTGCAAACTAACGAACAGCTTCAAATTCTCTCTGATTCGTAGAATCTGATTAGTACTTTGATTTCTTGCAAATGCATATTTCTATTATACTTTGAATTTAAATCGATTTCAACAAAATGGACAAACAAAGATTTTAAATGGATTTCAATGGATTTCAGCATGTTACATTATGTTTATATGATTTTAAATGGTTCTCCTTTGGGAATTAGTCTCGTGAAATATGAGCTCAATCTCGAGAATTCCACTCAAAAGGACTATTGGAATCAAAAGGCTGAAATTGAGATGAAATGAAAGCAAAAAAACATTTATTATGAAAAATTTGGCGGTTTTTTTGGGGAAATTTAGTAATGGAATGAGCGTTGAAGGGATTGGTGAGTCAAACGGGAAAATTAACTTCTAAAGGCGAGCAAGTTAGAGATTTGGAGTCTTAGAGATTTGGACTTTCAACATACGCTAGTGTTTTGGATTTTAGAGCTCTTTATTAAAAGATTTCTGAAATCGCATGGTCACTTGATCTTAGATTTAAGAAATCTTTTAATAAAGAGCTCTAAAATCCAAAACAAATCTAAGATCAAGTGACCATGCGATTTCAGAAGTGAAAGATGGAAGATGGGGCCAGATGTCCCCAATTCGCTTTCCTTTTCCCCTTTCCACTCACATGTAAACACCCCTATAATTTCACCTTCCTTTCCCCATTCTCATCCCTTTTTTTTCCTAACTGAGAAATCGTTTGCCTAAATGAATCATGAAAGACGAAAGCGAAAGCAAAACGATTTCGAGAATCTCTTCTAAATTTCCCTTCAAAACATGTGTGTTTTTCAGAAGAAGAGAACACTTTTCTAGTTTACAACTTGTCTCTATGTTTTTGCCGCTTAAATGTTCAGTGAAAAACAAAAGAGTTCTTTTCAAAAGTCAAAAACATGTGCTTTACAAGTGAGACAAGAGGGAGGGAAATTTGAGCTTTTTAAAAAAATGGACATTGAAATGAACATGCTGGTTTGTGAACCAAAAAGCAATGAAACTAACGAAATTATGTCGTTTGTTCAATGACACCACATTTTATTTCTTTCTTGGTTCTAAAACAATGCATGCAAATCGGCCGCATTCCCCCATTTTTTGCGATTTCGCATTTGGAATTCGGAATTTGAAATTTAGACTTTTGTTGGGCCAGAATCCAGTCTAAAACTATGACAAATGAAAAAAAAACAATTTTCTAGAGATAGATTCTATATCTAGAGATCTAGAGATAGATTCTATATCTAGAGATCTAGAGATAGATTCTATATCTAGAGATCTAGAGATAGATTCTATATCTAGGGATCTAGATATAGATTCTATATCTAGGGATCTAGAGATAGATTCTATATCTAGAGATCTAGAGATAGATTCTATATCTAGGGATCTAGAGATAGATTCTAGATCTATGCTGAAAAAGATTTTATGAAGTTGTGGGGAAAAGATCGAAAATCATGGGGAAACATGTTCATAAAGATCTCATTCAAAAACAAATAATCGTCTTTGAAAAGAAGCGGGCTGTAGAGGAGCTTAAGTTTTTTTGAGATGTGAAGAGTTGAGAGTACTTAAGACAAAGGAAAATGGGGAATTTGTTTGAATCGGCAGGTTTGAATTGGGCTAAAGGGAACGGGGGTCCCTTTAGCCCAATTCAAACTCTTCAACCATCCCCCGCCCATCACTGGGACTTATCTTTTTGCGAAAGGATGACCCGTTTTGAAACGCTTTCTGAAAATAACGAATTTTTACCTATTTTTTCCCAAAAAGAAGACCTGAAATGGGATTAGATTTCATAACTTTTCTAAGGTGTGTTTTCGAGAAGAAAGACTAAGTAAATGGGTTTACGGGGAAAGGGAATGAGGCTTTAAGTACTTTAAGTACTTTAAGTAACCAGGCCATTTACTTTATAACCACTTTAATCTCTAAAATATATCACTAGGTGAAGAAAATACTTTTATATTCGTTGAAAGTCTAAATCTGGTTCTATTTTTGGGGTGTTTTATGGGGGTTAATTTGGAATTCAGAGCTCTCGCCCCAAAAATGAGATCGCCTAAAGAGGGGACAGGTTGGGGGTGGATGGGAAATTTGGAAGAAGAGAATTGAGTGGAAAAACAAAAGAAGAATTCGTAAAGGAAATGGGGTTTGGTCGTCTCTTGGTAACTAGTAAGTTTGGCTCATCAAATTTGCAACAACAAGAAACGGCATTTTTTAGGCTTTTGCTTTCAAAACGAGTGACAAAACGAGTGACAAAAGGAATTATAAAGGAGCTATAAAAGAACTATAAAGGAACTAGAAGGGAATTATCAAGGAAAGAGCTTTAAAGGAACTATAAAGGAACGTTTGGGCGGCAAAAAGTGAAATGAAATTAATTTATACTTTTAGCTTCGAAAAATTATTGACATTTTAGACTTGAACACCCTAGAATTATGTAAACTTTTTGACTTAAAGTCAAGAAATGTTCAAGAGCTTTCTGAAAATGTTGAGTGAATGAATGGGGGTGGATGTGAAAGGAATCTGCAAAAAAAAAGGACAAAACCTTTCATCTTCATCCACTTTCTTTTTTTTTCCATTCAACTTTTCTATTTTGCTCAAAAATCTCCAGAAAATACTCCCCTCCGGGGACGAATTTGCAAAAAAAAAGTGGAAAGCTGCGCCAAGGAAAATGATGTTTGTGTGGTGGTGGTAGAGGAAAATGAATTTTGACTCTTTTCCTTAAAAAAAGCCGTTAAAATCTGGACGTATCCCCTTGGGAGATTCTCCAAAAACCACATGGCTCATATATTTTTTCAAACGAAAAGATTTAGAACTTTTTTTTGCAGCTTTTGTTTTAGAAGAAAAGAGGTAAGGTCTCGAAAATCACTGATTCTGAGTTGAGTCTACGGTAGACTAAAGAATGATAGGAATGTGGGAGACATGTAGAAAGTGACAAAGTGAACATGTAGAAAGTGACTCAAAAATGATCCCTTATCGGTGTGAGTAAACGATTTAAAGTATTCAGTCATAATAAGCCTCATCAAAGCGCTATAGTTATGCTTTTGGAGGTTTCTGAAAGGCTGATTGAGAGTTTAGATTGGTTGTTTTGATGGTGATGTGATTCACGACGACCTTTCAATGAAATTTGCATATTTTGTTGCAAAATGTGTCTGGACTTTGGAAAAGAGAAGAAGTCGATTGCTGAAATTCTTTTGCTATATGTTTTATAACAGAAAAAGGCTTACATAATGTGGGTGAAGTTTAAAACTTATCTCTAGTGTTAAGCGAGGGATTTAAAAATAGTTTTGATGTTCAACTGGACTCTGCAGAACCTTTTAATACAAAAGGGCAAGTGATTTTCGGTCTCATAGACCAAAATGTTTCAAATCATCACGGAAGAAATGGCTTTGAAATGGTTTGAGATTGAATTGAATTGTGTTAGAGAGAAAGGCGGAGGGAGACCCGGATGGAGCCTCTAAACACAGCCATCGGCTCCCCTCCGAATCCCTAATAGAAACAAATAATTGATGGGCTTTGAGGGGAACAGACCCTCATTCTACTTCCTCTTCCGATATATAAAAAAAGATAATATTTAAAGAAAAGAGGGGGACACACATCATCCATCAAAAGTTATTATGGGAGAAGAGAGACTGGAGGAGACTGCTGGATGGATTGAGGTCATTTATTATGGGAAGGTGATGTCGGCTCTTTGGATTCCTTTAGTGAACAAACAGTGAAACTTTAATAGTAAATATTTTATTTGCAATAGGAGCAAGTAATGATTTGAAAACAGAAAATATGCCCTATGCGAGATGGAGAGCGAATCAGGTCTCAATCAGAAAAATTGCTAATTGTAATTTCAATTTTTGCCTGCAGTACGCCAGAACAAAGTATTCAAACATTCAAATGCTTTAAAAGAGGAATCCGAATTAGAACCGAGTCTAATCAATTAGACTAACCAATCTAGAGAAAACTGAATTTAGATTGTTTAACAAAATGTAGAATTTGTAGTAAACTTAACAGTTAAACTTAAGGTAAAATTTGTCCCGGAATGAGCATAGCGACGCCAAGCAAGCGGGAAAGTTGAGTTGCTGACCTTTCCTATATCAGAGCCCTATGCCAAATGAAAAGCGATTGTGTGCGCGCACAAAGAATACCTCACCAGTCATTTACATAGGGATTTTGCTTTTGCTTTGTAGATGTCCTTAAATGAAGATTTTGAGCTGTAAATTTGTACCCTGATGTTTTCGGGCTCGGGAGATCGACTAGGGATTTTCATTTTACTGCATCTACCTAGCTTGCCTTCCCATTCAAAGTTCCCTAAACTCCTGCCGATAATTTGATTGTAGTGAGAATTGGTCCTAATTCGATCCCCTCCTTTAAAATCGTCGATCTACTTCCACAATTGGTCCTAATTCGATCCTCTCCTTTAAAATGGTCGACCTACTTCCACAAAACTCCTGCCGATAATTTGGTTTTAGTGAGAATTGGTCCTAAATCGATCCCCTCCTTTAAAATGGTCGATCTACTTCCACTTGATCAAGTACTGACCAATTTGATTCAAGATTTATTAAAAAACACGTTGAGTGATAAAATGTGATAAAATGAAAGGTGTATTTTGTGGCAGAGACGAAACACAAAAAGCTAGATTGATGTTGATGAGTTGAGTGTGGGGGAAAAAAAGCGAGTTGATGATTGGGGAAAGGTATGAAGTGAGTGAGGATCTCTTTCATCTCCACCATCCCCATCGAATCTTTCCGATCGATTTTCTCTTTATTCTTTTCCCCCCAATGATCACCTTTCAATTGTTTGCATTTCTCTCCATTAAGTGCCTCCCCGATCAGTCGATTCAAGAAAATCTGATGTGATTTTGATCTCTTGGACCCCGGATCAATGCTTTGTTGATATCAATCGCTATTTTAAGTGATCCGGATTTGTTTTTATTTATGGTGACAAACTGTGCACGAGTTAGGCTTTCTAAAAGTTGATCTTACTATTAGAAGAAATTGCTTTAGAAGGCTACAATCTACAAAAATCAAAACGAATAGAGAGTAAGCTCAGAGCTATTATTAGGTTGGCAAGTTATAAACGAATTTTGGACGTTTTTTGGTAATGTGTTTTCTGAAAAAACGGCTTATCCAATCAAAAAACGGTTTGCTTGATTCAAAAGCCCTATCTTTAATCTACAAGATCGCTTTTTTGAATTTTTGAAAAATCTTTTATTTTAGAACTTTTTCAGGCATTTTAATGTAAGAGTTGAAAATCCTGGTTTCTAGCATTCATGAGCTAATATATTTTTGAGTGATTGCATACTTTTTAAAATAAAACGCTTCATCGATTACATAGTTTCCCAAAATTTCAGAACAATCCGATCTTCGGAAGGTTGATTTTCAAATTAGACTCAAAATGCACTTTTGTGCTAATTTAATCCATTTTCGTTTGAATTTAAGCAAGATTTTAAAAAAAAAGATTAAAAGAAAGAGAACGTTTCGATCGATTGGATTATTTTGAAATTTTGGGAAACTATGTAATCGATGAAGTGTTTTATTTTAAAAAGTATGCAATCACTCAAAAATATATTAGCTCATGAATGCTAGAAACCAGGATTTTTCAACTCTTACATTAAAATGCCTGAAAAAGTTCTAAAATAAAAGATTTTTCAAAAATTCAAAAAAGCCATCTTGTAGATTAAGGATAGGGCTTTTGAATCAAGCAAACTGTTTTTTGATTGGATAAGCCATTTTTTCAGAAAACACATTACCAAACAACGATCGTTTATAACTTGCCAACCTAATACAAAGTGTTTCCTAAAACGCGACAATTTTGAAAACTACCGTAATCTTGTTATTATTTTTAATCACACTTGAACTTTGCAAAGCCTTACAGAACCCTAAAAAGTAGATAGATTGATTGAATAAAGTTAGAGACAAGAGACAAGTTAGAGACAAGAGACAAGAGACAAGTTTCCGGTAAAGTTGACACATTTTAGGAAACTCATTTGTGAGGCACTCTAAATAGAATATAAGTTTTTTTTTTGAAAATCAGCTAGTTTTTGAAACAGCTCTAAAATTTTCCAAATAACCCAAACAAACAAGACAAACCACGAAATGCTATTGACAATAAATATCCATTTCTTTAACGCTAAAAACTTACCAAACAAATTTACGCTTTAAAATCCATTCAACCAAATTTATTTTTGCTGCAGAATTAGGGCTTTTTTTGGTTTTCTTTACGCTCAAAACAAACAATGTTTGAGAAAGTCTAGACGAGTTTCTTGATGAAGCTTTCAGTGAAAATTTCATCAAGAATCATTGCTTTTTGGATTTTTCCCAACGTACCAGTTCACTTGCAAAATGAATTAAAATTTGATTGAGTCAATGTTTTACTTGAAATACAAAAAAATCTCACCAAATCGTCTCCTCCTCGCCGAATCGGTTGCCCAGAGATTTTTCGTTGTTGCTTGATTTGTTGATGTGGATGGTTGTCCGACAAGATCCATTGGATGACGATGAAGAAGATGAGCATGACGGGGATGAGGAGGAAGTCTGCACAAAGGAATTCATCAAATGAGTGCCGATGAGAAATGGGATTGAGAAATGGTGAAGGGATAGTCAAGTTACTCACTCTCACTACAGCAATTTGAAAAGTATCAGCTCTAGGTATCTTCAAATTTGCTCTTGACTGAATTTTTTTGCCAAACTGTAGCTAGATTTAGAGCTTCTTTAAAGTCATGTAAATTTACTGTAAATCAATCAAAATATTTAGATTACTGTCGAAAATGCTCGACAATACTACTTTTTTGGGAGTAACTCTTGAGATATTCATTGGTCCAAGGCAAATTGCTAATTACGTTTCTATTGGGTTGGTGAATTGAAAACTGCCGGCTACTAAGTGTATCTTTTTGGAAATTTGGCTATAAGCCTAATTTTTGATTCTCTACAACTTTTCTATTGACACGAAAATGGGTTTCTTTTGAAGAAAGCGCTCAAACTGGGACATCTCCAGTCCTCGATTTGTGTGAGAATTCGTAAATTTGGCATTTCTTGAAAACCAGTTCTTGAATCGTTCTGAAAATTTGGATATAAGCTTGATTTTTGATTCTCTACAACTTTTACATTGACACCAAAATGGGTTTCTTTTGAAGAAAGTGCTCAAACTGAAGATGTCTCCAATCCTCGATTTTTGAGTCTCACACTTGTCTCACACACAAACCAAAATCCTACCACGAAAGAGGAATCCGCAAATTGCCTGTAAAATGGGCAGAAGTCGTCAATAATAATGGGAATTATTTGGAATGAATTTATGGTTTGATGTTGAATAAATTTTAGTTCAAAGTCCGGCAGTTTTCAATTCACCAACCCAATACAAAGTGTCGATCATTTCCTTGACATGAAAAAGGTCTGTTCTTAAAATTTCCTTTCTTTTTACCTGAAATGAATATGATGTGGATGAGGTCCCATAATGAGTGGGTCAATTTTCGTCTCTTTCGGCATTCCCCACATCGCTCTCTCTCTTTCTTTCTTTCTTTCTTTTTTCTTTCTTTCTTTCTTTCTTTCTTTCTTTCTTTTTTTCTTTCTTTCTTTCTTTCTTTTTTTCTTTCTTTCTTTTCTGTCCAATCGCCGATTTGGGCTTAAAATAAGGAAAATATTGTAGATCCACAAGAAACATCAGAAAAAAATTCAAAATTTTTAATTTAAAAGTGAAATGAATGAAAGAAACAATATAAAAGATAAAAATGAATCGATAAATTATAAAAACGATAAGAAATGAAAATTTAAAATAGAGAAAGATTTATCCACCTGTTTTCATCAAAAACCAATCAGAAATTAATGATTTTAAAATCAAAAAACCTTTAAAAATAAAAGTTTTTGGAAATCGTTTTTAAAGCTTTTTTAAAGCCAAAGAGTTTAATTCTTCTTTTTTTTTGCAAAAGTTTGCGATCCTTGTTTTATCGATAGAAAAAAAAGAGTATTCAGGGGAAAGAGAAAATTGAATCTCGAAAAAGAAATAATTCATGAAGATTGCCACAATTACGAGTGGAAAAAAAAGAGAAAGAAATGGGGAAAAGATTGGATCGGCTGTAAAGAGAAGCATTCACAAAATTTACAATTTACCCATCTTTTCATCGCAAACTAGAGAGAAATTTTGGGTGAAAAATGATGTCTGAAAAGTGGTGAATGCTAAGAATTGAGGAATTGGTAGAGTCAGTGGAAGAGACTCACAAATGGGCAATGGAAAAAATGGAGTTCTCCGTGTCTTTGAGTGTTTGATGCGTCTTTGAGTGTCAAATGTGTCTCTGAGCTCTCCGACAAACGCACGTTCTCTGGCACACTGTTAGCGTCAAAAGAGTGTTCCAGAGCGCAAGGGCGGAGAGCACAAAGTACGGTTTATGGTATAAGAAAAGGATTCAAAATTAAAACCACTTTACTAAACTAATATTGGATTTTTTTTCAGACTCTAAACGCGTAAAAGGTTGTTTAAAAGCAATTACATATGAGTTCTAATTGCAATACAGTATTCTAAAAAAAGATATACCGTAAATACTGTAATTGTACCCCACCTCCCTCGTACAGTCGCGTAGTCACAAAAGTTTTTAGTATTTCATTTTTCAAAGCGCCCGTAGTTCAAAAAATGTGTTTGGTATCAAAAAATAGCCCTGAATTTCAGGGCTAATTTTTTGATACCTAAACATGTATAGCATAAAACAGTGTCGAGAACACTCGTTCAAAGCTAGACTACGCAACGCTCCGCACCGTCATTATGGGGGTGGGGTACTATTACAGTATTTACGGTATGTACAAAAATTGAGCCTTTAATGGTGTGGGGTTACGGTTTCATGCACATCTAACATAGAAAAAGACACCCAATGCACTCTTTGTTATTTGTAATCTGGTCTTGTTTTGGATTTGGTCATCGAGAGACAAATTTCCACCTAAACAAAGTCACCTAGAGATGATGTTCAAAAAAAAATAACCAGACACTTTTTGACACATGAAAATTTCAAAGCTAGACTACGCAACACTCCGCACCGTCATTATGGGAGGTGGGGTACTATTACAGTATTTACGGTACTTAAATAAAGGTAAGCGTATTGGAAAAATTATCAAAAAAAATTGAGAAATTTCTGAAAACTTGTTACAAATTTTGATGTCAATCAAGCGGAATTCCTGGGAAATGAAAAAAAAAGATTCATTTTAATGTCAAAAGAATCCAAGAGAAGTTGGGAAGTGAAAATATCGAGAAAGTTATACGCATTTTGAATATATAAGTTAAAAATAGAGATGAGCAATGCGACAGAAAGTATGAATGAAAAAAAGGATGATTGGTGAGGATGAAATTGGGAGAAGGATGGGGAAGATTTGGGCAATTTGTGAGAACATATCAACCGAATAGTTTTTTTTTTAAGAAGGAAAAGCTTTTAAAAGGGAAAAGCACACAAAAAAAAGTGGGGAAGGGCAACCGAAATCAGTGAAGACTGAGTGGAGGTCGACGGGGAAATGGATAGAGGAAAAGGAAAGGGAAAGAAGAGGAGAAGAAGATCCCTGGGGATCCACTCCTCCACCACTGAACGCCCTTCTTCAAGACTTGGGGCAACTCTTGCCCACAAATGAACCATCTTGCACTGAAATCGAAAATTTGAAAGGAAAAGTCGGAAGTTAGCGATGAAAATGCTCTTCTCGAGCAATGCTTTTCCCTAAAGCGTGTCAATTTTTTGGCCACAGTAAGCTTGCTTCCGGTGATTATCCGGTGATCAAATCTATCCACTTTTCACTTGCTGATCTGGGTTTTACATGAAAAGAGGTGAAAAGTGAAAAGTGGATAGATAGAATAAAAAAAAAGGGTTACGGTAGTGTTCAAAAATTGATACGTTTAAGGAAAAGCATTTGAGAGGAGACAGAGCAATGTTCAGCTTTCATTAGCTCATTGGGTTAATGATTTCGTTTTTCTTTAGGATAACTTGCAAATTTCAGATCTTTTGAAGCTACTAAGATAGGGTTTATCCATCCATTTAACTAAATTGAAAGTTATGGATTACAAGGTTGTCCATTTCTCACTGAAACTTTGGGATTTCAATCATTTTATGGTTTTTATACCTTTTATACCTTTTAGAAAAGAGATATCTCCAGAGGGAGTTAAGTTAATCAAGTCCTGACTTACAGGACTTGATTAACTTATCTTTATAGATAGAGCTCAGTTGGGACAAACTATTGTCCTTTACTAAAATAGCTGTAAAAACTTTAAAAAGAGAGATATCTCAAAACGGTTTTTACCAATCGATCCGTCTTGAATTCAGCTTTAGGATGAGCTATAAAACGTCAAAATTGGAACCGTATTGGAACCGTATTAGATCAAAATAGGAACCGTATTGGAACCGTATTGGAACCGTGTTAGATCAAAATAGGAACTGTATTGGAACCGTATTGGAACCGTATTAGATCAAAATAGGAACCGTATTGGAACCGTATAACGTCAAATTTAAGGTACTCTCCCAAAAAATCGGAAAGGACTTTTCCATCAACCCAATAGTATTAATGGTTTAGAATGCATAAAGCTTATTGTTAGCAGAAAATCAGGAAAAGGATTTGGATAATTTGGATTTGATTTGATCATTGATAATTTAGATAAAAATTAAAGCCATGCTTTAGAAATAGGAAAATGGGAACAATGACAATGAGAGATTAAGAATTTAAATTTAGTAATTAATACGGAAAACATCAATATTGATAGTTCAAGAATTGGGATTTGTGAAAATTTGATGATCGACGTGTTTAGAAATGTTTAAAGTATAACTCGAGTATAAATTTTGGAAAAAAATGGAATAAAGAAGTCTTTTTGTGTGAAAAGAGGTCATTTCAAATTCAAATCAGCGCCATTGTTGTCAGAGTTTTTTTGAGGGGGAATTTTCGAAAGCAAACAAAACGAATCCGTTCGTTTAGAGATGCTTTTTTGACGAGTTTTTTTGTCAAAAAGAAATAAAATAAAAGGGGAAATGATTTAAACTTTGTTCAATTTAAAAAGAAAAACACAGATTCACAAAAATTCGTATGCAAAACAATAAAATGAAAGATTTTGATGAGTTTTTGATCAAGAGGTGATTGATCAAGAGAAATGACTTTGCAAAGAATTTATGTAAGCAAGAAAGCAAAGAAATGCAAAAGAGATGGATAAATAAGGAAAAAGTTAGACCTGAGAACTTTTTCTGAAAGTCCACTGAGTCAGATAGTTATCGAAACGCCATCCAGCTACCGTAACCGGGTACCCCGTTAATAGATGTTACAGTAACCCAAGTACTCTCTACCGAAGAAATATTATAAAAATTAACTAAATGATAGAAGTAAATAACAAATATCTATAGAGATCCGATCATGAGTTTAAGGGTGAAGCTAAAGCTAAAATAGGTGATTCTGAAAAGTTAAAGCATTAAATAAAATTTGCCCTAATCACAAATTTTCCCTATTTTAAGTACTTGATTTTTGGTTTTGAATGGGACCCATCGCCTATTCATTAACCCATTAAAAACTTGTCTAAAGGCTGCTCACTCAAAAAGTGACCAAGTCACTTCAGCTGAAGAAATCTCTTATTTTTTTACCTGAAGCCCACTTTGTCAAAAACTTTTTGAAATATAATCATGTTGATCAAAAAAATCTGGAAAGAATTGATGGCTTGGTTTTTGAGAAGTCACCGTGGAAACTTTTTCCGAGAACTTTCTTTCCAATTTAATATTATCAAAAAGCTAGGGTATTTTTGCACGAAAAAATGACTAACTTTCTTCAGATTTAATATTTAATTTAATATATAGTACTCTCTACCGAAGAAATATTATAAAAATTAACTAAATGATAGAAGTAAATAACAAATATCTATAGAGATCCAATCTCATGATTGGAAGTTTAAGGGTGAAGCCAAAAGTCTTGTTTGTTTCTCTGGTCTTGTTTTGAAGTCTCTCTGGTAGCTGTATTTTGAATGTCTAAAGATATGAGAATAGCTTGATTTCGATCCTGATCTAGACCAAGAAATTGAAAGCTCGGTCACCTCAGAAAAAAAGCATTTTTGCAGAATTTGTAAGAAGAAATGACGATAGATTATGACTTTGGAGAGGTCATTTGCAAGGAAAAAAAATGAGGAGAAGAGTTGGCGAAATACGAAGAGAATGAAGAACTGGCGATTTGAGTGGATGAGAGGGGTGGATAAAGTATGTAGAAGAAAAGGGGGAAGGAAAAAAAGGATCGAAATTCGACCTCTTCCACTCCTGCACCCCGTTTGCCATCTCCTCCTCCCCCTCCTCCTCCTCTTCATCATCATCATCATCATCATCCACCCCATTTCCCTCCTTAATCGCAACGTTTCAATGCTTCTGCCCGCAAAAAGATTTGTGGATTTTCTAGAATGATTATCTCTTTTCTAGAAATATCAAGGATTGAACGATTTTGTGGAAATCTTTGTGGGAAAAGCGGGATTT